CAACCTGGGGGTTGGGACCCTTGGGAAGGTTGTGAGGGCGTGTCAGAGGGATCACTAAAGACAATCAGAAAACATGGTATTTTCTGTTGTTCATGTAGATTCTATGTGGGAAGTTTGGCCCAATTCTATCATTGGTGGCGTTCAGAATGCTCTTTGATTGTAGGTGAACTATACATCCCAGCAACTACAACTCCCAAATGTCAAGGTCTATTTTCCCCAAACTCCAGCAGTTTTTACATTTGGGCATATTGAGAATCTGTGCCAAGTTTGAGTCCACAGTGCTCTCTGGATGTAGGTGAACTACAACTCCAGAACTCAAGGTCAAGGCCCACCAAACCCTTCCAGTATTTCGTGGTCATGGGAGTTCTGTGTTCCAAGTTTGGTTCAGTTCCATGATTGGACTATAAATCCCAGCAACTACAACTTCCAAATGACAAAATCAACCCCCCCCCCCCCCCAAACCCACCAGTATTCAAATTTCGGTGTATCGAGTATTTGTGCCAAATTTGGTCCAGCGAATGAAAATACATCCTGCATATCAGATATTTATATTATGATTAATAACAGTAGCAAAATTACAGTTATGGAGAAGCAACACAAATAATTTTATGGCTGGGGGTCATCACAACATAGAAACTGTATTAAGGGGTCGTGGCATTAGGAAGGCTGGAAAACACTGCTCTGTGATTAATTTCAAATAGAAAGTTGATCACAGTGTCACACTGGAGAGCCCTAAAGTTTCATAGAGAGCATGCCCATTTTACAGATGAGAAACTGAGGCTTCAGGAAAAGTAAATCACTCAAGGATGCATAGTTGAGTCTGTGGCGAAGGCAGAAAGGCTGGGATAGATTTGATCTCGCCCCTCCCGTAGCATAGATCCAAACTTGAGAGCCAACAAGAGCTCTGCAGTTTGTAAGCTTGCTTGGGAAACAGGTCCCATCTCCCCTCTTTCACAACCAGAGTTTGGAGCCCGGTGCCTTGCTTATCTTTAATTTTTTAATTAAGTAATCTGCCCCGAAGCAGTGTGGTGGAGATGCTAACTGGATGCTAGGGGGAAGGGAAGGGCTGTGCATGGGAACAACATGTTCCCATCTCTCAAACCCACAGCCGTGCCCCCCACCCCATAGGAAGCCTTGTCTCGGGCAAAAGTCCACGCCATGCGGCCTGTCCCCTTGCCCTTTGCTCTGCCACTTGGAGCCCAGCCAATGCCAGGTGAACCCTCCCCTAGCCCCAGACCTTTCGTACAAGGGTCAGGAGCTGTGTGCTTTGCCAAAGCGCAAACAACCCAGCTGAGAGTGCGCAGATTCATGATTATGTGAGGTTTGGGGGAGGGTTAGGATGGGGCACTGGGGGCCAAAGGGCAATGCAGCACCAAGCTTTGGGACTTGATCTTCAAACCTTGGAAGTTTGAGTTCACAGTTAGGAACTTGGAAAGGTTTTTGCACAGTCAAAGCCCTCCCAACAGATGCCCACCCAGCCTCCTCTTAAAAACCTCCAAAGGAGTTTCGACTCTGATACAGCATATTCCACTATCAAACAGCTCTTACCATCAGGAAGTTCTTCCTAATGTTTAGGTGGAATCTCTTTTCTTGCAATTTGAATCAGTGACAGCTCAAGGAATGTGATTTGGAGGGCTACAACACCAATAATCTTCCACCTAGCCTGCCAATGGGATGCTAGAAACAATCCTTCAGAATTATGCAGCTGTGGTTTTTAGCATCAGTGGGTTGTCGTGTGTTTACTGGTCTGTCTGCCCATGTTCCAGAAGCATTCTCTCCTGATGTTTTACCTGCATCTATGGCAGGCATCCTCAGAGGTTGTGAAGTCTGTTGGAAACTAGGAGACTAGGGCTTATATAGGAGAGGGTGCATCATATCAGGATGCATCATATCAGGGTGCATCTACACTGTAGAATTAATGCAGTTTGACACCACTTTAAGTGCCTTCCTATTACATTCGTTGGTTTCAGAATGTCCTTTCTCGCCCCTGTTCTCTCAAAAAGTCGGCACGCTTAGTTAATCCCCGTTCTGGATGACAAGTTGCCCTTGGGAAATGGTTGCAAAACAGCGAGACAGATATAAAGATATATTCATAGGCAGATCTGTGCCAAGGAAACATAAGCATGACTTCATTTAAATGGGCTGTGCAGACTTTTAAAAAAAATAGGGTTCATCTACACTGTAGAATGAATGCTGTTTGACATCATGTCAATTGCCATGGCTCAATACTATCTATGTATGTAATCTTGGATTATACGTAATCAGTTTGGTGAGGCACCAGACCTCTTTGGCAGAAAAAGCTAAAGACGTTGTGAAACTGCAACTGTCATGATTCCATAGCACTGAACCATAGCAGTAAAAGTGGTCTCAATCTACATTCATTTTACTGTATATATATCTATATACTCATAGGGGTTCTCAGAGGCCATCTAGTCCATCTTTCACCAATATAGAAATCTGCAGCAAAATAACTATCTGACTTCTGTTTTCAAAGCATAAGCTGAGAGAAATCTACATTCTAAAGCAACTCATTCCACTATCAAGAACCAAAAAACTTCTTGGAAAATTTTTCTAATGTTAATTTAATTTTCTTTGCACCATGTGCTCTTTTTTTGTAAAAAAAATCAGCATGCTGCCAGAGAAACACATGACTTTTCTCTCTATCCTATGGATGAACAATGCTCCATTCATGGGCCCCTAAGTGCATGTACACTCATGCTGTTGAGGAAATGTTCAGAAAGGTCTTGCTCAACTCAGTACTTTGGGATGGGTTGGACTACAACTCCCATCAGCCTGCAGAATAGGTGGCTTTGGGCGGTGGGAGCTGTACTCCAGCACCTCTGGAAGGTACTGGGACAATTTCACATATATTTATAGTACTGATTGTGCTTTAATACCCAGGGACGGCTGAAGCAATAGGCAAGATACGCATTTGTGTATAGCACGAATCCCCAAGGGGTGCTCTTGAGATGCCCCCATATATGAACGTAATGTTGTAAGTAAACTTCTGGTTTGTAAGGTAATTCTTTTATTCACCTCTACCTTCTACCTTTCATTTTTCAGTTATTGGTCTGGAGGAAGGGCGCAAAAATACTGTTTGCTTACACTTGAAAATTACCTAGGGCTGGCCCTGTTAATACCACAGCAACCAGCGCAATGGCTTAAAGCCTTGCGCTGGCAGGACTGGTTGACCGACAGATTGGCGGTTTAAATCCAAGGAAAGCACAGATGAGCTCCCTCTGTCAGCTCCAGCCCCCCATGCAGGGACATGAGATAAGCCTCTCACAGGATGGTAAAACATCAATCATCCAGGGATCCCCTGGGCAACGTCCATGATTCCATAGCACTGGGAATCTTTGGATTTATAGTCTTGGGAATCCTGGGATTGATAGTCTTGGGAATCCTGGGATTTGTAGTCCAGTAAAATGCTGTGAATTTGAAATACTCCTGCAAATCCCAAGCTTCCATAGCATGCAACCATTCCAATTAAAGTCGACTCATACCACTATAATGATGTCATGAGAAAGTTCCCAGGATTGGTCAAGGCTGACATAGAATCTCCTATTTTCTTATGCATTTGTAGAAAGTTGTTAAACTCAAAAACACAGGTGCTTTCACATTAAGAGGCTTCTTATTTATAATGTAGGCACATATTTTTGAGTACAGTCAAATCTGTATCTCTATCCATGGATTCTGCATCCACAGATTTTAACCATCCATGGCTTAAAAATATTCCCCCTCTTAAAACTGCAAAAAGCAAACCTTGGTTTTGCCATTTCGTATAAAGGACACTATTTTACTATGCTGTTGCACATAATGGGATTTGTGAATCCACGGATTTCTCATATTTTGGACACATTTTGGGTGGTCTTTTCTGGCAAGGTCAGACACACATTTGGCCAAAGTTAATCTCTGGGGATAAACTCTGAGAGATACCAACAGACAATAGTTTGGTTCAGAGCTCAGTGGAATGGAGAAAAAAACTCTTTTGAATGACAGGTGCCAGAATCTAGTGGTACCTGGCCATATCCTTCCCGGAACTCTGGGAATGGTTGTTGAAAAATGCTAGACAGGTATATCAATGTTGCATGAGTTTCCGGCTGCACCCAACCAACCATCTCATTTTGCATGCCCGCTGTTTTCTTGTATAGAAAGAGGATATTATTATTATTATTATTATTATTATTATTATTATTATTATTATTATTATATACCTTGCTTTATCTCCCTGAAGGAGACTCAAAGCAGCTTAATATAAAAGCATTAGCAAGAAGAACTATCTCAAATCTTCCTTCCAGCTGTTCAGTGCATTTGAAAGAGGTTTAGGAGTCTTAGTAGACCATAGGCTGAACAAGAGTTAAAAGTTAAATAAATCAATGCGATTCTGGGTTGCATCAATAGGAGCGTAGTGTCTAACTTGAGGGGAGCAATAGTCCCACTCTATTCTGCTTTGGTCAGACCTTGTCTGGGCATCACAATTTAAGAAGGAGATGGACAGCTTGAAAAGTAACCAGAGAAGAACAACCAAAATGGTCAAAGGTCTGGAAGCCAAGCCCTATGAGCAGCAGTTTAAGGAGCTGTGTATGTTTACCTTGAAGAAGAGAAGGTTGAAAGGGACTTGATAATCATGTATAAATATTTGAAAGGATGTCACATTGAGAAGGGAGCAAGCTTGTTTTCTACTCTAGAGACTAGGACATGGAGCAATGAATTTAAACTGCAGGAAAAGATATTCCACCTAAGAACTTCCTGATGGTGTTGTTCGATAGTGGAATATGGTGCCTGGCAGTGAAGTCTTCTTTTGTGGAGGTTCTTAAACAGAGGCTGGATGACCATCTGTCAGGAGGGCTTATTTTGTGTTTTCCTGCCTGGCAGATGGGAGTTGGACTGGATGGTCCTTAGGAACTCTATAATTCTAGATGACTTCAAGGCTTCCTTCCAACTGTAGCTATATATTGTTCTTGTTCTGAAACGCACCTTCTTTCTCTGTTATCCCATAGTCTTGGAGCATCTTCACTCAGATGCTGGTCTGCGGTCCCAATCCGTCGGGCCCATGCTCCGCGGGTGCTCCATGGAGACCTTAGCAAACTTTCGGGACGAGTCCAAGAGTTTGTGGAGCATGGGGCGAGACTTTGCCAGCCGGACAGCATCCACATCTGCGATGGGACGGAGAAGGAGAACATCAAGATCTTGAACCTGCTGGAGTCGGAAGGGGTCATCAAGCCACTGACTAAATACGAGAACTGGTAAGAACCCTTTCTTACTTGAAAGAAGTGCAAAAAACATACTATACCAGAACAGAACAAATGCAATTTGACACCAGTTTAATAGCTATACCTCAATGCTATGGATAGTTTGGTGAGGCAGAGAAGGCTAAAGGCCTTGTAAAAGTACAACTCCCAGGATTCCATAGTATTGAGCCATGGTAGTTAAGGTGCATTCGTTCTGCAATGTAGGTGCATCCCATTTTCATTTACTCTCCATCTTTCTGCAGCTGGCTAGCCAAAACAGACCCTAAAGATGTCGCCCGGGTGGAAAGCCGAACGGTCATTGTAACAGAGAACCAAAGGGACACGGTGCCCATCCCTGCCCAAGGGGTCAAAGGGCAACTGGGCAACTGGATGAACCCCAAAATGTTTCAGGAGGCTGTGGATGATCGCTTCCCAGGTTGCATGAAAGGTAAAGAGAAATGGCTGTGGAGCTCTGACAATGTAATATGGATTTCGCCATATGGGGAAATTGTGCAAAATATCGTTGGACTGCGACTCCCATCAGCCAGACTGGGAACTGGTGATTTGCCTTGATCAAAGGAAAATCATCTCCAGGCTAAGACCCAATTTGTGACGATATAAGAAAAGATTAACAAGAGAAGAGATTGCAGTGTTCCCTCACTTATTGCGGGTGTTACGTTCCAGGACCACCCACGAAAAGTGAAAATCCACGAAGTAGGGTCGTTATATATCACAATCCGAGGGTGAGGCAGAGCAAGGAGGGATTTAACGGCACATCCCTTTTTCTTGCTATCTATAAGGACGGGGGCTATAAGGCCATGATTTACATACTGCTTTGTATCTCCTCTCTCTCTTTTATGATTGGCTGCCTCTCTCCCGAGGGGGAGCATGAAACCCCCTTCCACACTCCATTATTACCAGGAGGCAAAAACCCGCGAAAAAGCCAGTCTGCGAAAAGCAAACAGCAAAATAGCGAGGGAACACTGGAATCCTTGGGGTTTTTTTTTCCTTCTCTGACTCTCTTGAGTTATATTCCATCCGCTTAATTCAAATTCCTATCGGTCTCTTCCCAGCTAGGAATCCCTCTTCAGCATCCATCCCTGAATAGTTTGATACATTTCAATTCTTCCACATTCTTCCTTTTTTTTCTCTTTCATTTCTGTATCTTTACCCGATTTTCTCAGTGGTGTCCCCCATTAATAGAACTGTCTTCCGTTAGACTTCTTACTCCCTCTTGTCTTTCTTCTGACAGCTAAAATATATTTATTTATAGGACCTTTTGGAGAATAGCCCCATATTTTAAATTTCTTTCCCTGGCATCTTTGGTTCATATTGATTTAATGCAATTTAATTTTAAAATTATAAATGACTATTTCAGAGTGGGGTAGGCAACATCCCTGAGGTTGCCTCTTCAGGTCTCTGAAGAAAGAAAGGTAAATAAATATACTAAATGGTCCCTTCTATTCCACATTCTGTCTTGTCCTTCTTTAGGGCGCACCATGTATGTGATCCCATACAGCATGGGTCCGATCGGCTCCCCTCTCTCCAAGATTGGCATCCAGTTGACAGACTCTGCCTATGTGGTTGCCAGCATGCGCATCATGACCCGAATGGGAGCTGCCGCTCTCCGCACTTTGGGAGATGGGGAATTCGTCAAGTGCCTCCATTCTGTTGGGCGACCCTTGCCCCTAACTGGTAAGTGAGCCTTTTGTTGAGATTAGTATAATGGGAAGGGATCCTCTTCACAGACAAGTCTCTTTGGTAGATAGCCATTCATGTGTTTCATCCCTTTTCTGCCAAGGGTGCATCTACACTGTAGAGTTAATACAGTTTGACATCACTTCAAGTTCCATAGTTCAATGTTGTTGGATCATGGGAGATCTCAGAACTGTGGTGGTGCAATGTGTTAAACCCTTGTGCTGGCTGAATTGTTGACCTGAAGGTCAATGGTTCAAATCTGTGAGACTGAGCTCCCGTACGTCAGCCCCAGCTTCCCATGCAGGATGGTAACACATCCGGGCATCCCCTGGGCAACGCTTTTGCAGACAGCCAATTCTCTCACACCAGAAGTGACTTCCAGTTTCTCAAGTTGCTTCTGACAAAATTTTTAAAATGGGAGATCTTGTAGTTTTGGCCTTCTCTGCCCAGAGGTTCTGGTGCCTCACCAAATTACAACTCTCAAGATTCCATAACACTGAGCCATGGCAGTTAAAGTGGTATCAAACTGTATTTCTTTCAAGATCACAACTGTTTTTAATGTATTATTGGGTTTGGAATTTGAAAACCCTAATAAAAATGTTCCACACACAGTTCTTCCATAGATTTGATGTTTTTCTCAATTCAGTACCTTGAAGTTCTGGTTTGGTTTCTTTTAGTGCTCTTGCACAGATTTTGTGTTTTGCATCAGTGCTTTGAAAGTCTGTTAGAAGACTTTAACCCCTTTCTGACTGTTTACTCTATAATCCCCAAAGAAATCTCTGTTGCATATTGCAAAACAAAAAGGTCAAAGCTGGTTGTGAAAATTCTGTACATGATGAAGCAATCCTGAGCTCATTTTTGGAACTAAAATACCAAATTCCTATAAAACCAGAATTTGAATCTTTGCTCAGCTATGGAAGCCCACTGAGTGACCTTATGTTTGTCATAAATCGGACTGAAAGCACAACTCCTGAGACCTGTTTTTTCTCCTTTTCTGTCCCTTCCTGCAGAAGAGTTGGTGAACAACTGGCCCTGTAACCCAGAGAAGACTTTAATTGCACATGTCCCTGAACGGCGAGAGATTGTCTCCTTTGGCAGCGGCTATGGGGGCAACTCCCTCCTTGGCAAAAAATGCTTTGCACTGCGCATCGCCTCTTGCATTGCCAAAGACGAAGGTTGGCTGGCCGAACACATGCTGGTAAGGAGGGGTGAAAAGATACTTCAAAGGCAAAGGGTACATCTATGCCATAAAATTAATGTAGATTGATGCCACTTTATTTGCCATGGAACCCTAAGAGTTGTAGTTTGGTGAGGCACTAGCTGTTTTTGGCAGAGAAGGCTAAAGACCTTGTAAAACTACATTTACCATGACTACATAGTATTGAGCCATGGCAGTTCAAGTGGTTTCAACCTGTATTAATTTTGCAGTGTAGATGGGTATAGATGTGCCTTCAGGTCAACTGCTGATTTATGGCAACTCCATAAAGTGTAGGGTTTTCTTTGGCAAGGAACACTCAGAGGTGGTTTTGCCAATTCCTTGCTAAATATAGCCTGCAGTACCTGGGATTCTTCAGCAGCTTGCCTAGGTTTGAGGGAAAGTTCTTTTTGCACTGCCATTCCCAGAATCCCCAGCTACCAGAACTTCTGGGAGTTACAATCCAATAATAATAATAAAACTTTATTTGTATTCCGTCCTATCTCCCTGAAGGGACTCAGGATGGATTCATCACAAAAAAGCAAACATTCAATGCCTGAATACGACGACCAATATACACATATTAACAAAAATAATAACCCAACATATAAAACACATTATAACTTAATATCTAAATTAAATAAAAAACATAATCTATCGTGTAAATTATATCAACATAAGAACAAAATTTCAGACAGAAGCAGCAATTTCCCCACACCAACATAATTCAATTGGCAGATGGACAAAGACAACCAATAATGACCAGAGTAGGAAAGGACAATGACAATGCTAAATTGTTTACGGACTTGGATTTGGTGAACACTGACCACAAGATGTTTTTATTGCTGCTAGTATACTGTCTGATTGTTTTAATTAGTTATAACTATGATATTATGTGGTAAATTTGTGTATTATATATTGCATTGTATGTTGTAATTGTTAGGCATCGAATTGTGCCTTTTGTAAGCCGCCCTGAGTCTCCCCTAGGGGGTTGAGAAGGGCGGGGTAGAAGTACCCCAAATAAATAAAATTGGATATATATATAATGAATAGGGATTGATTAAAAAGGCACTTTCCCCCAAATTATGGAAGTTCTAGTCTGCAGTAGTTGAGAAATTGGGACCAAGGTGTGTTACATACCCTCAAGTCACCCCATAAATTTCATAAATTTCATATTCCTTTCATAGTGAATCTAAGAGGTGGTTTTGCCAGTTACTTCTTCCACAGCACCTGATGCAAAGGGCTAACCAGGACTGACCCTGCTTAGCCTCCAAGATCAGGCTCCGGTGCTTTTAGGATATTTACATAGCCATATAGGAGAGGGTACAACCAGTTAACAAGCAACACCTCTTGAAACCCCTCTTCTGTATGGCCATTAAAGTCACAGGAGACCTTTCCAGTTTTCACTCTGACAACTAGTTATCAGTCATTGGGTAAAATCGAGCTAAAGAAACTCAAGACGTCAAAAGTTTCATTTTTGGACCACTATTCTATGGAATCTCAGCCAGTACGATCAATGGGGGCTGTATTCTCAAAAATGATACTTTGCAAGCTCTAGTTCTGTGTCCTGCTGGAGCAAGCATAGACAAACTTTGGCTGTTAGGAATTGTGGGAGTTGAAGTCCAAAACACCTGGAGGACTGAAGTTTGCCTGTGCCTGTGCTGGAGTATGTTTGTGCAAAACAAAGTCTAGTTTCCATGAATCAAATAGTTTGGGACAGAACAGCTTTGGGCGGGTGAGCGTTTGGATCTCCGGCACAAGGCCAAAGGACAGTAGGTGTTGACATTGTCTTGCGGGGATATTTAACGAGCAAATATTAATTGGTTAATGAGTGACTGGAGCCTGCTGAAACCCCAAACATGCAAGGATGCGTCTGACGCACAACAAGCAGGAGAGCTAAGTGGAAGACGTGAGGGTTTCAGTTGGCACATAGAGGGCATTGGCCCATCTGAGGACAAAGGAGGTCAGGGGGAAACTTTGGGGAAGGTTGCCAGATCTCAGGGCCCAGTCCTGAGTCTTTACTTTTCATGGATCATTTCCAAACATCAGATGAAGCTTCAAATGCTCCCATTTTGGGGTGTGGGGTACAGCTCCAGGCAAGAAGAGCTTGCTACCTTTTCAAGGATGAACTGATTTGTTGCTACAACTTACAGAGGTTCCCCAGGGGGGTCTTTATATTTGCTTCTCAATGCTTTAGGTTCCAGGACTCATCCTCTCGGTACTTTTTAATATTTGACATTTTATACTGCTTCTGGACTTAGTGAAGCCTATGATGGACCCGAATGTCCCAAAAATGGCTCCTGACATATTGGAAGTTGTCAATGCTTTAAAAAAGCTTGGGATAAGAAATATTTCAGCCCCTACTCTCTCTCTCTCTCTCTTTGTGTCTCTCAATTTTGGAATATCAGTATATTTTCTTATATGTATATTAATTTCATTTATGTTTCATATACACATAGCGTGAAGACAATTGTATACAATATTTTAAATAAATGTATGCATGAAACAAACGTATCACTGTCTTGGCCACCCATGTTGTAATTTGGAATTTCAGATAAAGGATGCACCAAGTATATTTTCTTAGCATCCCAAATATGTGCTTATGGGTTTCCCGCACCACTCATACACTGCTCATGCACTTTTCCAGATCCTGGGGCTCACGAATCCAGAGGGGAAGAAGAAATATGTGGCTGCAGCCTTCCCTAGCGCCTGCGGAAAAACCAACCTGGCCATGATGAACCCCACCCTGCCTGGCTGGAGGGTTGAGTGTGTGGGAGATGACATTGCTTGGATGAAGTTTGACATCGATGGTGGGTTATATGCTGGAAAGGAAAGATGTTTAGGGGTGGAATGAAGACACAGTTGGTACTCCATTGGGATAAGGAGCACAGGACCCACCCCTGTGAAAATGGAATTAAAAAAAAACCTGAGAGAATACTTGACTAGGTCCTCCAGTGTAACTCTAAGGTTAACTTCTGTGAGATGTTAACCACAGACGTTGACTCTAAGGTTAATATTTGCTGGATGTTGACCACAGAATTATGTTGGAAGTGTTTCCTTTAGGAATCCCTAGGTCCTCCAGCACAACTGTTTGGAAAGCCTCTGGTGCGGTTGACCATAGAGTCAATTCCAAGACAGAACATATCAAATCAGTGAATAATCAGATCTGCAAAAGTTAAAGCTTCAAAAGTGAAGCTCCAACTCTACTTACAAGAAAGATTAAGATAAGACTAGAGCTTAGAAAATGTGTTTTTTTAACCTGTACCTCACAGAACTCAGGTTGGCCAGGGGACTTTGGAAGTGATTGTCCAAAGGGGTAACTTCTCCAAGTTTTGTGTTTTTCATCCCTTCTTAGGTGTTCTCCGAGCTATCAACCCTGAGAATGGTTTCTTCGGGGTGGCACCAGGAACCTCCACCAAAACAAACCCCAACGCCATGCACACCATCCAGCGCAACACAATGTTCACCAATGTTGCCGAGACCAGCGAAGGGGGCGTCTACTGGGAAGGCATCGACCAGATGATCCCAGCAGGAGTGACCATCAGCACATGGCAAGGCAAGCCATGGAAGCCAGGTAAGAAGTGGAAACTGGTTGCAAAGGATTCTGGGTCGCATTCTGAGCAGTCATTTGGGTGTACTATCATTTCCAGTGGTTCTCTGCATGCAATATAAGGTACATATCTCTTATAGGATCAAGAAATATTTGAAGCAGAGTGTGACTGAGATAGATAGATAGATAGATAGATAGATAGATAGATAGATAGATAGATAGATAGATAGATAGATAATGGCTTACTTAATGTGGCAAGATAATACTAAAGGTCAGCGGTGTTAAGATTTAGGGACAAAATGCTAAATACCAGCCGCATGGACCTCAGAGTTGAGGAAGCAGCATCATTTTCACTGTTGCATTTAGTAGAGTCAGTTTGTGTTAGATCCTTGGTTTGGCACCACACTCTCTGCAGCTTGTCCATGGCAACTGAATGTAGTTTTCCTATTTATATAGGAAGACAGCTTACTTTATAAATCTAGAATTAAGAGTACGCATCCAGGTAATAAAAATGCAAAGAAATAAAGCCTTAAGACAGAGGAAAACAGCAGCCCGACCTTAACAGTGACTAAACAGACACTCCTAAGATAAAACCCTAACTTAGCCACACTTAGTGGCATTTGATGGTACCCTAAAAGTCTGAACAAATCAAACGCCATGTCCCAGTAAGTGGAGATTACTAGTAAGGCAAGTATCATTGGATTTCCCTCCATTCCAGGGCTGGGATGCAATTACAAACCAGAAGGGAATAGATTTGAGCCAGAGTTCAGAATTTCACCCCAAAACTTTATTCCTCTGTGAAGAACAGTAGGAACAAAAGAGGGACTACCTTTCATCGTGCACAGAGTGCTGTTGTTTACCACTGAGTATCTACTGTGAACAGGCAGAGTTTGAACTCAGCAGTATTGTTGTCTAGGCTTCCAGATCCTATTTTCAACTTCAACTCTTCCTCCTCAGGTGATCCAACGGCTGCAGCTCACCCCAATTCTCGCTTCTGCGCCCCTGCCCGCCAGTGCCCAATCATGGATCCAGACTGGGAATCCCCCAAGGGTGTCCCTATTGATGCCATCATCTTTGGGGGCAGGAGACCCCAAGGTAATTCCACTGAGCTGAGAAATTGGGAGCTAGAATTCCTCAGCAAATAAATTTTGGTCCACTTTCTACTAATTTCCCTAGTACAACCCTTGCCATGGCCTTCCCTTCTGAGATTCCATGGAACTAACTTCTTTAAATCCTTTCCCCTGGCACAGGTGTCCCCTTGGTGTATGAGGCCTTCAATTGGCGCCATGGAGTCTTTGTGGGCACTGCCATGAGATCAGAGTCCACCGCAGCCGCTGAACACAAAGGTAAGGGACAGATGGGATTCTCACAATTTGCTGGCTTTGTCTTCATTGGCTGTGTCTACACTGTAGGATTAATGCAGTTTGACACTTCTTTCCATGGCTCAGTGCTATGGAATGCTGGTAGTTGTAGTTTTGCAAGATCTTTAGCCTTCTCTGCCAGAGTCCTGGCATCTCACAAAATTATATATCCCATTATTCCATAGCATTTAGCCATGGCAATTAAAGTGGTGCCAAACCGGATGAATTCTAAAGTGTAGATGCATCCATAGATTCAGCAACATCATTCCCTTGCTTCTTAAAGTTGAATCCCTCTGAAGAATGACTAATAAACAACAGTGATGAGGCTGCAAATGTCTTTTTAGGCTTCAGTACTTTTGTTATTTTGAGCAGAAGCAGATTGGCCATCCAGATGTTTGGACCATGACTCCCATAACACTGGCCAACACACATTTTGATGCCTCAGATGTTAGACCTGTTTTTGAGTTCAGGCAGTCCCCAAGTTACAAACAAGATAGGTTTGTTCTTAAGTTGAATTTGTCTATAAGTCAGAACAGATACTTTTTAAAGTGTAACTCCAGCCATATATATACACACACACACACATACACCCCCTCTGTCAGCTCTAGCTCTTGAGGTGCAAAACATATGCCGTATACCACTTGCCACCTGCTCGCCCATTGAAAACCATGATAACCATATCTAAAAAACTAGACCTGATGAGGTCTGTCCAACACAATTTTCTGAAATTAGCACCCCCAATAATCCCCGGAACACGCTTAAAAACCAAGATACCAATAAAAATATTTTTGTTGTTCTGTGTAATCTCTTTCTCTTGAATAATACTGGGTTGTGGCTGCCTAAACAGACCTGTCAAAATCACATTTGAGTATTCTTTGCCCAAGAAAACTCTATGAAATTCATAGGGGTTGGAGTAAGTCAACAGGTAGATTGAAGGCACATGCACAGACACAAACTACACTGAGTCTAGGGAGAGAACTTCTACTTACAAATTGTTCTTGTGTGAGTCTTCTTGTTTAAGGATACCTAATTGATGATAGTGGATGGGAAACATAATTTGCTTTCCCACTGCAAATACCTGCAAACAGGCAGGGTTTTTTTCATGTCAGGAGCAACTGTGTAGTGGATGATTTTACTGCACTGCTGGTCAACACACTTGGTGTGTACGTACCTTTGTTGGTACATATGTGTCTTCTGAGTTCAAATATGGTTTGGAACAATTCACAGCCTCATCTGGATTTAGGAATTATAGTTTCCTCAGATACAAAACACTATGCTTTGCACCATGTGTGGGTGCAATGATTTTTTTCATGTCGGGAGGGACTTGAGAAACTGCAAGTCACTTCTGGTGTGAGAGAATTGGTTGTTGCCTCGGGGAGGCCCTGATGTTCTGATGTTTTACCATTTTTGTGAGAGGTTTCTCTCATGTCTCCACATCAGGAGCTGGAGCTGACACAGGGAGCTCATGCATGCTCTCCCTGGCCTCCGACCTGTCAGTCTTCAATCCTGCTGGCACAAGGGTTCAACCTATTGTGCCACTGGGGACTCCCAGCAGGATTAATAACAACCTGCTTCACAGTGTTGAGCTACCACTGTTCCAGGGTCCTTGTCTGGATAACAGGTGGATTCAGAGATTGGTAGAGAGGCAGCAGTTGGAAAGATGAACGTGTGGTCCCATCCACAAATGACAAGTACATGGCCAAAATCAGAAAGTAGGCAGATCATGATGAAGCTTGACGTAAGATTAAGTGAGCAAGCAGGGTGATGTGGTTTTCTAAAATATGATAAGCATATTAACATTTATCTTCCTTCCTCCGTCTAATAATCTCAGGCAAAGTCATCATGCACGACCCCTTTGCCATGCGCCCTTTCTTTGGCTACAACTTTGGCCGCTACCTCGAGCACTGGTTGAGCATGGAGGAGCGGAAGGGGGCCCGCCTTCCCAAGATTTTCCATGTCAACTGGTTCCGCAAGGATGCTTCTGGGAACTTCTTGTGGCCCGGCTTTGGGGAGAACTCCCGGGTCCTCGACTGGATCTTCCGACGCGTCGACGGAGAAGAGAGCGCCAAGGAAACGCCAATTGGGTACATCCCGAAGGAAGGTGCCTTAGACATGTCGGGCCTAAGCAAGGTGGATTTTCAGGAGTTGTTCTCCCTGCCCAAAGAGTTCTGGGAACAAGAAGTGCGGGAAATCCGACAGTATCTAACAGAACAAGTCCCCGACGACTTGCCCAAGGAAGTCATGAAGGAACTGGAGGCCCTGGAGAGCCGGGTGAAGAAGATGTGAAGGGACCAAACAATAAAAGAAAAAGAACCAAAGACCACATTCCCCTGTATCTCCTGCAGGGAGAAGCAGGAGGAACTGGGAGCTTGTTTACAGACTTAACATTCCCTAATTCTGACCAACTAAGCCATTCTGGCCATCAAGAGTCAACCATCTTGTCTCCATAGTCATGAGGCAATCATCTTGCCCCTAGGCAACCTGAATTGCCTCGATTTTCTTTGTGCCTCTGTTTTCTTAGTGCATCAGTTTTATGTCTTTTTTCTCTTATTGCTATCATTCCTTGATTTTAGGGAAACAAGGCAAAAACCATCTCCTTTCTTGTTTTCATCAGCTTGGTGTTGTTTCCACTTGGAGTCTGCTTTTCTCATCTGTGCATCACCCTTGTATCTTAGTAGCTTTCGTCTTTTCCTAGACTGCCTTTTCTTCCTTTTGCTTATGAGGAAGGTATGGTGGAAAGTTTTTGTTGGAAGGGATAACTCAGCACAGCCCAGTGAGGACCTTCCAATCCCAGTACCAGTCAAAGTTAGTTTCAACAGCAATGGAAGCTTTCCATCAATTGGTCTTCAAACAAGGCGTGATTTCATTGACAAAACTTTTCTGTTTGATACCTCTAATTTAACTGAATGGTTAAATGCGAATCTTTTAAGTTCTAGACCTGTTGCTAATTGTGGCAATAACTGTAATATGGGATGGGTCCTACTGTTTTTAGATATCCTCTTTTCCCAGTTCTTCTGAACCATAAAAATGTATAATGTTGCCTTATATTGAATCAGACCACTGGTCTGTCTTAACCTGAATGTCATTGGGCCATTGTGCCATACCAGTGATAATTTATGGAGTGCTTTATAGTGCCTATCAAAGATGGGGTATACTTCCACTACCCTGATGAATGCTATGGTTTATAAATTCTGTTAATGTGGAACATGCTGACAGTTGTGATGGAAAGCAACACAGGTCTTCAGAAGTTCACAAGAACCTCATAAAAAAGCACATTATGTTGGATTCGATCATTAAATAATGTCATCTTATCCAACCAGAATCATGAATGACAGCTTGAATTCTTCCTAGTGGTTTTCTTACTTTGAATGTCTTCACACACTGTCTAATATGATGGCGACTCAGCATAAGTTGATCATTAAGATGACTGAACACTATTTTCTAATATCTATACTGTTGTCCATCTTGCCAAGCAGATGCGAGAACATAATATTCCCTTTGAAGACCACATTTTAAGGTAGTTTGAGATAAATGAATAACTCTGTCAAACTTTTCATTTTATGTTGACAAAATTATAGTTCCCTCTTACTCTAAATTCATTTATCTCAATTCAGCAATGATGCTCTTTACTTACCTAATAGCATCTACAACTCTAATCTGCCCTATTTCACTTAACTTTTCTATTGCAATACTAAAAATCTATTTTCTTTCTCACAGCTTTTAGAGTGTGGCCTTGAGATTTTATAAGTTCCCCCGGACTGTTTTGTGGCCTTCACCCCTTACAAATTTGCCATGCCGTCCTTTTTTGGTTGTAGAAATGGGTACTTCCCCTAGATGTATAACATGGTCTCCGTATCCTCAAGGGATCCGCTCTCAGACTTCATGTGGACATGTGAAACCATGGATAATTACAAAACTTATTGAAAGAAGTACTTCCAACCCAATAATACCATAGAGTTGCACTAGAGGACCTAGAAAATGCCTAGAGAAGCCATATTTTGTTGTAAATGAATAAATGGAACAGCGCGCACCGATCCAGCAGATACTATTGTACTGTATATCCCTTGGAAGCATCCAGATGAGGCAATTAATTATCAATTTCTCAAAACCAGAAGCAGACTTCTGACCACTTCCTGATTTATTGTATTGCTTTGGGGCATTTAGCAGTTCATAGAGGCCCTAGAATAGATAATTGCCACCTGGACTTACCATGGTTGCTCATCCCTAATACAGACTATCTATGAATGTTTCATGACATCACAGCAGAACAGCCAATAGTTAGAAAGGATTGCAAATACTAGCCAATTTTAGCATCTTATGTGTCTTAAGTAGCCGATAGGAAGTGTGAATTATACAGCATCCAGGTAATGAGTCTGTTACGGTTTGTCAGCATATATTGGCCATTCACTAGTTTTCAGGTATGATGTCCTTTTTAATGGTGCTCACTACTAGAAATTTAGTACTTACCCATTTTTATGTGGACCTCAACCAATAGGGTTGTCTGCTGTTTTACGCCCATGCTTGAATTGAGTTTGCCTGTATTCCAAGTAATTATGAAGTGCAAACAATTAATGGGCTTGGAGTTTCTTCCTCACCATCTTTGCCAGAAATTCAGGATAGCGGACAATATCCCAATGTATTCAGTGTACTTTTATGGTTTCAACCAGCTGCTGGGGAAAAACAAAACAAAACATGAATTAGATATTTGACTGCAATTTAATTTGTGTGGTTTTTGTAAAATAAATAAATAAAATTAAACGCATACTATTTTATTAAGAAACATGAATGAGAATAAAAGTATCAAGAAAGAAAAGTGTGTGAATGTTCTTTTGCTGGTGTCAATTCCTTTATCAGTGGGGCATATGATTTATGGAGATTTTCCAAGAGTTTTGAAGGTACATTTATAATACACATGCAAAGCTGTTTGAAAAGCTGAGTTAAATATCATTGCAGTCTTTGGGAAATAAAGTGCTTTCACGGAAAACAAAAGGACAGGTCCCTCTTCCAAAGGGATTCAACAACAACTGAATTACTTAGGTTGGGCTTGGAGAGGACATATATGCACTTTGGCCCCTTTTACACTGCCATAGAATCCAGATTATCAAAGAACATAATCCACATGATCTCCTTTGAACTGGATTATCTGAATCTACACTGTCATATACTCCAGTTCAAAGCAGATTATCTGGATTTTATATGGCAGTGTAGATGGGGCCTTTGTTGTGTGCCTTCACGCTATTTCCTACTTATGGCAACTCTTAAGACACATCTATCAAATATTTGGTTCAGAAGGGAGTTTGCCTTTGCTTTTCCCTGGTTTCTTCTACACTGCCAGGTAATCCAGATTATCAAAGCAGAAAATATACATTAAATGATATGAACTGGATTTTCTTAGCCAACCTAGTTAAACATGCAAATGTGAGTAGATCAATAGATATCGCTTCTGCGGGAAAGTAACGATGCTCCATGCAGTCATGCTGGCCACATGACCTTAGGGGCATCTACGGACAACACCAGCTCTTCGGCTTAGAAATGGAGATGAGCGTCACCCCCAGACTACACTTAATATCAGGGGAAACTTTTACCTTTACTATCCTGCCCTAGGTCCAAGAATCTCAGTAAAATAAAAATCAGTGCGGACGGTTTAAAGCAATTTAAAACAAAGATCAAATGCCTATTTAATAATTTACTGTTTTGATAAGGCAATACATGGAACGGGCAACTGTGGCATGAAACATAATACAATTAAAATACTAAGGATTGATTTAAAATGGAAGCAATAGAGCATCACATTAAAGGCCTTTTCCTTTAGAACATTCAGAATTTGAAGAATAGGGGTCTATTTATTTTGAGGAATAAGCATTTATTTGCGACATTTACTTTGTTGTAACTTATTTCTAATGGTAGAATGAGTACTCCAGCTTTATATTATATACTAATTTATACACATATGCACATCCATACATATATATATATATATAAGGTAAAGGTAGTCCCCTGACATTAAGTCCAGTCATGTCTGACTCTGGGGTGTGGTGCTCATCTCCATTTCTAAGCCAAAGAGCCAGCGTTGTCCGTAGACACCTCCAAGGTCATGTGGCCGGCATGACTGCATGGAGCGCCGTTACCTTCCCGCCGGAGCGGTACCTATTGATTTACTCACATTTGCATGTTTTCGAACTGCTAGGTTGGCAGAAGCTAGGGCTGACAGCGGAAGCTCACGCCGCTCCCTGGAATCAAACCTGCGACCTTTTGGTCAACAAGCTCAGCAGCTCAGTGCTTTAACCCACTGCGCCCCCGGGGGCGCCATATATATATATATATATATATATATATATCAGTCATGGGGAAACTGAGGCCCTCCAGGTGTTTTGGACTTCAACTCCCACAATTTAAGCTGTAAGGAATTGTGGGAGTTGAAGTCAAAACACCTGGAGGGAGTTTGCCCATGCTTGATATATATATATATATAGAGAGAGAGAGAGAGAGAGAGAGAGAGAGAGAGAGAGATAAATATATTCTACCATTAGACACAATAAAAATTTCAAATAAAGTAAATGTAGCAAAAAAAAAACCCTACTAATAATAAAACATAATTGACAATTTTAAAATCATCCCATTCATAACTCTTTTTGGGGATATTTACCTATTTGATTAATATCCCACTATTTTTCCAATGTAAGTCCTTAGGAGACATACCTATACAAAAACATGATTTGTTTCATTAAAAAGGAATTATTTAGTTACTTATTTACTACATTTATACCTCACCCTCTCTCAGTCTGAAGGCGCCTCAGAGCAGCTTACAAGTTATTTCTAGATACAATATATCATATTATTAGCATAGCACAAAATTAGCATTATATATTACTATATTCGTTTGACGAATGCAAGGCTGGGGTAAAAATTGCTGGAAGAAACATTAACAACCTTAGATATGCAGATGACACCACTTCGATGGCCAAAAGTGAGGAGGAGCTGAGGTGAAAGAAGAAAGTGCCAAAGCTGAGTTGCAGCTAAACATAAAAAAAACCAAGATTATGGCAACAAGAATGATTGACAACTGATTGACAAATAGAGGGAGAAAACGTGGAGGCCGTGACAGACTTTGTATTTCTAGGTGCAAAGATTACTGCAGATGCAGACTGCAGCCAGGAAATCAGAAGACGCTTACTTCTTGGGAGGAGAGCAATGACCAATCTCGATAAAATAGTGAAGAGTAGAGACATCACACTGGCAACAAAGATCCGCATAGTTAAAGCAATGGTATTTCCCGTAGTCACCTACGGATGTGAGAGCTGGACCATAGGGAAGGCTGAGCGAAGGAAGATAGATGCTTTTGAACTGTGGTGTTGGAGGAAAGTTCTGAGAGTGCCTTGGACAGCGAGAAGATCCAACCAGTCCATACTTCAGGAAATAAAGCTGACTGCTCATTGGAGGGAAGGATAGTAGAGGCAAAGATGAAGTACTTTGGCCACATCATGAGAAAAAAGGAAAGCTTAGAGAAGACAATGATGCTGGGGAAAAAGGAAGGAAAAAGGAAGAGGGCCGACCAAGGGCAAGATGGATGGATGGGATCCTTGAAGTGACTGGACTGACCTTGAAGGAGCTGGGGGTGGTGACGGCCGACAGGGAGCTCTGGCGTGGGCTGGTCCATGAGGTCACGAAGAGATCTTTGTTTCTTATCATACCAATTTTTGCCTGAAATTTACCTCCAATGTTTCTAATTTTCTGGAAGAGGTGTCTTGTCCTTCCTATTCTGTTGTCTTCTTCCACTTCCATGCATTGCTTATTTAAAAATAGTTCCTTATCTCTTCTGGCTAACCTCTGGAATTGCGCATTTAACTGGGCATATCTCCCCTTATCCCTGTTTCCTTTTGCTTTCCTCCTTTCTTGGGCTACTTCCAGTGTCTCAGCAGACAACCATTTTGCCTTCTTGGTTTTCTTTTTCTTTGGGACGTACTTTGTTGCCGCCTCCTGAACAATGTCGCGGACTTCTGTCCATAGTTCTTCTGGGACTCTGTTTACTAAATCTAGTCCTTCAAATCTTTTCTTCACTTCCACTGTATATTCGCTAGGAATGTTAGTGAGATCATATCTAACTGGTCTGTGTATTTTCCCTGATCTCTTTAGTTTTATTCTAAACTGAGCGATAAGAAGTTCGTGATCTGAGCTACAGTCAGCCCCAGGTCTTGTTTTCACCGACTGGATGGATGTCCGCCACCTTTGGCTGCAAAGGATGTAGTCAATCTGATTTCAGTGTTGACCATCCGGTGAAGTCCATGTATAAAGCTGTCTTTTAGGTTGAGGGAAGAGAGTGTTCGTTATACACAGTGAGCTTTCCTTGCACAATTCTATCAGACTGCGTCCCGCTTCATTTTGTTCTCCCAGACCATGCTTGCCTGTGATCCCAGTTGTCATTTGACTTCCCACCTTGGCTTTAGAATTAGCTTTAGCTGTCCTTAAACATACTCGAGTCAAGAAGGAGGCAAGGAAACTAGTCCAATGTGGGCTAGGCAAAACTATGGTGAGGTGGATCTGTAATTGGTTAAATGGACAAACCCAGAGGGTGATTCTCACCAATGCTTCCTCTTCATCCTGGAAAGAAGTGACGAGTGGAGTGCCGCAGGGTTCCGTCCTGGGCCCGGTCCTGTTCAACATCTTTATTAACGACTTAGATGAGGGTTAGAAGGCAGGATCCTCAAGTTTGCAGACGACACCAAATTGGGAGGGATAGCCAATACTCCAGAGGACAGGAGCAGGATTCAAAACGATCTTGACAGATTCGAGAGATGGGCCAAAACTAACAAAATGAAGTTCAACAGTGACAAATGCAAGATACTCCACTTTGGCAGGAAAAACGAAATGCAAAGATACAGAATGGGGGACGCTTGGATCGAGAGCAGTACGTGTGAAAGAGATTTTAGAGTCCTCGTGGACAACAAGTTAAACATGAGCCAACAATGTGATGTGGCGTCAAAAAAAGGCAATGGGATTTTGGCCTGCATCAATAGGAGCATAGTGTCTAGATCTAGGGAAGTCATGCTACCCCTCTATTCTGCTTTGGTTAGACCACACCTGGAATATTGTGTCCAATTCTGGGCACCACAATTCAAGAGAGATATTGACAACTGGAATGTGTCCAGAGGAGGGCGACTAAAATGATCAAGGGTCTGGAGAACAAGCCCTATGAGGAGCGGCTTAAGGAGCTGGGCATGTTTAGCCTGAAGAAGAGAAGGCTGAGTGGAGATATGATAGCCATGTATAAGTATGTGGGAGGAAGCCACAGGGAGGAGGGAGCAAGCTTGTTTTCTGCTTCCTTGGAGACTAGGACGCGGAACAATGGCTTCAAACTACAAGAGAGGAGATTCCATCTGAACATGAGGAAGAACTTCCTGACTGTGAGAGCCGTTCAGCAGTGGAACTCTCTGCCCCGGAGTGTGGTGGAGGCTCCTTCTTTGGAAGCTTTTAAACAGAGGCTGGATGGCCATCTGTCAGGGTGCTTTGAATGCAATATTCCTGCTTCTTGGCAGAAAGGGGTTGGACTGGATGGCCTATGAGGTCTCTTCCAACTCTTTGATTCTATGATTCTATGTGTCATTTCACACAATGTGTGCTCAAAGTTTCTTTTTGTTCCATTCCTCTCAAAGCCCTGAGCTGACTCCAGGTTTGTCTCAAAGGCCCATCTTGCTCCTGCCAATCACTTCACCGCTGTCCAATCAGAACCAAGTAGCCTCGCCTGGCAGAGCTGGCAGAGGTTACACAACGAAGGGCTGCCGCTCAAGCTGAAGCGACCAATGAGAGAGCGGCTTTCCGTCTTATCTCCCGCCTTTCCGGAGAATTGTCCAATGGGAGATTCGATTAACCTTATCCCCCCCCCTCTCGCTTCTGGAACCCTAGCAGCCAATCAAAGAGGCGCAACGCTTTTAAAAGCCTCGAGCCGACCCACGTGGGGTAGTGACTCGCAGCCAATCAGTGAGCAGCCGGCTTGGAACCTCCCACCTTTCGCTCCCAACTCTAGTCAGAGGCGGATTCCGCCTTAAGATGTAAACAAGGCCTCGCGCTGTGACCGTTGAGAGGGTGAGGAGGGTCTCGCGCCAGCGGGGAAGGGAGGGGGGAGGCAAAGAGCGCGCGCGCGGCCTGTGATTGGCTGAGCCGAGCGCGGCGCGAGGAGAGGGGAGGGGGGAGGAGAGGGAAAGAGACGGCAGGTCGGTTCGAACGAAGGCAAGCGGAAGGCGCTCTGATTGGTGGGGAGAACGGATGGAACGTTGAGGGTGGGAGGGCGGCGTTGGGTTAGCCAGAGTGTCCCCCCAATATGTTGAGCGCTGATTGGAGGAAGCCCCGAGTACGGCGCGTGCTTATTGGAGGAGAGGCCTTAAAGGGTTTTCTTAGCCCTCTAATTGGCTCAGTGGACCTCTCCGTTTTTGATTGGTGGCCGGAGGAGGTGGGGTGGCCGGAGGAGGGATGAGGGAAAATAACAGTGTAAACTCTGGGTAAGGAGTGATTTTCACAGATAGGCCTCACCAGAATGGAGTTAAAAAGGGAGCCAATCCGTTCTCTTTAGTACTGACGACTGTGACTGAATGTGGTTAGAATACAATCCAATGAGAATGTCATGGAAACAAGGGAGAGTATTGTATTCTAGTATCTGGAAGTTGTAGAGTTGGCGCACTGCAAAGGATAGCCAGTCAGGAGGGGGATGATAGGTAAGTAAGTACAATACACTCCCAATTAATTGGAACTCTCAAGAAGTGTAATGCAATATAATAATAATATGATATTATAATTATATATTTTATATTAAATGTAATATTACTACTAATAATAATGGTATAGTATAATGTAGTAATATATAATACTGATATTTATTTATCATGTCAGGAGCAAAGCAGATTTATTTATTTATTTACTTTATTTGTATACCGCTCTTCTCAGCCCTTAGGCGACTCAGAGCGGTTTACAACAGTTTAGATATGCAGAATACAAAATCATTATGCATTTAAAAACAATTACTAGTATTATATTGCATTACATTACAATATTATAAATATTATATGTATATACAATATATTATATTATAACATATTATTAGAATAGCACAGGAGACAAGGTGGAACTGTCCCCTGGCCCCTCTTTCTTCGCTCTGGCCCAGAGCAGCAGTTGGTGCTGGGGGGAGGGGCAAATGCAGGAGACAAGATGGTGCTGTCCCCTGGCCTCCCCTCTCTTCGATCTGGCCCAGAGCAGCAGTTGGTGCAGATAGTTGTATATCATTTTTTTAACAAACAGACAAACAAACAAAACACAAAGTTTGCAAGCTTGGTAATTGATTAAATGTCCTTTGACCAGTAGCTGGCCACTTGAAGTTCCTCTGGTGTTACTATAAGAAGGTCCTCCATTGTGCATGTGGCAGGGCTCAGGTTGCAATGCAGCAGGTGGTCTGTAGTTTGCTCTTCTCCACACTCGCATGTCGTGGATTCCACTTTGTGGCCCCATTTCTTAAGGTTGGCTCTGCATCTCGTGGTGCCAGAGCTCAGTCTGTTCAGCGCCTTCCAAGTCGCCCAGTTTTCTGTGTGCCCAGGAGGGAGTCTCTCATTTAGTATCAGCCATTGATTGAGGTTCTGGGTTTGAGCCTGCCACTTTTGGACTCTCGCTTGCTGAGGTGTTCCAGCGAGTGTCTCTGTAGATCTTAAAAAACTATTTCTTGATTTAAGTCGTTGAAGTGCTGGCTGATACCCAAACAGTGGGTGAGCTGGAGATGTCACTGCCTTGGTCATGAGAGAAGCCTCCTCGCAGGATTGCAAGACATCCATTCATCCTCTGGGCAACGTCTTCGTAGATGGCTGATTCTCTCACTCCAGAAACGACTTGCAGCATACTGATATTTTGCTATGCTAATAATATATTGTATGTGTATATATATCTTGTAAGCCGCTCTTGAGTCCCTTTGGGGTGAGAAGGGCGACATATAAATAAATAAATAAGCCGGCAAAATAATTTATTAGTATTATATTTATTTACATCCTGTTTTATCCTTCCCAAAAGGGACTCAAAGCGGCTTGACTAAAATTCCATACTGCATTGACTAAAATTCCACACAACTTTCCATACCCAAAGTTGTGTTTATAACACAGTTTTATTTATTATGTCAGAAGCATTTTTTTTTCATGTCAGGAACGACTTGAGAAACTATAAGTCGCTTCTGGTATGAGAGAAGTGCCCGTCTGCAAGGACCTTGCCCAGGGAACACCCAGATGTTTTAATGTTTTACCAGCCTTGTGTGAACCTTCTCTCATGTTACCAATGGGGAGCTGGAGCTGGCAGAGGGAGCTCATCCATGCTCTCCCCGGATTTGAACCTCCAACCTGTTAGTCTTCAGTCCTGCCAGCACAAGGGTTTAACCCATTGCTTCACCAGGGATTCATTATAATGTATAAAAACCACAAAGAAAATTAAAAACTTGGCATTTTGCTAAATTTCCTTTGAGCAGAAGCTAGCCACTTGGAGTGCCTCTGGTGTCGCTGTGAGAAGATCCTTCATTGTGCATTTGGCAGGGCTCAGGTTGTATTGTAGTCAGTGGTTTGCTTTTCTCAGCCCCATTTCTTAAGATTGGCTCTGCATCTTGTGGTGCCAGAGCACAGTGCCTTCCAAGTCACCCAGTCTTCCGTGTGCCCAGGAGGCAGTTTCTCATTTGGTCTCAGCCACTGACTGAGGTTTTGGGTATTAGCCTGCCTCGTTTGCAGTCTTGCTTGCTGAGGTGTTCCTGCAAGTATCTCTGTAGATCTTAGGAAACTGTTTCTTGATTTAAGATGTTGGCATGCTGCCTGATATCAGAACAGAGGATGAGCCAGAGTTGTCAGTGCCTTGATCCCGGCGGATATCAAGGGGTGCAATACCGGCAAAAAAGTATAATTTCTCTAGTGGTGTTGGGAATAGACATTCTGTGATAATTCAGCATGACTCATTTAGAGCCACATCCACATCCACAACATGGTGGGATCCATTCCATACTGGGCATACGTACTCAGCAGCAGAGCAGCAAAGCAGAAGTATAGATGTCTTCACTGTGTCTGGTTGTGATCCCCAAGTTGTGCCAGTCAGCTTTCGTTTGATATTATTTCTAGCACCCACTTTTTGCTTGTTAGTCAAGCCGTACTTCTTGTAAGTCAGAGCATGGTCCAGAGTGACTCCCGGGTATTTTGGTGTGCTACAATGTTCCAGTGGGATTCCTTCCCAGGTAATCCTCAGAGCTCGAGGTGCTTGCCAGTTCTTAAAATGAGAGGTACACGGTGAGGCAGCATAACTTCCTTTTTTAAAATGCACACCATTCAGTCAGTTGAAGATGTAGCGGAGCGCTAGTGGTGTCATTCCAGAGGCAGGTGTATAAAGTTTTGTCCTAACACAGTTCAGCCGCCATCATGCGTTGGAACAGTGAAGAGTGTGCTTTTGCCATTAAGGCCTACTTTTCGAGCGGATTTGGAGTGGCTCTCCAGATTTGGCCCCTTGTGATTTTTTTCTTTGGGGTTTTTTGAAATCCCGTGTTTATGTGAACCGTCCAAGGACCCTACAAAATTTGAATACCATCATCCAGGAAGAAATTGCCAACATAACGCATGCTATGCTGGCAAGAGTCATGACAAACGCCAGAAATCGGTTTACTCAGTGTATGGAGAATGGGGGACGTCACCTACCTAATTTGATCTTCAAAACTATGTAAAACAAAACTTTAGATATGCTCCTTCATTATAAAAAATTCTGATTCATACAATGGGCTTTATTAAGTTTTGAAAAAAGGAAGTTATACTACCTCACCCTGTACATGTCTGCGTTTTAGCTGGATTGGGGATCAGCTATGTTATATTAAGTTTGTCTTTATTTGCTTTTATTTGCTGTATTTCAATATTATTATCAAGTCAATACAGAGCTCACGGTATTGTCTAGTATGATCATATTAGTTAGGCTGATTTTTAGTAGTAACTCTCAGGCAAACAAGAACATTTATCCCGTGCCGGTCAACTGAGCCTGCTGTATTTGGGCCATGGTGCAAGAGGGGAAATGCTTCCCTCCTCTGACTCCTCCCGCTGTGTACAAAGTTCTCTGATTAGTGGCCCAAGATTTTCCTTTCCAGGAAGGACAAATTCCCTCTGTTTGGTTACTGAACACCAGGAGGAGAGCAGCGGTACATCTGTCCAGACCTGAAGCATGCCGTAAGACATGGGCTCCCGCAGCAGTAGCAACGCTGGCTCAGGGGGCCGTGACAACCAGGGCAGCTGGTCACAGAGGGATTCGGGGAGCCTGCGCAGCGAGGAAGAGGACGACGAGGATGTGGATCTGGCCCAGGTACTGGCATATCTACTGCGCAGGTAACTCATCCCCTTGCCCCCTTCCCAGTCTAGTTAGTGGTGGGGATGGGGGGTGTCTCCTGGATAATCAAAGTTCATTCCAGACTCACATGCAAGACAAAGGTGGGGTACCAAAGATGGGGCCATGAATTAAAATCAGGGTTCTCTCTGCCGGAACTATTGTCACAAAACAAAAAAGGAAGACCTTTTGTGATTGTGCCTTTCCTGTCTGATCTGTGCATTTGGACAAGAACTTTATTCCCATAAAGTGGAATTTAGTGATGCTTTATTCAACATGAAGACACTCCTGAAAAATACAGCTTTGTCTGGTTTTTTTCTTCATGAGGTGCTCCAGATGCAATGCATTCATTCCAAGACATATACAAATCCTAACTTTACCATTCTGTGGTGCTAGGATATTAAAGTTGGTATAAATAAGCTCATCAGGCAGTTGATGCATATTGACAAAGGCCTGTAGGTATATTTAATAAAGAAAAACATATCTAAATGGAATGGTTTGCTTCACTCTTTGCAGACATCATGGAGAGTACTAGATGTATGATTTGAATAATGCCCTAGGTTTCACTGCTTTGCTAATCAAATGGGGTTAATTTTCATATAAAGTGAGGGAGTTGCACCAGAATCTAAAGGAGTGTATCACTTAATCCTGTAAGTGCATTATGGCCGCTTCCTTACAAATGAAGGATGCTTTCTGTTTTCGTCTGCGGAAAGCACTCCATGCCTTATCTTGGTTTGTGGTCTGTTTTGGCAGTAAAATATTTGGAGAGTTTGCCTGGACTCCTACTCTATAAATGTGCATAATCAAGGAGATTTGTAATTAAAAAGCAAACAGGTTCCACATTTAGGATTGCAATCCCAGGCATGTAAGTAAGAAAAAGTAAAGGATATCTGAAAGGCTAGCTGTTTGGTATTGAAAATGCCGTCTGAGTTGTTAGAGCAAGCATTTTTTTTCAGGCTTGTATAACAAGAGGAAATTCATCTTGTGTGAATTCTGAGTGGTTTTGATGCTATTTTGGGGTTGAAGGCCACAAAGGATTTTGAGGAATTTAAAAATCAATATCCTCTTCCCCAACCAGGGCTGAGGAAAATTGATCTCTATGCTTTCATGGTGTGTAGTATTCCCTGTTGGCAATGATCTTCATCTTTGTGTTTGTTTTTTATTTCCCTAGATACGGAAGCCTTGCTTGTTGTCTTAAGCCATGCCTTCCCCACCATCTGGTGGAATGACTTTGTGCCTTCCCCTTTTAGCTGGTGTAGTTGTAAGAGAGTCCATTATTCATGCCTCCATAATATATGTCAAAATTAAGCTGGAGCTTCTACATAATCCTAGAAGTTGAGGAATTTGTGCTAACAATAAATTCTGAATGCTTAATTTCACTATAGTGAAGCTTGCAGAGCCTAATCAGGAAACACCTGGTCACCTTAAATGCATCTATTAGCGCTGAATGCAATAATTCCAGTTTGTGTGTATATTAGGTTGGGGGGGGGGGCATTGTTTGCATTATTTTCCCATGTCCTGAGAATGGGTCAAGCCCTAAATGAATTGGGCCATCTGTCTACCATTTCCATTTGCACTCTATTGTTTTATCTGTCTACCATTTCCATTTGAACTCTGTTGTTTTGTAAAATTGATGGTAGTGATCTTTTTAATAATAATTCCCAGACTTTAGGTGCAATACCTAAGAGAATGCTGCAACTCTTTTTTATCTTTCTCCCACCCATTTATGTTCTTGCCTTCCTTCCAAAACAATTACCTGACTTCTGGAAGTTTCAGCTGGAAGAATGTCATCTTCTAAATTTCTGCAAAACCCCAAATTCACCCTTAATGTGATTCATCCCCAAAATAATCCTCTGGGCTCTATGCGCTATTAGTGATAAGCAGAAACAAATAATTGAATGCTGATTCTCTGCCTTTCCTGCAAGTGAGAAACCTCTTGTTTATTTTCTTTCTTCCCCTGTTGCTCTTCTCAGAGGACAATTTCACCTGATGCAAAGTGGTGGAGCAGCCAGTGTCCGGGTGTTCCAAACCCTCTCTGATTCAGACGATGACAATGATAATGCATGGGAAGGGAGGCTTGGAGATCAGTACAAACCCACAGGTACTGCTCCAAACTTTGTGTGGGTATACTTTCTTGTTATGTGCCTTCATGCCTTTCTGACATATGGCAACCTTCTCTTCAGGGTTTCTTGACAAGATTTGTTCCGGATGGATTTGACTTTGCCTTCCTCTGAGGCTGAGAGAATGCTACTTGGCATGTTTCACCCAATGTGACTGTGCAGAGATTAGAGATTAGTCCAATACTCAAACCACTATATTTTCTAAAGATGTGAATAATTGTGGTGTTAACAGTGAACTCTGTGATGACTGGACTCCCACACTCAGTGATTGGAGGGAATTTGGCCTGGAAGGTTCGTCTGGAATTTGGCCCCAGCCCAAATTACCGGTCTGAACGCATCTCCCCCTATAAACCATCGCGGAGATTAAGATCTTCCAGGGAAGCCCTGCTTTCCGTCCCACCATTGTCACAGGCACGATTGGTGCGGATGAGAGACAGGGCCTTCTCGGTGATTGCTCCCCGGCTATGGAACTCCCTTCCTGGTGAGATCAGGTCGGCCCCCTCCCTCCTGTCCTTTAGAAGGATGGTAAAAACTTGGCTGTGGGACCAAGCTTTCGGGACAGGGCAATAAAGCGGCAATGGGAAAAATGACCAGGCCAATTAGATTTTATACAGATGACTAGGACAGTTTTAAATTGTGTATTTTAATAGTTTGATAAATGTTTTTTAATGTTTATGTATTGGATGTGAATTTGTGTCCCGGCATTGAATGTTTGCCGTATATATGCTGTGCCGTATATACCCTGAGTCCCCTTCAGGGTGAGAAGGGCAGAATATAAATGTTTTAAATAAATAAAATAAATAAATCTGTGGGGGTTGTGTATTTTCGTCCTTAAGTTTGAAAGCAGTTTGATTTTGAGTCCCCTTTTGGGGGGAGAAGGGTGGGGTATAAATATAGGAAATAAATAAATAAACTCAATAAGTTCTAGGCAAGATCATGTGTGGTTCAAAACTTCCTGTAGGTCAACGGTTTGACACCTGGCAGGATATTGAGCACCCTGAAGATCTTAGCTGTTAAAAAAAGGAACTAGTTCTTATGTCTAAAAAGATAATCTTAAATGGGTAAACATTATCTACATTCAGTTTGGGTGACAGAGCAGTTGGATTATTGTCTCTGATCAATTTTTCTTATTCTCATCATCTACAGTGGATCTGAGGCCGGACACCCGAGACCTGGAGTGCAATGAGATCAAAACACGCATCCAGCTGGCAACAGGCAGGCTGGGCTCCAGACGAGCCGAGTGTAGTATCCCCAAACTTCTTTACCAGGTGCTCTGTTCACTTCTTTTTACTTCTTAGGATTGGAAAGCTTAGGTTAGGAAGAGACTCACTTTTTAAGGCTTCAAGGGGCTAATAGAGTGTGGTAGCAGCCTACCTATCTGGTATATGACGTCTCTAGGCAGTGCTGAAAACAAGTTGCCCGGCATCCATCTAGCCTTGGAATGATGCCTCTGATATGAACTTTGTGCTTCTTCCTCCATGCAGGTATATTGGGAGGTAGTTTTAATATATTCTGAATGTATACCGTTCATTAGCTCAAGACCAATTCCTGATTGGCTAAAGACTTTGGATCTGTGTCCAAGGTATTGGAATAAACCCTTTGATTAACATATTCAAGTGTTCTATGTTTTATATTTGTCTATGTCCAATATTTTATAGTTTAGTGGTTTTAATATAGTGTTATACTCTGGTTTCTCTTCAGATCTTATATTGTTATATGCTATTTTAGTTATGTGATATGTTTTATATTTTGTGAGGTATTGAATTTTGCCATTTACTTTACTGTGAACCGCTTTGAGTCCCCCCAGGGGTGAGAAAAGGGGTGTATAAATGAAATAAATAAATGTTCTTAGACCTTCAGAGGAGCCTATGTTGGTAATACTGTAATTCATGCACATCCACATATGAACAGCAACACGTTCAGTCTCCTTGGTGGTGGCTCCCTGTCTGTGATCACTGGCTCTTAAGAATGTGGGCAGCTGAATTCTTGGATACATTTCTTCCCTGATTCAAAAATTCCAGCTTTTTGCAGAAGATGTTTGGCTTATAAGTCCTTGACTGATCAAATATTTGCTTTTTTGAAGCTTTGCACTTACTATTTTACCATTAAGATTTCCTAATCTTAATATTATCTAAGGTCCTGAGAGTGCCATAATGTTTGCCATGATAGTGGTGGGATAAAATACTTAATTAAGTAATTCCTAAAGGTAGGTTGTGCTTAAAGACAGGAGTTGGTTGTAAACTTCTGGGTAAGCCATATGACTGCTATTTTGGGTTGCCAACAAGTGAACTTCAGAATCTGTTAACCTTCTAGAAAAAGAGCCAAGACCGTTCGGAGGCTTCACTTGCAATAGGTTTTCCACACTAATGGTGGAAAATATGTAAAGTAAGTGATGAACAAATGAAGTGTAACAATTTCTATAGTGATGTGGAATCCAGAAGCCCTAAAGTGATTCTGTTGGCTGTCAATTTGAATGTTTGAAAAGAAACATTCAAATAGGTTCTGCCTCTCTCTTGTGGCAAAATGTAATTGTCCCCATTCTAGGGATTGTTTGGTTTAATCGAATGGATTGTGAGGTGGATCAGCATCAACTCTTGCAAGTTGTTTGATTTTTTACCTCCTTCTTTTCCCTCTTTCCTCCTCTGCAGAGGGAGCGTGGCCTTTGTCATAACAGCAGTTTCTCTCCTGGCGAATGCTCACGGGTGGTGTCTCAGTGAGTATCTGATAGAGGAAGACTGGGAGAAAGTCACAGCTAAGAACTTACCAGCAGTGGAACTCTCTGCCCCGGAGTGTGGTGGAGGCTCCTTCTTTGGAAGCTTTTAAACAGAGGCTGGATGGCCATCTGTCAGGGGTGATTTGAATGCAATATTCCTGCTTCTTGGTAGAATGGGGTTGGACTGGATGGCCCATGAGGTCTCTTCCAACTCTTTGATTCTATGATTCTACGTAATAACCCAGCATGTATGTTTCCCCTTTCCTTTCAGTTTTCTACCTAATCACTTGGCCTTCACAGACTCGTATTCCCAGAAGGCTTTCTGTGGAATCTACTCCCGTGATGGACGACTCTTTATGTCAGCTTGCCAAGGTATCTTCCAGTGCTTTGGTTTTCTTTTTAAACAGTTTCTACTTGAGGACATTTTCTCTCCTAAACACTGTGGGGCATCCCAGAATTCCATGGTTCAGGCACACTGTGTGGCATAGATGCTTGGCATTACAAGCATCAGGTGGCCTAGGCTGCCTGTTATGGGCCTTTCAAGCAATAATACTCTTATTGTACTTTGAGAAATAAATTGTAGCATTGCTGGTAAACACTGTCACAAAATTTTAGCAATTTTCTTCATGAAGATTTCTGGGACTACTTTTTAGTAGATCAATCCTTTAACTGATTATCTCTATATCATTTCTGGTCCAGATGATTGCAAACGTTTGGGTGAACAGCCTGTCAGGTTAGGTTATCAGTGTGAAACCTATAATCCCCTTGACCCCACTTAAAATGATGCAGCACCAAGGGGAATGGTAGTAGGTGCTCTTGAAGTCATATTCTGTTTATGGGTTTATCATGGTTTAGGAAAACACTTCTGGATTAGATATGGCAAAAAGAACAGCCTTCTTAGTTTCACCCATCCCAAAAGCAGTATCTGTCTTGTATAGCAATAAGCAAACTCTCAGAATCCATCAGCATTCATAGTAATGCACTAACATACCGTAAATACTCGAATATAAGCCAAGTTTTTAGCCCTTTTTTAAGGCTGAAGAAGCCCCCCCTTGGCTTATACTCAAGTCAAGGTTATTTATTATTTTACTCTGTTGTTATTATTATTTTATTACATTTATTATTTTGCTCTATTTAGTATTATTATATTATTATTACATTTATTATTTTTCTATATTATTGTTATAACATTTATTATTTTACTCTAATATTAAATTTATTATTTTACTCTATTATTATTAAATTTATTATTTTACTCTATTATTATTGGAAGGATGCATAACCACATTGATATTGAAGAAGGTTAGAATAATGGTTTAATCAGAGTTGGACAGTCTTACCTGAAATTACAGTTTTATGTAAATATTCAAAAACATTTAACCTACTGATGCCTCAATTAATGTAATTTTATTGGTATCTATTATTATTTTGAAATATACCAGTAGCTGCTTCATTTCCCAAAGTTGGCTTATACTCGAGTCAATTCATTTCCCCAGTTTTTTGTGGTAAAATTAGATGCCTTGGCTTATATTTGGGTCGGCATTTACTCGAATATATATGGTAATTCTCCCATTATTTTGTTTATGCACTTGGTATCCTAATTTATGCTACACTTAATTAAATATCAGGTTGTGTGTGTGTGTGTAGCTATCAATGTTTCTTCATCTTGTGGTCAAAAATCTTCTTTCTTTGCTACCCAAATCTTTTTCTTCAGATCAGAGAATCCGCTTATATGATTGCGCCTATGGAGCATTCCGGAAGTTCCGGAGCGTCAAAGCCCGAGATGTTGGTTGGAGCGTTTTGGATGTAGCCTTCACTCCCGATGGGGCCCATTTCCTTTATTCCAGCTGGTCAGATTACAGTGAGTGTGGCTAACTACCGGGAAGGGGGGAACAGAGTTCTGTGTTAGCCCCCCGAGGTCCCTTGACCCTTTCTTTCTCTTTCTTAGTTCACATTTGCAACATTTATGGTGAGACTGATACCCACACAGCACTGGATCTGAGGTATGGAGGGTAGCCCGGTCATTCCGATTGAATGAAAGAAGTACTACATCTAGTTCCAATGTTTTTCTCCTTTTCACAGACCGGATGAGCGCCGCTTTGCTGTCTTTTCCCTTGCTGTCTCCTCAGATGGAAGAGAAGTGCTTGGCGGGTAAGTGAGATTTGGCCTCAGCCATTCCTGAAGCCACTCCTTCACTCACTTTTCTACTTTGACCAAGATGGCATCAGGATTTGATCTGAGCTATCAAAAGCTGGTTCTTTTGTAGCAGTGCAGGTGTTTTTAAGTATTTACACAAAACTGTCATTTAAGATAAGACTGCCCAACTCTGATTCAACCATTATTCTAACCTCTTTCAATGTAAATGTGCTGTTATGATAGAATAAAATAATAAATGTAATAACATGTAATAAAAAATAATAATAGTGTAAATAATGGAAATTTAATAATAATTGTAATAATAATAAATGTAATAAATGTAATAATAACAATAATAGAGTAAAATAATAAATGCAATCAATATAATAATACAGTAAAATAATGTAAATGTAATAATAATAGAGTAAAATAATAAATGTAATAATAATAGAGTAAAATAATAAATGTAATAAAAGTAGTAATAGAGTAAAATCATGTAAATGTAATAAAAATAATAGAGTAAAATAATAAATGTAATAAAAATAATACTAATAGCAGAGTGAAATAAGAAATAACCTTGACTCGAGTATAAGCCGAAGGGATTTTTTTTCAGCTTAAAAAAGGGGCTGAAAAACTAGGCTTATACTCGAGTATATACAGTATTTCTGATGGTCTTAGGACCATGTCAGTCCATTTAACATCATTGGCCACACAATCAACACACACATCTTTGAAATTTGATTGGCTTTTGTAAATTAATTTGGATGTTTTATTTTCACGTTTTATGTGAGTTAAAATTTTGATAGGTTATGTTTTTATTTAAGTTATAGATGTCATGTTTTCTCATGTGGGGTTATTCTGGGTTTTTACATTTGTACTTGTTGTTATTGAGGTATTAAATGTTTTGTTTGTTGGAATCTGCCCTGAGTTCCATCAACGGCTGCCCAGAGGAACAGGAGAGATAGGGTGGGATAAAAATAAAGTATTATTATTATTATTATTATTATTATTAAGTCAGTTTTTTACTATTATTATTATTATTATTATAACAGCTATTTACATTACAATTCATAACAGGAGCAAAATTACAGTTATGAAGAAGCAACAAAAATAATTTTATGGTTGGGGGTCACCACAACATGAGGAACTGGATTAAGGGGTCGCGGCATTAGCAAGGTTGAGAACCACTGCTCTAGAAATTGTATAAAAATACCAGAACTTGCATTGCCCTGCGTTTAGTCAAAATTTCACATTTTGCTGAACTCTGCTCTAAATCAGATATTACTGAATTACAACTGATATTAGTGCTGGTCAGCTAACAGTGAGAAATGTAGTTCAGCATCTGGAGGATACCTGAATTTCTGTCCCTGCTTTACAGGGTTTTCTCTCATGTAAAAATGTGGCCCAGTTTTAGCTTTATAGATCTATGCTTCTGCTTCTGTCCTGTGTTATGTTGGTTTTTTCCCTATTCACACACTTGATTTTGGTTTTAAACCTAGGGCCAACTATGGCTGTGTCTATGTGTTCGACATGGAGCAGAATAAACGGACACTCAAGGTACTTTGGTTCTGCTGTTTCACTGTTGCATCCTTGTTCCATTTCCTAATCTCATTTCTCCCTGATCCTGTCTCCCTTTTTTGGAAAAATTGCATTCAAAACTTTTTTTGAAAAGAGAAATAATGTCATATCTTTTTGGCAAATGTAAATCTCAATGAACATCTGGGGACCAGTTTCCTAGTCAAGGAAAGGCATGGCCTTCCTTCCTTTAAAAAAAAGCGATGCTCACAAGCATGCATGTAATGGCACACAGGTAACTCAGCTGTTAAACCGGTAAACCATGTCTTTGAACTGCCAGGGACAAAGACATACCATTGCACAAAACAAACATATACTTAGCTAGTAGGGTTTTGAAATGTTTATTTGAAATTGAAGTTGAAATTGCAGTTGCCCAAAACATATATTCTCTCTTGAAACCTCTTAGTTTAAAATATGCACTCAGAGACAAAAAACAAAACAAAAACAAAGTCTTCTTTAAAAAGTAACATGCCTTGTTTATTCACAAACATCTTGTATTAATTCTGCACACAGGCACATTTATAGATAGTATGTAGTTTTTCTGTGTTGAGAACACAGGGCATCATTCTTAATCAATAGTCCATAGTCCAAAGTATACATCTTATGAAAGTCCGAACTGTATAATTGTACTCACTGTTTCTCAAAGCATACTGTTCCTGCATAAGTCCAAAATGCAAACTGCTTCTATTGAAGTCCCAAAGCATACATGTATCCACTTCTACTGAGGTCTAAAGCAAACAGCTAACATTGAAGTCCAAAAGCATACTAAATAACAAAATGGAGTCCTGAGTCTGAACATGCTCACTACAATCATATGTCTGTAGCCCCTCCCACACCAAAGAGGCCAGTCAAACAGGCAAATCAATATTAAACAATATTGACAAACAAATAGTGGAGGCTTGGAAGGTTGCTATTTCCAACACCTTTTCCCTCTTGTTCCTTTTTTTTAAATGACTACTTCTGTAGTTCTAATTCTTATAAGCATCCTCTATTTTAAATAAATATATATTCATTTTTTAAAATGCAGTAGAACAGAAATCCCATAATACATATCTGATAATACCAAACGACTTGCATGGATGAAGAACATGCAAGTCGTTTGGTATTAATGTAAACTTACAAACAGGGAAGACCCAGGTATCTTGATAAATGTCTCTATATTTTCTCCTGCATCTGAACCTTCTTATAAATAAACTAGCCGTCCCCTGCCAGGCATTGCTGTAGCCCAGTCTGGAAAATAAAGTAATGAGAAAGTGTTGGTTTCTAATACATGTAATTTCTTTATGCTTGTGGGTAAACAGTATTTCTTGTTGTTTCTTTGTCAGTGTTGATGTAGAGATTGTCTGGTTTGCCTACTCTGGAACATGCAACATTGTCTTTCTTTAGGTTTGCCTTTCAAATCTATGATAGTATATCTGTTTTGTGTGTGTGTGTGTGAATCATATATATCTATATCTATGGCTGGATGTCTTTTTTGTTAGGAGGCTTTGATTATGTTTTCTTGCCCTGGTGAAGGGAGTTGGGCTGGATGGCCTTAAGGCAGTATTTCTCAACCTGGGGGTCGGGAGGGGGTGTCAGAAGGATTGCCAAAGACCACCAGGAAACACAGTATTTTCTATTATTCATGGGAGTTCTGTGTGGGAAGTTTGGCCCAATTCGATTGTTGGTGGGGTTCAGAATGCTCTTTGATGGTTGGTTAACTATAAATCCCAGCAACTACAACTCCCAAATGACAAAATCATTTTTTTGAGTGATGGTCACTCCTTGGGTTAGACTTGTGGCCAAATTTGGTGGCCATTCGTCCAGTGGATTTTGAGTTATGTTGTCACTCAAAACAAACAGAGCATACACACACACACACACACACTGTTGTACTGGCAACATTGATCCAGGACAAGGATGGTGGGTCTCTTCTCCTTTCCCTCTTTTTAAAAACTGAAAATAACTGGAATTGAAATGTAAAAGCATGTGTTCCATTGAGCTGTAGTCTGTTCCTTTGACTGCTTTAATCAAATCAATGCAAGCTTGAATTGCAATTGTTTCTTGCAGAATTTGATAAGGTCCTTGGCACAGAGTTCACTTCCACTCTCGTTTCTAAATGTGTTTGTTTGTGTTTGACACAGCATGACGTACCTGTCAGCCTCCTAGAATATTTTCTGCGCTTTGCCTCCCCAGATTGAGTCCCATGAAGATGATGTGAATGCGGTGGCCTTTGCAGACAATAGTTCCCACATCTTGTTCTCTGGGGGCGATGATGCCATTTGCAAGGTGTGGGACCGCCGCACCATGAGGGAGGATGATCCCAGGCCGGTGGGGATTCTGGCTGGGCACCAAGATGGAATCACCTTCATTGACAGTAAAGTGCGTATACTTTTTTTCCAGCCTGATGAATCTTGAACAGTATCTGATTTTTACCTGAAAGTTCATTTTGGGGAACCGCTTGGACTTCTTGCCCTTGAAGAACCTCACTTGTAACAGATTTATACTCTTCTTGTTTGTGGAACAATCCATGTATTACACTTAGAGCCCTTCCACACAGCCATACTCAGAATATCAAGGCAGAAAATCCCACAATATCTGCTTTGAACTGGATTATCTAAATCCACACTGCCATATAATCCTGTTCAATGTGGATTTTATACAGCTGTGTGGATGGGGCCTAATAATAATAATAATAATCCTTTATTTATACCCTGCTACCATCTCCCGAAGGACTCGGTGCGGCTTACAAGAGGCCGAGCCCAAATACATCAGTAAAACACAACAGTACAACAATAATTTAAAAACCTCATAAACAAAGCAAAAAACATAAACAATAACACTGGGGCGCATTAAAACCTGTGGCAGGGCCAAATATAGCACTTAAAATCTTTAAAAATGTTGGGCATGATCAGGTGAAAGAGGATAGATATTTTAGGGATAGGTGGGGCGTGCAGGCAATTCTAGATCTTTAGTAAAGTGCATTTGGGACATATTGCTTGGAGTTTCCTTATTCTGGAAAGGCACACTGGAACAACCACGTTTTCAAGCTCCTTCTAAAGACTGCCAACATTGGGGCATGCCTGATGTCCTTGGGGAGTGAATTCCAGAGTCGAGGGGCCACCACCGAGAAGACCTATGTCAGAGTGAGCAGAGTCTGATGTTCAGCATGTTGTTAGGCTGTGGCTCACAGTCTTCTTCACCTGCTCATGGAAATTGCAATCCAGCATCTGGAATGTCACACTTTGCCCCATTCCAAATTAAATCACAGTTGGGGTGTTGAGTGGTTTCTGGCTTGTTTTGCCATGTTCTAGTAGCTGTGACTGGCATTTTCAGAGAATCTGATGGTGGTAAAGCAAGTGCAGTACTTATTACTTATTAACTGTATTTATATACCGCCTTTAATTGGAGAGAATCTGCCATCATAGATGTCTATACTGTATAGGGGAAAAGGGGGGGGTTGGGGGGATTGATTTTTCTTGTAGCAGGAGTGAGCAAAACCCGCGTCCTTCAGATATTTTCAGACTGTAACTCCCAGCATTTCCCACTATTGCCAGGGTATGTCAGACTTGATTATAGTTGCTGCCTGAAAATTTTTGAACAGCCATAACTTCGCTTTCCTTTGCCCATGAGGGTGGGGGTGGATATGAAGTCTCCTGAAAACAGAGGTTGTCTCCTTCCTCCAGGGCGATGCGCGGTATCTCATCTCTAACTCGAAGGACCAGACCATTAAGCTGTGGGACATGCGGAAGTTCTCTGGCAACGAGGGACTAGAAGCCTCCCGCCAAGCCGTTACACAACAGAACTGGGATTATCGTTGGCAGCAGGTGCCCAAAAAAGGTGGTTAGAAGGGCAAGAAATATTCCCATTTTCCTTTACACATTCATTTCGTTAGCATTTTCATCTTTGAATGGAAATGGGAGTTCTGTGGAAGAGTCCGTTCTCATCTGCCCTTTTCCCTCTCTTCTGCCCCACTCAGCACGTCGCAAGTCCAAACTTCCTGGCGACACCTCCCTCATGACCTATCGGGGCCATGGGGTTCTCCATACGCTCATCCGCTGTCGTTTCTCGCCACCTCAAAGTACCGGCCAGCAATACATCTATAGTGGCTGCTCCACTGGGAAAGTTATTGGTGAGTAGCCTGGGAATAGAGGAGGGATGAGTAGAGAGGGGGGAAGAGGGTCAGCACCCAGGCTGCGCAGAGCAGAAGGATTTATTTTACATTTCTGCAGAAGTATGGCGTTTTCCTTGTATACTTTGTGAGAAATATTAAATATTAACTAAGTATTGTTGAAGGCTTTCATGGCCGGAATCACAGAGTTGTTGTAGGTTTTTTCAGGCTATATGGCCATGGTCTAGAGGCATTCTCTCCTGACGTTTCGCCTGCATCTATGGCAAACATCCTCAGAGGTAGTGAGGATGCTTGCCATAGATGCAGGTGAAACGTCAGGAGAGAATGCCTCTAGAACATGGCCATATAGCCCGAAAAAAACCTACAACAACCCATTAACTAAGTATTTTTAATTACAAAAATGTGAGTCAAGCACTAAAAGGGTTAAATGGATACAATGACTCAGCAAAAGCTGTACTTCAATATAAGCAGATGTGCCTGTAGCTTCGTAGTCTTCAGTCTGTGAGAGGTCTTTGTGGAAGAAAGGCCTCAGTGTGTTAGTAGGCCTCAGCGTTAGTTTGCCTCAGTGTGAGAGAGGTGTCAGTCTGAGAGAGCCCTCAATGTGAAAAAACCAGTGGGAGAAAGGTCTCAGTGAGAAATAGGCCTCAGTATGAGAAGGCCTGGTGTGAGAAGCTTCAGTGAGAGGAAGCCCCATGTTGAAGGCCATCGTGTGTGAAGCTTCAGTGTAAAGGCTGCTGCGTGTAAAGCTACTGTGTGAAGTTTCTGTGTAACTTCACTGTGAGAGAAGGCTCTGTGAGAGCGAAGGTGTTTATCTGCATGAGAAAGAAGCCAAGAGTGGAAACAATGAAGGAAGTACAAAGAACTTTACTTGTGTTATGGAAACCTTGTTATTGTAAATAGTGCAACCATATTATTTTACTACAAAGAAAAGCCTCCTATGGAAGAGATAACATTGGTCTGTGTGTTTTTGTTCTTTTTATCATTTTTGGGCTACTGGTGCTGGGTCACGTTGCTGCTTATAAGTTACTCTGCTGTGCATTTCTGAGGAGGGCCTTTTGTTAATAATCCCACTCACCCAACATACTTTACACTGCCTTTTGATATGCAAGGAAAGCCTTGTCTCTTTTTCTTTGAGAGAGATGAACAATTTTCTAACTCTTGTGGCTGTCAAGATTGGATGAATGTGTTGTCTGCCTTCAAGTTGTTTCCAACTTATGGGATGAAGCTTTCATAGGGTTTCTTGGCAAGATTTGTTCAGAGTGTTTTGGCATGACCGTCCTGTGGGACTCAAGAGTGCATGTGATTTGTTCAAGGCCACCCAGTAAGTGTTCATGTTCATCTGTTTAATACTGAACAACCACAGTGGAAGGAATAGAGGTAAGAGGCAACAATGAGAGTATTGGTATCTCACTTCTCCCCTCCTTTTCAGTATATGACCTCCTGAGTGGCCACATAGTGAAGAAGCTTACCAACCACAAGGCTTGCGTCCGAGACGTCAGCTGGCACCCCTACGAGGAGAAGATTGTCAGCAGCTCGGCAAGTATTGGGAAAGAACTACTAGGTGGTGGTGGGGGGGGGGGGCAAGGAAGTTGACTGAACCTATTTTCCCAGAAACTCTCAGAAGAGAGGTCAGAAGCAAGGGGCCCACCCAATCCTTGTGTCTGCCTGCCTTTTCCATCATCGCTACTCCTCTATTCCTCCTTAAAATCCTCCTGCTTCAATTCTCCTCCTCCCCAGTGCTTCCTTGCCCCTGAAGGGGAGTGCCTGCCCAGTGTCTGTGCAACAACACACTTAAGGAGATGCCAATGTGCATTTCTCCCTTCAGGTTGTTCCAAGGCAGTTCCTAATAACCAACAACAGAACATTAAGATAAGATTATCACCTGAAAGCATAATGGAAGGAACTACCTTTGATCTCTCTGTAGAACTCCCTACAGAGAAGTGAAAGAAAAGATACTTCATGTGCAGCTTGTGAAAGGGAGAACAGTGCAGGAAAAAGAAGTAGCAACCAAAGAAAGTTGGACTTGGCCTCAAAATAAGATGGAACCTGGGGCTAGACACCAGTGAAAACGTGGCTTTGGGATCAAGCCTTTGGAGAATAGTTGTAGTGCAATAACAGATATGGAATGTGTGCAATGATTTCTGGAATGGCCCCAGATTACGATTGTGGATGGCGTAGTTTTAATAGCAATTGTAATGCTTTTAAATATTTGATACGTATTAATTTTAAATTTAAATGTTTATTTCAATTGTATGTTTTTTTACGGCATTGAATAGTTGCCTATATGTAAGCCGCCTTCAGTCCCCTTTGGGGTTGAGAAATGCTGGGTATAAATAGGGTAAATAATAAATCTATATAAATAAAAATGTAATGTTCATTTGTGGGATTAACATAATTCAAACCACTGGACAAATTGCCACCAAATTTGGCCAAACACACCTACTAACCCAAGGAGTGATCATCACTCCAAAAAATTGATTTTGTCATTTGGGAGTTGTAGTTGTTGGGGTTTATAGTTAACCTACAATCAAAGAGCATTCTGAACTCCATCAATGATGGAATTCTGAACTCCATCAATGATGGAATTCTGAACTCCATCAATGATGGAATTGAACCAAATGTGGCACACAGGACTCCCATGACCAACAGAAAACACTAGAAAGGTTCGGTGGGCATTGACCTTGAATTTAGGAGATGTAGTTCACCTACATCCAGAGAGCACTGTGGACTCAAACAAGGATGGATAAGAACCAAACTTGGCATGAATATTCCATATGCCCAGATATGAACACAGATGGAGTTTGAGGGAAATAGACCTTGATATTTGAGAGTTGTAGTTTTCTGGGATTTATAGTTCACCTACAATCAAAGAGCATTCTGAACCCCACCAACGACAGAATTGGGGCAAATTTCACACAAAGAACCCCCATGACCAACAGAAAATTCTTAAGGTCCTCCAGTCCAAATCCCTTAACCAGGGCAAGAAAACGTAATCTAAGCCCTCCTGACAAAGGGCCATCCAGTCGTAGATATAGATAGATATATATGATTCACACACAGAGATATAGTCTCATAGATTTGAAAGGGACCCCTAAAGAAGGTCAATTATATGTTACATGTTCCAGAGTTGGCAAACCAGACACAGAAGCAGCAAGAAATACTGTTTACCCACAAGCATAAAGAAATTACATATATTAAAAACCAACGTAATTTTCCAGATCACCAGACTGGGCCACAGCAACGCCTGGCAGGGAACGGCTAGTAAATAAATAAATTCAGCTGATCTTGGCTTGATGCTTTGGGTGGCTTAGGCACAACATCCTTTCTGGCTGCCATTTTGAGAAGGAATGCAGAGGGAACCGGGTCTTTGGATTTGAGTAACTTGTGGACATTGGTCCCTGGACTCTGTGGAATTGCCCAATTCTGTTTCATGCTTTCCTGTTTCCAAAAATAAGTTTGGCTCAGTATAGTCTACCCCTTAATCTTTGCAGGGTGATGCCTTTCTACTGCAAGATTTTTGAATCTGTCTTCTGCCTTCTTACAGTTTAGTATGAAGAGCATATGCTGTGTGCTCTGAGATCTCTCTCTGCTTGTGTGTCAGGAGAGATGTAATGATTGGTGTTTCTTCCCTCTCTTTGAAATTTTAGAAAAGATGGGTGTTAGATGGGTGTTAACTTTATTATTACATTTGGCCCTGCCATTGTTTTTAATTGTGTCATTGCATGTTGTTAATGTTATTGCTTTGTTTTTTGAGTTATTTTGTTGATGTTGTTGTTATTCTTTGACTATTGTATTTGGGTTCGGCCTCTTGTAAGCCACACCGAGTCCTCTGGGAGATGGTAGCGGGGTACAAATAAAGATTTATTATTATTATTATTATTATTATTATTATTATTATTATTATTATTATTATTATTATTAGAGTAGCTCAGACCCAGTTCTTGATTATTCAGAAATGCAGTTATTTCTTATTATTGTAAATAAACCTTTTGTGATTTTGATTTTAAATATTGAACTCTGCCTCTTAAGCTCTAAATTCTTTACAGCCACATCCAACAGTACTTCACGTTCTATGGCCGGAATCACTGGGTTGTAGGTCCCACTGTTAGCCCCAGCTTCTGCCAACCTAGCATCCTGAGGATACTTGCCATAGATGCAGGCGAAACGTCAGGAGAGAATGCCTCTAGAACATGGCCGTATAGCCCGAAAAAACCTACAACAACCCACTTCACGCTCTGCTTGCCCATGAGCTCATGCTCAAACAATAATAACAACAACAACAATAACAACAATAAAACTTTATACCCCGCTACCATCTCCCCAAGGGACTCGGTGTGGCTTACATGAGGCCAAGCCCACAGTACATCAGTAAACAAAAGCAATAACAAAAACAATCAATACAAAACAATTAATATAAATCACATAAGCAAAAATAAACAATAACAGTAACACACAAGCATTTAAAAAACCTATGGCTGGGCCAAATGCAATAATTTAAAATTTAAAAAATAATGCTGGGCATGAACAAGGTAGGATATAACTGGGATAGGGTTTTTAAAAGAGAGATGAGGGAACGCAGTCAGTCCTAAATCAGTGGTAAAGTGCATTTTGAGGGCATATTGCTGAGAGTTTTCCTTATTCTGGGAAGGCACACCGGAACAACCACATTTTCAGGCTCCTCCTAAAGACTGCCAGAGTTGGGGCATGTCTGATGTCATTGGGAAGTGAGTTCCAGAGTTGGGGAGCCACCACCGAGAAGGCCCTCTCCCTCATCCCCACCAATCGCGCCTGTGAAGGAGGTGGGAACGCGAGCAGGGCCTCTCCAGATGATCAAAGAGATTGTGTGGGTTTGTACACAGAAATACTATCGGTATCCTGTGTATGTTTTTTTGGATCCTCTGCTGAATATTTTAGGGTAGGTTTCCCTAACAGAGAGAACATATTATTCCAGTCATAGAGGGCAGCCATGGAGGTGGCAGCAGCAAATACAGAAATCCATGAATAACTGAGCCCACAAGTGCTTAACACTCAGATGTGGAAAGACGATTGCATTGTTGTTAATTGGAATAAATATTTTTAAAACACTTGATATGGTAAAATAACATGGATTAATCATATTCTCTCGTTTCCCCCCTTTTTTCTCTTCCTCCATTTGTTTCTCCTGCTAGTGGGATGGGAACATACGACTCTGGGAGTACCACCAAACGGAATACGACGAAGATGACCTTGGGGACCCCCAGCAACTCCCCAGCACCAGAGAGCTGCGCTCCAAGTCCTCAGGAGCCACTGAGCAGTAGCCTTGCCTCGCTGCTTGCTGCCATTCTTCGATTGTGGACTTGCCGTGGGGCGGGGAGGGGAAGGGAAAGGGGGGAAGTCTATCTTGTATTGCCTGTTGCCTTGGAAAACATAGCGGGGAGGGTAATGAGGGGTGACATCACGTACCCCATCAAATTGTAGCTCTTTTCTCACTGAAAATGGAAAAATCTGAGGACCAGGCGAAGCAGGCGCCATCCTGTGTCTTGCTCTGCAGTCAGCTGTGGGGAAGTAAACTGGGAATGTGTTGCAATTTCTTTGGGGGGCCATTGGGATTGAGTTTTGCAATTCAAGAATCCTCCTTGGTCCTCAAGGGATTTTTTTTTTTTGAAGGAAGGAAATGAAAAAAAAAATCATGGACAGGTATAAAGCCAAACTGCTCCACCAATTTTGGTTTTGTGCATTCTAGGACATGTATCTTTCTCCATCCCATACCTGTTAGGGTTGGGCTGTAATATGTTCCAGGCTAGCTGGATGATTTTGTATAAAAGGCACAAAAGGGGGAACGGTCTTTTTCCTCCCTAGGTTTTATGTTTTGGGAATACTGGGAGTAGCAGCATTTGGCTGCAGCTGGCACCATTTCCTCTCTGGGGCCAAGCAAGTCAATAGGGGAAGATAATTTAGCAACTACCTTTCTTTCAGCGTCAAGGTGCTTCTGTGGGGCTGGAGCTCTTTCTCCTTGAGTCAGGAGTAATAAAGTCCTTTGGGGACACATCTTTAGCTCATCCACCACCCACTGCTTGCAGATATTTTATCTTCTCTGCAAATAGGGGCAGAAATAGATTGCAGCAGAAGGGACAGTTGGGCCAAGGGGAAGCCTTCTCCTGGTAGTATATATCCAGCTTTCCCTTCTGCGTGTTTCTGCTCTGTTGTCCTTGACTGACCGCTGCCTCCAGCTCAGATCGGCCCCTTTCCTCGAGTAATCCTCTTCAAGGATCTCTTCCCACCTTTACAAGTGTCAGGTTTCTTATGAGGTGGCCGTGAGAATCATCCGGCTGCCCCTTCCCCTTTCCCACCCTAATTGTGTCCCCATTTCCCGGGATGCAAGAGAAGGCTCCTTTTGATTAATTTTGTTCTCCCTTGTGAGGTTTTTACACCTATTTCTCCGATATTAAGGGGACAGGGGAAAGTGCAGTATGATGAGGTTTCCTTTACCATACACGTCAAATAAGCTGTTCTTGTTTTGAGGTTTGGGGTAGGTAGGGAGGGAACATCCTAGCTAAAGTTCTCCATTTGTAGGGAGAGCCGTCTTTCCGACCCTTTAGCAAAAGCGGGGGTTGTTAGCACCAGGCGTAAGGGAGCGCCTCCTTTCGTGGGGTTTGGCACGCTCCCATCCACCTGTGCAAACTGCTGTCTGTGTCAAATAAAAGTTACTGAAATTTTCTTTGCAGGGTTGTTGTGCTTTTTTGCAAAAGGAGATCCAAATGGGCTTTGGGGCAATCCTTTCCCACCCCCTCGTCCCAAGGCTCTTTCATCCTTCTGCTCCTGGATCAGCTGTTCATTCTATCCTCAGAGTTGATCCCTCACAGCTGTCTTCAAATGTCAGTCCCAGTGACTCTTTTCCCCTTCCTCTCCGGGCGGAGGAGGAGGCGGCAGCAGGATTGCCTTGGCATCTCTGGGGCGCCGTGCAGGGGCCCTGATCTTGGGGCACGATGGCGGAAGGATCCAAACCCACGAAGCCTTTCTCGCTGCTGGCCACAGCGGCCGGCTGGGCTCAAGCCCTTTGCCGAGGCTTGGTGAACTTTTGGAGCAACCAGTTTGCGTGGCTGCTGGGGGTGTCGTGCCTGCGGCGGGCTTACCACCTCTGGCTGGCGGCCATCGTGATATTTGGCCCTCTGCTTCAGTTCTATGTCAACCCGCGGGCCATCTTTGCCAATCATCACAACTTCTTTAACATGTGAGTCATCTTGGAGAGGGAAGGACTACGTGGGCGGGGGCAGAGGTCAGCTTAGAGGCAAAAAGTGGCATCAAAACCCACATTTAGATTCCCAGGCATTCTAAGCAAGGTCATTTGGCCCCTGAGCTTCAGATTTCCAAGTCCAACCCTCTGGGAATCTTCCCAATGAATCCCAATTCAAAGGAGCTGTCATTTCCAGCCAAAAAGCAAATGCTACCTTCAGAGCAAAGTGTTACAATTTTGCTCTAGTGTCCCATTACATAATGATAGCTTGCAAGGGTTGGTACATTTCGGTCACTCCATACTGTGACAGTGGTTCTCAACCTGGGGGTCGGTACCCCTGGAGGGGTCACTAAAGACCATCAGAAAACACAGCAGTTTCTGTTGGTCATGGAGGTTCTATGTGGGACGTTTGGCCCAATTTTGTCATTTGTGAGGTTCAGAATGCTCTTTGATTGTAGGTGAACTATAAATCCTAGCAACGACAACTCTCAAAATATCAAGGTCTATTTTCCCCAAACTCCACCAGTGTTCATATTTGGGCATATTGAGTATTCGTGCCAAGTTTGGTCCAGATCCATCATCGTTTGAGTCCACAGTGCTCTCTGGATGTAGGCGAACTACAACTCCAAAATTCAAGGTCAATGCTCACCAAACCCTTCCAGTCTTTTCTGTTGGTCATGGGAGTTCTGTGTTCCAAGTTTGGTTCAATTCCATCATTGGTGGAGTTCAGAATGCTCTTTGATTGTAGGTGAACTATAAATCCCAGCAAATACAAGTCCTAAATGACAAAATCAACCACCTCCACCCCCAACCCTACCAGTATTCAAATTTGGGCGTATAGGGTATTTGTGGCAAATTTGGTCCAGTGAATGAAAATAGATATCCGATATTTACATTACAATTGATAGCAGTAGCAAAATGACAGTTGTGAAGTAGGAAGAAAAATAATGTTATGGTTGGGGGCCACCACAACATGAGGAACTGTATTTAGGGGTCACAGCATGAGAAGGTTGAGAACAACTGCACTGTGACCTTTCAGGTTTTTTTAAAAAAAATATTGTATCAGGAGCGACCTGAGAAACTCCAAGTCGCTTCTGGTGTGAGAGAATTGGCCGTCTGCAAGGATGTTGCTTAGGGGACGCCCGGATGATTTGAAGTTTTTTATCATCCTTGTGGGAGGCTTCCCTCATGTCCCCGCATGAGGAGCTGGAGCTGTTAGAGGAAGCTTATCCGTCTCTCCCCGGATTCGAACCTTTCAGGCGTTTTTACTTCATGTATGGGATACTAGTTTCGATCTTGTGACAGGTTGCATAAAGTCTCAAGTCACTCCGGACATCAAAACAAAACGAACAGGTCTCAGCTTCTCTCACACAGAGGTTTGCCTCACACTCCTCGGGACGACACTTAACTTTGGTCCCACTGACTAACAGGCTTCAGCCTACTAACTTCTGGTGTGAGAGAATTGGCCATCTGCAAGGACATTGCCCAGGGGACGCCCGGATGATTTGAAGTTTTTTATCATCCTTGTGGGAGGCTTCTCTCATGTCCCCGCATGAGGAGCTGGAGCTGATAGAGGGAGCTTATCCACCTCTCCCCAGATTCAAACCTTTCAGGTGTTTTTACTTCATGTATGGGATACTAGTTTCGATCTTGTGACAGGTTGCATAAAGTCTCAAGTCACTCCGGACATCAAAACAAAACGAACAGGCCTTGGCTTCTCTCACACAGAGGTTTAGCTCACACTCCTCGGGACGACACTTAACTTTGGTCCCACTGACTAACAGGCTTCAGCCTACTAACTTCTGGTGTGAGAGAAGAATTGGCCGTCTGCAAAGACGTTGCCCAGGGGATGCCTGGATGATTTGATGTTTTTTATCATCCTTGTGGGAGGCTTCTCTCATGTCCCTGCATGAGGAGCTGGAGCTGATAGAGGGAGCTTATCCACCTCTCCCCAGATTCGAACCTTTCAGGTGTTTTTACTTCATGTATGGGATTCTAGTTTCGATCTTGTGACAGGTTGCATAAAGTCTCAAGTCGCTCCAGACATCAAAACAAAACGAACAGGCCTCGGCTTCTCTCACACAGAGGTTTAGCTCACACTCCTCGGGACGACACTTAACTTTGGTCCCACTGACTTACAAGCTTCAGCCTACTAACTTCTGGTGTGAGAGAATTGGCCGTCTGCAAAGACGTTGCCCAGGGGACGCCCGGATGATTTGATGTTTTTTATCATCCTTGTGGGAGGCTTCTCTCATGTCCCCGCATGAGGAGCTGGAGCTGATAGAGGGAGCTCATCCACCTCTCCCTGGATTCGAACCTTTCGGGCGTTTTTACTTCATGTATGGGATACTAGTTTCGATCTTGTGACCGGTTGCATAAAGTCTCAAGTCGCTCCGGACATCAAAACAAAACGAACAGGCCTCGGCTTCTCTCACACAGAGGTTTACCTCACACTCCTCGGGATGACACTAGCTGACTAACAGGCTTCAGCCTACTCATTCTTGACTTCACACTTATGTAATCATAAATTCCTAGTTAATTTTGAATATTTTTGACACCTCTCTTTGCAGAAAATTTGTCCGGTCCGCCTGGGGCTGGACGTGCATCTTCCTGGGTGGCTTCATTCTGCTGGTCGTGTACCTGGCCACCGGGCGGGTCCTGCTGACCGTGCGCCACCTGTGCCGCCTGGCGGTGGGGGCCGGGCTCTGGCTGGGCGCCACGGAGACCTTCCTGCTCATCGAGAACCTCACCGGCTACTGCTTTGACCCGGTGCCCGAGGGCATCCTGGTCAACACGCTTCCGGACAAGTGGGCCTGCCTCCACAAAGGCCACAAGTGGCACGGCTACGACGTCTCCGGCCACACCTTCCTGCTCACCTTCTGCTGCCTCCTGATGGTGGAGGAGACCTCCGTCTTCCGGCGGTACCTGGCCCAGGGACTCCCCGCCGGCATCCCCTTGCGGCTCATCTTCCTCCTCAACGTCCTGCTCCTGGCCCTGTGGAACTTCCTCCTGGCTTGCACCGTGGTGTATCTCTACGAATACAGCCACAAGGTCGTGGGGGCTGCCATGGCCACTCTCTGCTGGTACCTCACCTACCGGGGATGGTACCGCTGGCGCTGGTCACCTGGCAGACCCGGAGCGGGCCTCTTTGTCAAAGGGGCGGTGGGAGAGGCCAAGAAACGGAACTGAACCCTCTTTCCAGAAGTCCAGATGGCCAGCAGAGAAGCATAGCAAGAGTTTGCCATCCCTTCCGAGGGAAATAAAAAAGAAGGACCCTTTCTAGTGCTCTGTTCTCCCCTAAGCGTTTGTGTGTTTTTTGGGGGGATGAGGAGAGTCCAGAAAATGGGAGTACGGAGTAGGTTTGATGCCTAGAAGGTTGTTATTTTGGGTCTAATCCTACACAAAGGTGGCCAAACTGGGACCCGGTTCTAAGATTCCCAAAAGGGGTACCAGTAGACTCTCAGGCTGGATCTACACTGCCATATAAAATCCACATTATCTGCTTTGAACTAATAAAAACAAACAGGCACAAAAATCACTCTCAACAAGGGATTCCCCCGGGCACTTCCAAGCCATTGAATGCTAATCAAGGTGATCAGCTGAAACATTCACATCTAGCCCCAGCAAACAAAAGTCCTTTGATGTATTGTCGAAGGCTTTCATGGCTGGAATCACTAGGTTCTTGTGGGTTTTTTCGGGCTATATAGCCATGTTCTAGAGGCATTTCTCCTGACGTTTCGCCTGCATCTATGGCAAGCATCCTCAGAGGTAGTGAGGATGCTTGCCATAGATGCAGGCGAAACGTCTGAGGATGCTTGCCATAGATGCAGGCGAAACGTCAGGAGAAATGCCTCTAGAACATGGCTATATACCCCGAAAAAACCCACAAGAACCTAAAAGTCCTTTGTCTCACCCCGGTCATTCCACAGATATATAAACCCCTTTTTCCTACTTCCAACAGACCTCACTACCTCTGAGGATGCTTGCCATAGATGCAGGCGAAACGTCAGGAGAAAAATTGCCTCCAGAACATGGCCATATAGCCCGAAAAACCTACAACAACCCAGTGATCCCGGCCATGAAAGCCTTCGACAATACAATAATAATAATAATAATAACTTTATTTATACCCCGCTACCATATTCCCAAGGGACTCGGTGCGGCTTACATGAGGCCGAGCCCACAATACATGAATACAAGCAATAATAACAATACAAGCAATTAAAATAAATCACATACACAGATAGCATAAACATTAACAATAGCACAACACACCTTTAAAATCTGTGGCTAGGCCAAATGTCATCAAAATTTAAAAATAATGCTGGACATGGACAAGATAAGGAAGTGGGGCGTTAGTGGAGAGATACAAGCAGGCCTAAATCAGTATAAAGTGCTTTTGGAGGACAAAGTGCTAAGAGTTCATTATTCTGGGTAGGCACACTGGAACAACCACGTTTTCAAGCTCCTCCTAAAGACTGCCAGAGTTTGGACATGCCTGAAGTCCTTAGGAAATGAATTCCAGAGTTGAGGAGCCACCACCAAGAAGGCCCTCTCTCTCGTCCCCACCAATCGTGCCTGCGATGCAGGTGGAAGCGCGAGCAGGGCCTCTCCAGATGTTTGTACACAGAAATGCGGTCACACAGGTAGGAGGGTCCCAAACCGTTCAGGGCTTTGTAGGTAAGAACCTGCACCTTGAATTGGGTCCGGAAAATGAATGGTAGCCAGTGGAGCTCCTTAAACAGGAGGGTTGACCGCTCCCTGTAAGGAGCACCAGTTAACAGCCTGGCCGCCGCCCGTTGGACCATCTGAAATTTCCGAGCCGTTTTCAAGGGCAGCCCCACATAGAGTGCATTACAGTAGTCCAATCTAGAGGTGACTAAGGCATGGACCACCCTGGCCAGATCCGCCTTCATGAGGTACAGTCGCAGTTGGCGCACGAGTCTTAATTGTGCAAAGGCCCTCCCGGCCACCGCCGACCCCTGAGCCTCAAGCGTAAGTGATGAGTCCAGGAGGACACCCAAACAGCGGACCTGTGACTTCAGGGGGAGTGCAACCCTGTCCAACACGGGTTGCCACCCTATACCCCAGTCCGGTTTACGATCAACCAGGAGGACCTCTGTCTTGTCGGGACTGCATTATATAGCAGTGGAGACTCATATGATCCAGTTCAAAGCAGATAATCTGGATTATTGGGTTGTTGTAGGTTTTTTGGGTTATATGGCCATGTTCTAGAACAGGGGTCCTCAAACTAAGGCCAGCATTAGCAGTCATGTGGCCAAGCAGGAGTGAGGGCCGGGTAAATGACCTTGGAGGGCCGTATCCGGCTCTCCAAGGTCATTTACCCAGCCCTCACTCAGGGTCAATCGAAGTCTGAAACGACTTGAAAGCACACAACAACAACAACAACAATCCTATCTCATCAGCCAAAAGCAAGCCCACACTTCCCATTGAAATACTAATAAGTTTATATTTGTTAACATTGTTCTTCATTTCAATTATTGTATTGTTTTTATTTTATTACACTACAAATAAGATATGTGCAGTGTGCATACTTCATTTATGGTTTTTTTTCAAATTATAATCCGACCCTCCAACAGTTTGAGGGACTGTGACCTGGCCCTCTGTTTAAAATGTTTGACGACTCCTGTTCTAGAACATGGCCATATAGCCTGGAAAACCTACAACAACCCAGTGATTCCAGCCATGAAAGCCTTCGACATTACATTAAAACTGGTTTATCTCCTTTGATAATCTGGATTATATGACAACGTTGATCAAGCCTAAATTATATGAATCTAAAGTAAAGGGAAAGGTTTTTCCCTGACATTAAGTTTTCTATGGACAACATCGGCTCTTTGACTTAGAAATGGAGATAAGCACCAACCCCCAGAGTCGGGCTTGCCCGACTCTGGGGGTTGGTGCTTATCTCCATTTCTAAGTCAAAGAGCCGGCATTGTCCGTAGACACCTCCAAGGTCATGTGGCCAGCATGACTGCATGGAGTGCTGTTACCTTCCCACAGAAGCGGTACTTATTAATCTACTTACATTTGCATGTTTTCGAACTGCTAGGTTGGCAGAAGCTGGGGCTAACAGCGGGAGCTCACCCTGTTTCCCCAGATTTTAACTGCCTACCTTTTGCAGTGGGTTAAACCGCTGAGCTGCTAAACTTGCTAACCGAAAGGTCGCAGGTTCGAATCCGGGGATCGGGGTGTGCTCCCGCTGTTAACCCCAGATCAATAGCTACCACTCCAGCGGGAAGGTAACGGTGCTCCATGCAGTCATGCTGGCCACATGACCTTGGAGGTGCCTATGGACAATGCCGGCTCTTCGACTTAGAAATTGGGATAAGCACCTACCCCCTGAGTCGGCCACGACTAGACTTAATGTCAGGGGAAAATCTTTCCCTTTACTTTAGATTCATATAATTTAGGCTTGATCAACACTGTCAACCTAGCAATTTGAAAACATGCAAATGAGAGTAGATCAATAGGTACTGCTTCTGCGGGAAGATAACAGAGTTCCATGCAGTCGTGCTGGCCACATGACCTTGGAGGTGTCTATGGACAATGCCGGCTCTTTGGCTTAGACATGGAAATGAGCACCAACCCCCAGTCGGACATGACTGAACTTAATATATGGGAAAACCTTTACCTTTATTTACCTTTTGGTCAGCAAGTTCAGCAGCTCAGCGGTTTAATCCGCTGCACCACCAGGGGGCCCTATGAATCTACACTGCCATATAATCCAGATCAAAACAGATAATGTGGAATATCTGCTTTGATCATCTGGATTATATGGCAGTGTAGAAGGGGCCTGAGTTAACCTATGCCAACCATAGGGATTGGTATGTGTTAGATAAATGTATTTTCTGGTTGCTTAAGGAGTACTATGGAAAAGAGGCCTAACTGTAAGTAATTAAAAACAAATTAAGACAAACCAAACTTAAACTTACATTCTCACTAAAATTGATTTTATTTTCATTTTTATATAAAGTATTATTTCTTTTTTTTAAAATTCTGGTTGCTTGAGAGTTCTGGTTAACTGAGAGTCTACTGTAAAATGAAGTACTCAGCGCTACACACCAAAAGCAGAATTCCCCAAACACGAATCGAGGAACATGAAAATAAATAAAGAACAACACTAAAAAAACAGGGGAACTCATGACATGAAACAATCAGGGCCAACTAACACCTCCCAACTAATTATCCCCAGGCAGCAACCAGCCAGGTTTTGAAGCTGCAAGGCCATTCAATGCTAATCAACATTCCCATTTGCCTCAATCAAGAATTCTTTCTCTCACCCTGGACATTATTCCACACATATATCAATCTCACTTACCTCATTTCCAGCAAACCTCACAACCTGAGGATGCCTGCCATAGATGTGGGCGAAACGTCAGGAGAGAATGCTTCTGGAACATAGCCAGACAGCTCGGGAAACTCACAGCAAGCCAAAGTTCTGAATTTCTTATTCTGCTACAAGGGTATATGAAGAGTGTAGTTCTTTAGAGACCGATGGACTACAATTCCCATCAAGCCTACATATAGTGGTGAATAGGCGTGAATGAAAGGATGACCTATCCATAAACGGATGCCTTTCCTTGCCTTCTTATAGCTCATCTCTATGAGAACTAGGTATCTTCCTACATTCCTAGTTATAGTTCCGTAACTTGAGTGCTTCTAAGCGTAAGCAGAGTGTGTTTCTTTGGAAACAGTGGCTAGTTTCCTTGCATTCTTGCAAATGGAGGCGTTGATTTTGCGATTAGCAGGGAAAGATTTGCACAATTAGCCTGGGGAACTCATTGTGCTGGGATGTTGCGCAGTCGCAGCACATACAATGTGTGTTTCCAAAGTAAGGCATTTCAGAACAGTTGCCTCATCATGCCCATCACTCCTCTTTCTGGAAGGGGATGGGGTTTTTTTTTTTGTAAATCCCAAATCACACAGGTGTGAATATTGCAGTTGGCCACCTTGACTAGCATTGAATGGCCTTGCAGCTTCAATGCCTGGCTGGTTGCTGCCTGGGGGGAACCTTTGTTGGGAGGTGTTAGCTGGCAAATGGCCACCTTGCTGATCATTGAATGGCCTTGCAGCCTCAATGCCTGGCTGGTTGCGCCTGGGGGAATCCTTTGCTGAGGGGTGTTAGCTGGCAAATGTGTACCTTGCTGAGCATTGAATGGCCTTGCAGCCTCAATCCCTGGCTGGTTGCTGCCTGGGGGAATCCTTTGTTGGGAGGTGTTAGCTGGCAAATGGCCACCTTGCTGAGCATTGAATGGCCTTGCAGCTTCAATGCCTGGCTGGTTGCTGCCTGGGGGAATCCTTTGTTGGGAGGTGTTAGCTGGCCCTGTTGTCTGAAAGCCTTGGACAACATATAGAAACTTGGCAATAGTTTTTGTTCCCCATCCCAGCTGGGTTCCCCCTGCACCTTTAACAGGTGGAGAAATCCAACAGGAAAAGCTCTTTCCTCTGAAAACAATACAATGATATTGTTTGCAACTCAACCGGTTGAACGACAGCCTGATGGAAGAGTGACGTTGAAGGTCCTCCCACTTTGCTTTTTTTGTAATCCTTTGCAAAGTGGGAAGTCCCTTTTCTTTCAAAGTTCCCCTTTCCTCTCTTCCTCTCTCTCTCCTTCTCTCCTCCCCCTTTCCTTTCATTTTCACTTTTCGTGCCTGACTTGCTGGCCTCCCTCCTCTTCCTCCTCCTCTTCCAGCCTTTGAAGACTCGCCCCACGGGTTTTGGGGTTCGCCCGGCCGGTCTTGCCAGCCCCACACCTGGACCCACACACCTGAGCCTCCACTCACACCTGGACAGGTGCACAGCAGCCCAGCATGGCGACCTTGGAGGTGCCCCCCGAATGCGAGGCCCAGGTAAAGTGGTGCTCCTTTTCTTCCCCCCAAACTACCCTTTAGAGGGGTCTAAAAGAACATTTGCTCCCCTTGGAAGCCATTGATTAACAGGCAGGCATCCAACAGGTCATGTACTGCTCACTCTATGGTAGGTCTAGGAAGCTTTACCGGTTGGATACCTTTCCTATTCCTATACTACAGTATGCCCTCCCTTTATTGACATGACATAGTAGATTTAGGAAGCTATAGCATTGTGGTGGCAGGCAGGCATCCAACAGGTCATGTCTGGTAGCCCTAAGAAGCTTTACCAGTTGGATACCTTTTCTATTCCTATACTACAGGTTGCTCTCCCTTTATTGACATGACATAGTAGATTTAGGAAGCTATAGCATTGTGGTGGCAGGCAGGTATCCAACAGGTAATGTATGATAAGTCTAGGAAGCTTTACCAGTTGGATACCTTTCCTATTCCTATACTACAGGTTGCCCCCCCCCCCTTTATTGACATGACATAGTAGATTTAGGAAGCTATAGTACTGTGGTGGCAGGCAGGCATCCAACAGGTCATGTACGGTAGGTCTAGGAAGCTTTACCAGTTGGATACCTTTCCAATTCCTATACTACAGGTTGCCCTCTCTTTGTTGAAATTGTAGATTTAGGAAGCTATAGCATTGTGGTGGCAGGCAGGCATCCAACAGGTATGTATGGTAGGTCTAGGAAGCCTTAGCAGTTGGATACTTTTCTTATTCCTATACTACAAGTTGCCCTCCCTTTATTGACATGACATAGTAGATTTAGGAAGCTATAGCACTGTGGTGGAAGGCAGGCATTCAACAGGTTCTGTACAGATGGGTCTAAGAAGCTTTACCAGTTGGATACCTTTCCTATTCCTATACTACAGGTTCCCCTCCCTGTATTGACATGGCATAGTAGATTTAGGAAGCTATAGCATTGTGGTGGCAGGCAGGCATCCAACAGGTCATGTGTGATAGGTCTAGGAAACTTTACCAGTTGGATACCTTTCCTATACTACAGGGTGCCCCCCTTTATTGACATGACATAGTAGATTTAGGAAACTACCACATTGTGGTGGCAGGCAGGCATCCAACAGGTCATGTATGGTGGGTCTAGGAAGCTTTACCTGTTGGATACCTTTTCTATTCCTATACTACAGGTTTCCCTCCCTATATTGACATGACACAGTAGATTTAGGAAGCTACCACATTGTGGTGGCAGGCAGGCATCCAACAGGTCATGTGTGATAGGTCTAGGAAACTTTACCAGTTGGATACCTTTCCTATACTACAGGATGCCCCCCTTTATTGACATGACATAGTAGATTTAGGAAGCTATAGCACTATGGTGGCAGGCAGGCATCCAACAGGTCATGTACGGTAGGTCTAGGAAACGTTACCAGTTGGATACCTTTCCTATTCCTATACTACAGGTTGCTCTTCCTTTATTGACATGACAGAGTTGGATATCTTGCTATAGTTTCCCCTGTGTATTGATAATACATTGTGAACCTGGGAAGCTTTACCAGTTGGATATCTTGCTATAGTTTCCCCTCTGTCTTGATATTACATTGTGAATCTAGGGAGCTTTACCAGTGGGATATCTTTCTATAGGTTCATCTCTGTATCCATATTGTATTTGGACCTGGGAAGCTTTACCAGTTGGATATCTTACTAGAGTTTCCCCTCTGTATTGATATTATATTGTGAACCTGGGAAGCTTTACCAGTTGGATATCTTGCTATAGTTTCCCCTCTGTATTGATACTACATTGTGGTTCTGGAAAGCTTTAGCAGTTGGATATCTTTCTATCGGTTCCTCTCTGTATCCATATTACATTTGGACCTGGGAAGCTTTACCAGTTTGATATCTTTTTATAGGACTGATTCCCTTCTATTGATATTACATTATGGTTCTGGGAAGCTTTACCAGTTGGATATCTTGCTATAGTTTCCCCTCTGTATTGATATTACATTGTGGTTCTGGGAAGCTTTACCAGTTGGATATCTACCTGTTGGAAAAGTGTGGGTAAAAAAGAGAGTGTTCTAGGAATCCTCCTAAGTAAAGCAGGCAGAAATACAATAGATATAGTACTGATATTCCATTGTGGGTCTGGGAAGCACTATGGGTTGGGTATCTTTTGTAGGACAGGTTTTCCTTTACCAGTTGAATGTCTTGCTGTAGGAGTGTGGTTAAGAAAAGAGAAGGCTCTAGCACCCCTTGTAAGCCAGGCAGAAATCCAACAGGTTCTCCTCTCCGTACGGACCCTATTAAATTAAATTAAGATGTAAAATTTGGCTGACAGGTGTGCGGGAATATCAGGTGATCCCAACCCGAAAGTGCTGGCAGGCCTCCATCCACATCTGACATAGTTTCATATTTCTCTCTCCTTCTACAGGTGAAGTCCTTCAAGGAGAAACTCTGTGCTCAGGTGAGAGTGGGTTACCTTTCCTCAAAGGGGGAATCCTTTTTATCTTGCCTACCTTTCCAATACTTTGACTTTATTAGTCCTCAGAAATGGAAAACAAATTGGGGATTTTTTTAGGTCATTGCCATTGAAAACGTAGCTTCTGAACATGGGCAGAGTGCATTTCCCATAGAAAGCCATTGTATGCCTTTGCATTAAAAATATCAAAGGTAGCAAGTTCCAGACTGGTTTATCCTCATTTGGATCTTGATCAAGAGAGAAAAGTTGTTGTTGTCGTCCTCCTCCCACAATAATAATAAATATGATGATGATGATAATATTATTTAATTGACTTGTATGTTTTGTTCCATTGCAATATATGTATATTGTGGATTTTAAATTGCATTGCTTCTTATTAATGTTGTGAATTGCTTTGCGTCTTGGTCAAGAGACAGAAATAGATGGCGATGATGTTATGTTATCTCCTAGCTAAACGCGGCCATGCTTTGCTGTGGCTCAGTCTGATATGAAATGAATGTGAAAGTAAATAAAAATATTGCTGCGAACGGTCATAATGAGTGGTATTCCTGGAAGTGGTACGTCTTCACCTTCATGAGGTCCGTTCAGAATTGTTCTTTAGATTGCTCATCAATTTTTAAACTCCTAATTGTGTGTCATTGCAAAACTTTGGCCAAAGTACTGCAAATCCCATCATCCTGGGTCCATCCTCCCCCTATTGGCACCAGGACATGAAGTGGGTAATTGAGGAGGGGGGGGGGGGGGTGTTTGTGTGTCAAGTTTGGTCCTGATATGCCATTGGTGTGAGTCACAGTGATTTGTGGGAGCCCAATCGGGTGGAGGTACTCCAAATCCCATCATCTGTGGTCCGTGGTCCCACAATCCAGGACGTAAAGTGGGTAATGGGGGGTCTGTTTGCCAAGTTTGGTCCAGGTCCCTCATTCGTGGAGGTCGCAGTGGTCAGCAGGAGGCAATTGAGGTGAGGGTACTACAAATCCCATCATCTGTGGTCCATCCACCCCCTATTGGCACTAGGACATGAAGTGGGTAATTGAGGAGGGGGGGTCTGTGTGTGAAGTTTGGTCCTGATCTGCCATTGGTGTGAGTCACAGTGATTTGTGGGAGTCCAATCGGGTAGAGGTACTCCAAATCCCATCATCCGTGGTCCGTGCTCCCGCAATCCAGGACGTAAAGTGGGTCATGGGGGGGGTCTGTTTGCCAAGTTTGGTCCAGGTCCCTCATTTGTCAAGGTCACAGTGGTAAGCAGGAGGCAATTGAGGTGAGGGTACTACAAATCCCATCATCTGTAGTCCATCCACCCCCCTATTGCCACCAGGACATGAAATGGGTAATTGAGGAGGGGGGGTCTGTGTGTCAAGTTTGGTCCTGATCTGCCATTGGTGTGAGTCACAGTGATTTGTGGGAGCCCAATCGGGTGGAGGTACTCCAAATCCCATCATCCTTGGCCCATGCTCCAGCAATCCAGGACGTAAAGTGAGTCATGGGGGGTCTGTGTGCCAAGTTTGGTCTAGGTCCCTCATTCGTCAAGGTCGCAGTGGTTTGCAGGACTCAATTGAGGTGAAGGTACAATAAATCCCATCATCCGTGGTCCATCCTCGCCTAAACCGCACCAAGATGTAAAGTGGATCATGGGTTTGGAATGCAAGCTTATGTCAAAATGTCAAGCCAACCAACCACTACTTTTTGAGTTTTGTGAGCACAAGCACACGCAGGCTATGTTTTTATATATACAGCAGGAGGCAATTGAGGTGAAGGTACTACAAATCCCATCATCCGTGGTCCATCCTCCCCCAAACCGCACCAAGATGTAAAGTGGATCATGTGGGTTTGGAATGCAAGGTTATGTCAAAATGTCAAGCCAACCAACCACTACTTTTTGAGTTTTGTGAGCACAGGCATACGCAGGCTGTGTTTTTATATATACAGATTTGTTATTGTTATTGTTGAGTTGTTGTAGGTTTTTTCGGGCTATATGGCCATGTTCTAGAGGCATTCTCTCCTGACGTTTCGCCTGCATCTATGGCAAGCATCCTCAGAGGTTGTGAGGTCTTGTTATTGTTGTTAATATTATTATTTGAAACACAACAAGATGAGTCTACAGCAGACAATACCACTCTGCTGACTCTTGGATTGGATCACACGTCGGACACTTCCCAAGTGTCTAGGACTGTGTGATGAATCGGCGAATAATGCGTGCAGATCCCAGTAAGGTGGCCTTTTGCAGCTGGCAGATGGTAATCTTATCAGCGCCGATTGTGTTTAAGTGCAGGCCAAGGTCTTTAGGCACTGCACCCAGTGTGCCGATCACCACTGGGACCACCTTTACTGGTTTATGCCAGAGTATTTGCAGGTTGATCTTTAAATCCTCGTATTGTGTCATTATTATTATTATTATTATTATTATTATTATTATTATTATTATTATTAGAAACACAACAATCTATATTTTTAGTTTTTTTTCAGGGCTGATGATGACAAACTTTCACTTTTGGATGGTTAGCTTGCAAAATAAATTCTTTTTCCTTCTTGCAAAAGCGAAACGTTGCCAAAATATTAGCTCCACAAATAAATAGTGTGTTGGTTAGTTTGGGTATTTGGTTACACGACAGCTGTGGAAATGCGCCTTTTGTTTCGTGATGTTTTGCCTTCTAATGTTCCTTTCATCTGCCTTGTTTTTGGCACCGAATTATTTCCAAAAAGGCTGAAGAACTGGTCTCGACTCGTTTCCCGGAAAAAATTGTGGAACTCAGCGAACTCCTGAAGGTAATCCTATTTTGAGAGTGGCTTAAGTTGTCATTATTTCAGCTGCAAAACCAAGGAGCACATTATTATTAGGCTTTGGGCGCATCTACACAGTAGAATGACTGCAGTTTGATACCACTTTAATTGCCATGGGCTCAGTGCTGTGCATACTGGGAGATGTAATTTTCCAAGGCCTTCTCTGCCCAATGGTGCAGGCGCCCCATCAAACTACAATTCCCATAGTAACTTGAGTCCCCTTCGGAGAAGGGCAGAATATAAATAAAGTGTTGTTGTTGTTATTATTATTAACTTCCATAGCATGGAGCTAAGGCAGTTAAAGTGGTATCAAACTACATTCATTTTGCAGTGTAGATGAGTTTAGAAAGGCAGGATCTAATGCAGGCTGTGCGGTTTAAACCTATATTTATTTATTGTTTCATCTATATTTGTTATTAATTGAATGATGAGCAGCACTTTGGCTCACTAACTGCCCGACAAGGGTTATGGGCCCAGCACAATTCTACTGTGCAACTCTGCTTTAACTAGCGGATCACTGCCTGCGAATTGGACAGCGAATTTTCATGTAAATGTGCTGAGAGAGTCCTTGCATGCCAAGATTCAAATGGATTAAAGGTTAGGAGTGAATGGAATGTCCTCTCTACTCCCTAGATCACTGCCCTGAATGTTTTGGATCTCATTTCGCTGCGTGTCGAACTAGACATCCCGGTGCCAGACCCGAAGAAGGACGAAGAACGGCGCAAAAAGCAAGAAGTGAGTTTGGGGAATGCTGGGATGGACCCCGAAATTAGGAGGAAATGGAGCAGTTCAGGTGGTATATAGGTTGCATCGACACTGTATTTATTTATTTGTTTATTTCGCACATTTCTACCCCGCCCTTCTCAACCCCCGAGGGGGGACTCAGGGCGGCTTACAAAAGGCACAATTCGATGCCAACAACAGACAATAAGATAAAACATGCATCAACAGCAATGAAAAACAATTAAAACAATCAAGTTATACATCACAATCAATAAAAAACCAATCTCATGTTCAACGTTTGCCAGCTCAGAGTCCATAAGTTCATTCCACATTGTCAAATCCTATCAATTCTAGTCGTCATTGTCCTTGTCTATCTGCCAGATTACCCAAAGGCCTGGTCCCATATCCATGTTTTTAGTTTCCTTCTAAAAGAGAGGAGAGATGTTGATGACCTAATTTCCCCAGGAAGTGAATTCCACAGGCGAGGGGCCACCACCGAGAAGGCCCTGCTCCTCGTCCCCACCAATCTCACTTGTGATAGAGGTGGGGCTGAGAGCAGAGCCTCCCCAGAAGGTCTTAAACTCCGAGGCAGGACGTAGAAGGAGATGCGTTCGGACAGGTACGCTGGGCCGGAGCCGTATAGGGTTTTGTAGGTCAAAACCAGCACTTCGTATTGTGCTCGGAACTGGATCGGCAGCCAGTGGAGCTGACATAACAGAGGGGTGGTATGTTCCCTGTATGACGCTCCGGTGATTAATCTGTAGAATTAATCCACTTTGACTGCACTTTAGCTGCACTGGCTCAATGCTATGGAACCCTGGGAGTTGTAGTTTGATGAGGCACCAGCTGTTATATGTCAGCCTGTTCAGCCTGTGATTGTGTCTGTTGATCAGGTTGCTTTGGATGATGGTAATGACAATGATGTTCAAGCTGATTTCCCTGATGGAGATGGGATGCTGTTCATAAAGATGTTCCTAAAGGGAATGGGGATGATGGTCTGTTTCCTGGGCCTGTGTTGGAGTTCAGCCTGCGATTGTGTCTAATGATCAGGGTACTCTGGATATTGGGAATGACATTGATGTTTCTAATGATGAGGTTGCCCTAGATGCAGAGAATGACAATGGGATTCCTGATCAAAGTGTCTTTTCTGATGAGAATGTTCCTGAAGGGTTTGGGGGTGATGGAAGAGGGCCTGAATTGCTACCAGAGAATTCCCAGGACTTTGAGCCTGAGAAAAGCTTAGCACCTGGCCCAGCTGGAGAAATTAATGAGCCAGTAGATAGAAGGCATATTTTCAGTCAGCATAGGCAAACAAATCAAGCTCTCAGGCATTCTGCCAGACTGAGAGAGAGATTGATAACAGAGTCAAGGCTGAAACGAAATCTGTTCCTGGCCGCTTGGTACATAGAGTAGATTAGAGGATAAAAGTGCCAAGGAAAGTATCAATAGTCAGACGAAGCAATGTTGGAATTGAGTCAAGACATCTTTCCTGGTCCTTGGAAGCCTTTCCTTGGATAGATTCATGTTTTTTGTTTGTTTGTTTTTACTTTTTATTGAGATTTTGTGATATCAATACATTAATAAGGTGTTAATCATTGACATATTGGATATGTCCTAAAAAAAACTAGGGGGGGGGGAGAGATGATGAAGGGGGAGGGAAAGAGGGGAGTGGGTAAGGTGCTTATCTGCAGGAGAAAAGGGGGAAGGGAAAAAGGTAACGGGGAGTTGGGAGGGGATAGGGTAGTCCTTATCTAATGGAAAGTAACAAGGGGTAGGGGGGGTGCGAGGGATTGGGGATGTGAGACGTGGAGTGTGTTAGTATTTGTTAGTTCTTTTTGTTTACTCATTGTTTTCCCCATAGTTGGTTAGTACAAGTGTTGTCCTCTATAGTTGTCTTCTGTCTTCTTTTGTCCTTTCCTCGTACATCATTGTCGTTCTTAATTTCCTTCTAAGTAGTTCCTGATTGGAGACCAATCTGTTTTATTCTCTCTTGTGGTCTGCTTTGTTCTTATGTATTGCGTCAATGTATCCATGTTCATTATGTCCATTAACTTTAGTCTCCAATCATCTAACTTTGGAATTTCCTCGTTTTTCCATTTACTTGCTAATACTAATCTTGCTGCAGTAGCCATGTGGAATAAGAGCCTATCTTTATTCTCGTCTATCTCAAAYTCCAGGATTCCTAATAGATAGTATTCRGCTTTCTTTTCTATTTGTAATTCCAATAATTTTGTTGTTGTTCCATGAACCTCCGTCCAAAATTTTTWAACTTTTTCACACGTCCACCAAAGGTGTAGAAAGGTACCTTTCTTCTCTTTACACTTCCAACATCMTTRGTCTACATTTTTGTAATACRTAGCTAATTTGTTGGGTGTTAAGTACCATTGGAACATCATCTTGATCCAGTTCTCTTTTAAGCTGTAGGAATTGATCCATTTTAGTTTTATCTTCCATATTTTTTCCCATTCCAGTATGTRGYTGGTATGTCCCAGATTACCTGTCCACTTTGTGGTGTAACTGTCRATGCTGTTRCTTTCTGTTTTCCAGCTTAATAGAATTTTATATATTTTTGTAATTCCTTTTTTRTCCGTAGCCATGATTCTTTCCKATTGTTTCTCTCTGTCTTCGAATCCTACTCTTTTATCTTTATTGAATGCTTCACTTAGTTGCCTATGCTGAAACCACGTAGTTTCGCCATATGATACTTTTATCTTCTCTAGCGTTTTAAGCTTATATCCGTCTGTTTTGTCTTTATATCTGGGCCAGTTTTCCCACCCTAGCTCTCTTCTTTGAATTGCCTCTGAATTGAGTCAAGACATCTTTCCTGGTCCTTGGAAGCCTTTCCTTGGATAGATTCATGTGTTAAGTGCCTTGTTTGATTTCCTGATTCAGGTTTTGGAGTTTTACCTTGGAAGTTTCTGTCTTTGTTTTTCATGAACTCTGATGGACTAATTTCCTGGGCTGTTTGTTTCTGCTTATCCTTCTACCTAATTGGCTTTAACTATTTTTATGGAATGTTTTTTACCGCTACTACTTTTTAATTATCTTCAATAAACTGCTTGCATTTTTACTCAGCTGTGTGGGCTTTCCTGGCCTGGAGTGCAACAGTCTGGTTATGGGGATGTGGGACCTGAATGCAGTTTAGATGATGAGTCACAGAGGCCTGTATTGCTGCAAGAGGATTCTCTAGGTCAGTGGTTCTCAACCTGTGGGTCCCCAGATGTTTTGGCCTTCAACTCCCAGAAATCCTAACAGCTGGTAAACTGGCTGAGATTTCTGGGAGTTGTAGGCCAAAACACCTGGGGACTCACAGGTTGAGAACCACTGCTCTAGGTCTTGAGCTTGGCTCTGTGCCGCAGTTTCCTAGTCAGTTATCTCCAGGTGGAGATTTTAATGAAGGGAGTAGTAGTGAAGCCTTGAACAGGAGAAGTGTTTTTAGCCAGCAAAGACAAACAGGTCAGCAATTACGGCACTCCGCCAGATTACAGCAGAAGTTAGAAGTGAAACCAAAATTGAGAAAAAAAACCCTTTCCTAGCTGTTTGGGAAATAGGGCAGGGATATAAGTGTCAAGTACGGAATCTAGCTTCAGACGAAGCAACATTGGATCCACGTTAAGTTCTTCATGCCAAGTTCTTGGACTCTTCTCTTTGTTTGATTAAGTGTCTTTGCTGGTATTTGCCTTTGGAATCAAGTATCTACCTTCATGGAGTTTTTTGGACTATTTCTCTTTGGACTAATTGTTCCTATTTCTTCCTAATCTATCGGATTACCTTTTACTGTGGATTGCTTTTTATTGCTTTGGCTTGTATTACCCTCAATAAACTGCTTGATATTTTAACCCATCTGTGTGGTGTTTAAAGTCAGAGGGCATCCTTCTCTGGAGTACAACACCAGCCCTCTTTGACGGAGAAGGCTCAAGACCTTAGAAAACTACAACTCTCAGGGTTCCATAGTATTCAGCCTTAGGAGATAAAGTACATTTAAGCGGCTGAGGGGGGAAAGAAAGAGGCCTGAGGCTGTTAGGAATTGTGGGAGTCGAAGTCCAAAACACTCAGAGGGCCAAAGTTTGCAAATACCTGTTCTACAGTGTGGTTGCACCCCTGTTTTCCTGGATGTTTTGCAAAGTTTGAGATCTGACTCTCATTTGTTTCTCAATTTAATTTGCACCTTCGCTTCTGAACAATAGGGTGGAGCTGCTCTTTATCTCCTTTTAGTCTTAAATATGACTTTCCAAGGTGTTGTTCCCTTCCCTCTTCTCCTGTTCTCGATCTGGGACAGGAACCCCATAATTGCCCCAGAGATCTTCCTACGCTGTAATTACTTTGCTTTTCCTCCTCCCTTCCCTCTGGTCTGCTGTGTGGGAGAAAGTCCTACTCTGTGCATGGCATCATATATATATATATATATATATATATATATATATATATATATATATATATATATATGGGATCTATTTTCAACTTTTTTTTCTTTCGGGTCGGTAATTTTCCTGGTGTTGTTTCCTTTCGAACCGTTTGCAGGGTGCCTTAATTTTTGCAAATTATCAATCTTTTTCTTCCTTGTGCCAATATTCGTATTTCTTTTTCTGGTTGGGCAACGGCATCATACTTTGTGGGTGCTTAAAGGGATTTCCATTGTCTTGTTAGTTTAAGGTAAAGGGAAAAGTTTTCCCCTGATATTAAGTCCAGTCGGGTCCGACTCTGGGAATTGGTGCTCATCTCCATTTCCAAGCCAAAGAGCCGGCATTGTTCATAGACACCTCCAAGGTCATGTGGCCTGCATGGAGCGCCCTTGCCTTCCCGTTGGAGCGATACCTATTGATCTACTCACATTTGCATGTTTTTGAACTGCTAGGTTGGCAGAAGTTGGAGCTAATAGCGGGAGCTCACACTGCTCCCCAGATGTGAACCTGAAACCTTTCAGTCAGCAAGTTCAACAGCTCAGCTTTAATTCACTGCGCCACCTGGGTCTCCCTGATTAGTTTAGTTTTATTTTAATATTTGTGTGTTGTGGATTTGCAATTGTACTGGGTTTTTTTTTTAAGTGTTGTGAATCCCTTTGCATCTCAGTCCAGATAAAGGCAGGATCAGGATGATGATGTCGTGTAATCTATATAAATAAAAATGTAATGTTTGTTTGTGGGATTAACATAACTCAAAAACCACTGGACGAATTGACACCAAATTTGGACAGAATAAACCAATGAGTGACCATCACTCATAAAACACTGGAAAACACAGAGAAAGGGACTTAAAAAGCCAAAAAAGAACAAAACAGATGCTACAGCACATGCGCAAAAACTGCTCCCCCTGCAAACAAAACACACAATAGTATATCCACACCCTATTCTGGACTACAGCTCCCAGCATCCCCTAGACCAGGCCCTTTAGGAGAGGAGGGTGATCCAAATGCACTGCTTCCAAGATGGAAACTTTCTTCTCCTTGGATTTCTTTGAGGACATCCCAATCGCTGCATATTTCCAATTTCCAATTCCTGGACTGCAACTCCCAGCAATCCTCCTGATAGATATATTAGATAGTGTGCTGTTGCACGCTGGGCCTGTGCATTAGACTGTACACAGGACATAAATTCTCTGTGCCCAACGGGACGCCGGGGCTGCCTCAGATTAAAGGCCCTTAGATTCCCCCAAACAGAGTCTTTAGAATGCTTAAAGTAAATCCAACAAAGTTCTTTATTGATGAAAACAAACAGAAATTGTAGAGCTTTAAATTATCAGTTCTCTCAAACTTGTCCACAGGGAACAGGCACTATCTTCGTAACTATAATTAACTAAAGGGGAAATCCTAGCTTCTAATCTGGGCAGTCTGAACTTGCCTCTGTTGACGTGGAGCCCCTGCACCCGGCACCAACTGCATCTGGCTTCCGTGAGCGACCCTTGCCCCAACAGAGCTTTGTAGACCTCCAGGGGAAAAGAAGGAGTTCAGGTTGCTGTGATGGCCGGCTGGAGTCCCTCAGCCAAGCTGTGGCTGTATGTCTCCAGGCCAAGCCGTAGGGCTGTATAACCCCGGCCAAGCTGTAAAAGACGAAGGTTTTCTACAGGAGCCACTTCGTTCTATGTCCTGTGCGAAAGGCTTCTCTGTGAGAACTAACTCAAAATGGCTTTGTTCCCTCCAAAACTCAAAAAGGGGCGGGATCAGGGAACCTAACTATAACTGGCAGGTGGCTTACCCTATAAATGCAAATTATAACAGGAAACCCCCTGCTACAAAATCCCAAGCATGGGATTGCATACAAACATGCAAACACAGCAAATAAATCTGGAGCTCCCGGAACAGCTGTTCCAGAACAGATAGTGATATATAGGTTGGTAAATAGACCGATCAGGAGGACTGCTGGGAGTTGCAGTCCAAGAATAGGTACAGAAGGAAGAAAGGGGACAAAGAGGAAGGGAAAGAAAAGGGGGGAAGGAAGTGAAGAGGAAGAAAAGGAAGGAAGGAGAGAAAGAAGATTTAGGGAGCTATAGCATTGTGGTGGCAGGCAGGCATCCAACAGGTCATGTATGGGAGCCCTAGGAAGCTTTACCAGTTGGATACCTTTGGATGCAATAAAGGTTGTCCTCCCTATACTGACATGACATAGTATATTTAGAGAGCTTTAGCATCGTGGTGGCAGGCAGGCATCCAACAGGTCATGTATGGTTGCCCTAGGAAGCTTTACCAGTTGGATACCGTTCCTATTCCTATTCTATAGGATGCTCTCCTTTATTGACATGACATAGTAGATTTAGGAAGCTATCACATTGTGGTGCCAGGCAGGCATCCAACAGGTGATGTATGGTAGGTCTAGGAAGCTTTACCAGTTGTATTCCTTTCCTATTCCTATACTACAGGATGCCCTCCTTTATTGACATGACATAGTAGATTTAGGGAGCTATAGCATTGTGGTGGCAGGCAGGCATCCAACAGGTCATGTATGGGAGCCCTAGGAAGCTTTACCAGTTGGATACCTTTGGATGCAATAAAGGTTGTCCTCCCTATACTGACATGACATAGTATATTTAGGGAGCTTTAGCATCGTGGTAGCAGGCAGGCATCCAACAGGTCATGTATGGGAGCCCTAGGAAGCTTTACCAGTTGGATTCCTTTCCTATTCCTATTCTATAGGATGCCCTCCTTTATTGACATGACATAGTAGATTTAGGGAGCTATAGCATCGTGGTGGCAGGCAGGCATCCAACAGGTCATGTATGGTAGGTCTAGGAAGCTTTACCAGTTGGATACCATTCTTATTCCTATTCTATAGGATGCTCTCCTTTATTGACATTACATAGTAGATTTAGGAAGCTATCACATTGTGGTGCCAGGCAGGCATCCAACAGGTGATGTATGGTAGGTCTAGGAAGCTTTACCAGTTGGACACGTTTCCTATTCCTATATTACAGGATGCCCTCCTTTATTGACATGACATAGTAGATTTAGGGAGCTATCACATTGTGGTGGCAGGCAGGCACCCAACAGGTTCTGTACCAATCGGTGGATCTATCCAACAGGTTCTGTATGAAATTGGACCCAACTTGTCACACAGAGCCCTGATGACCAGCAAAAAGTACTGGAGGTTTTTGAGGAAAATCCATCTTGATTTGGGGGAGTTGTAGTTCACTTACATCCAGAGAGCACTGTGAACACAGGAACCCAAGCTAATAGATATCTATATAAATAAAATGTAATGTCCGTTTATGGGATTAACATAACTCAAAAACCACTGGGCAAATTGACATATACACATACAATCATATACATATACACAAGCACACATACATACAGACACACGCATATATATACGCAAGCACACACAAATATACACATCTACAGACCTACATATACACTTACACACATATACACACATATGTGCATATACACAAGCACACACATATACACAATATCCATATACACATAAAAATACAAATACAGAAATACACACACACACAAATACACACACACATTTACACAAACATACATATATACACATACACACAAATTTATACACAGATCATATACACATATACAAACATATATGCATATACACAAGCACACATATATACACAATATCCATATACACATATAAACACAAATACAGAAATATATACACACACAAATACACATACACACACAAACACGCATATATACACATATACACAAATATATACAAAGACATAAACACATGTACACACACACAAAACACATATACACAGACTGGACCACAGCAACATGTGGCAGGGCACAGCTAGTATAAAATAAAACAACCTTAGGTGAACTGATGCTTCTAGCAGAGTCAATTTATTCATTTTCGGACCCCAAATCATTATATGATTGTATATTGATTTTCCCCGCTGACTTTCCAATGAATCTTGTGTCCATGTTTCTCTCATTCAGAAAGAAGAGAAGGATGCTGGCAAAGAAGAGAAAAGCAGCAAGAAGAAATCGGATGATGAGGAGAAAGGTAGGCATTGGGAGAATTCCTTGATTCACTTTCAAGGTACTTCCATATCTACTATGGCATCCTGGGTTGCATCTACGCTAGGCATGGGCAAACTTGGGCCCTCCAGGTGTTTTGGACTTCAACTCCCACAATTCCTAACAGCCGGTAGGCTGTTAGGAATTGTGGGAGTTGAAGTCCAAAACACCTGGAGGGCCCAAGTTTGCCCATGCCTGGTCTAGACCGTAGAATTAATGCAGTTTGACACCACATTAACTGCAGTTTGGCACCACATTGTCATAGATCAAGATTATGGAATCCTGGGAGTTGTAGTTTTACAAGGGCTTTAGCCTTCTCTGCAACTCTTTTTTTCCTCTTCTCAGCCCCACCTTGTGGTCCCATTTGCCACAATGAGAAGATCACTGCTTTGCTGAACCTGGTGAAGCCAGAAATCCAGGGAACCAAGGAGAAACTGAATGTGGTGAGTTGGTAGCAGAAAGCAGGGCCCAGAATCTTGTCTCATGTGCTTTACTAATAATATAATCTATATAAATAAAAATGTAATGTTCGTTTGTGGGATTAACAGCACTCAAAACCCACTGGACGAATTGACACCAAATTTGGACACAAGACATCTAACAACCTAATGTATGTGCTTCACTCAAAAAAATATTGGTTTTGTCATTTGGGAGTTGTAGTTGCTGGGATTTATAGTTCACCTACAATCAAAGAGCATTCTGAACCCTACCAACGATGGAATTGAACCAAACTTGGCACACAGTTCTCCCATGACCAACAGAAAATACTGGAAGGATTTGGTGGGCTTGGAGCTTGAGTTTGGGAGTTGTAGTTCACCTACATCCAGAGAACACTGTGGACTCAAACAATGATGGATCTGGACCAAACTCTACACGAATACTCAATATGCCCAAATGTGAACACTGCTGGACTTTGGGGAAAATAGAATCTTGACATTTGGGAGTTGTAGTTGCTGGGATTTATAGTTCACCCACAATCACAGAGCATTCTGAACCCCACCATCGATGGAATTGAACCAAACTTGGCGCACAGTTCTCACATGACCAACAGAAAATACTGGAAGGGTATGGTGGGTAGTGTACTTTGGTTTTGGAGTTGTAGTTCACCTACATCCAGAGAGTACTGTGGACTCAAACAATGATGGATCTGGACCAAACTCTGCACAAATACTTAATATGCCCAAATGTGAACACTGGTGGAGTTTGGGGAAAATAGAATCTTGACATTTGGGAGTTGTAGTTGCTAGGATTTATAGTTCACCTACAATCACAGAGCCTTCTAAACCCCACCAACAATAGAATTGGACCAAACCTCCCACACAGAACCCCCATGTGAGCCACAGAAACGCGTGGCAGGGGACGGCTAGTATAATATAATATGATATGATATATATACATATACATATAATATTTATAATATAATATATTGTATATACATATAATACTTATAATATAATATATTGTATATACATTGTATATCATCTCCTTTTTTTCTCTCCCTTGTTTCCAGATTTCTCTCTGGCTCCAACTCCTGGTGCCCCGGATTGAAGATGGCAATAATTTTGGGGTTGCCGTTCAAGTGAGTGTGCTTCCTCCCCGGTGCCCACTTCCATAGATACCCAAACTCATGCAAATATTGGGTTGTTGTAGGTTTTTCGGGTTCTATGGCCATGTTCTAGAAACATTCTCTCCTGATGTTTCGCTTGCATCTATGGCAGGCATCCTCAGAGGTTGTGAGGTCCACAACCTCTGAGGATGTCTGCCATAGATGCAGGCGAAACATCAGGAGAGAATGCTTCTAGAACAGTGATTCTCAACCTTCCGAATGCCGCGACCCAGTTCTTAGCCTTTCTCATGAGGAATACAGCTCCTCATGTTGTGGTGACCCACAACCATAAAATTATTTTCGTTGCTACTTCATAACTATAATTTTGCTACTGTTATGAATCGTAATATAAATATCTGATATGCAGGATGTATTTTCATTCACTGGACCAAATTTGGCACAAATACCCGATATGCACAAATTTGAATACTGGTGGGGTTGGGGGGGGGGGGGATTAATTTTGTGATTTGGGAGTTGTAGTTGCTGGGATTTATAGTTCACCTACAATCAGAGCATTCCGAACTCCACCAATGATGGGATTGATTGAAATTTGGCACACAGGACTCCCATGACTAACACAAAATACTGGAAGGGTTTGGTGGGCATCGACCTTGAGTTTTGGAGTTGTCATTCTCCTACATTCAGAGAGCATTTTGGACTCAAACAGTGATGGGTCTGGACCAAACTTGGCAGGAATACTCAATATGCCCAAATGCGAACACTGGTGGAGTTTGGGGGAAAATAGACCTTGACATTTGGGAGTTGTAGTTGCTGGGATTTATAGTTCACCTACAATCAAAGAGCATTCTGAACCCCACCAATGATAGAATTGGGCCAAACTTCCCACACAGAACCCCCATGACCAACAGAAAATACTGTGTTTTCTGATGGTCTTTAGTGACCCCTCTGACACCCCCTCGGGACCTCCTCAGAGGTCCTGACCTCCAGGTTGAGAAATACTGCTCTAGAACAGTGTTTCTCAACCTGGGGGTCGGGACCCCTGAGGGGGTCGCGAGGGGGTGTCAGAGGGGTCGCCAAAGACCATAAGAAAACACAGTATTTTCTGATGGTCATGGGGATTCCATGTGGGAAGTTTGAGCCAATTCTATCGTTGGTGGAGTTCAGAATGTTCTTTGATTGTAATGAACTATAAATCCCAGCAACTACAACTCCCAAATGCCAAGATCTATTTTCCCCAGACTCTACCAGTGTTCACATTTGGGCATATTGAGTATTCCACCATTGCATGAGTCCACAGTGGTCTCTGGATATAGGTGAACTACAACTCCCAAACTCAAGGTCAATGCCCATCAAACCCTTCCAGTGTTTTCCATTGGTCATGGGAGCCGAATTTGGTTCAAATCCATCGCTGGTGGAGTTCAGAATGCTCTTTGATTATAAGTGAACTATAAATCCCAGCAACTACAACTCCCAAAATACAAAATCAATCCTCCCCCAACCCCACTAGCAATCACATTTGGGTGTATTGGGTAGTTGTGCCACCTTTGGTCCAGTGAATGTAAATGCATCCTGCATATCTGATATTTACATTATGATTTATAACAGTAGTAAAATGACTGTTATGAAGTAGCAACGAAAACAATATTATGGTTGGGGGTCACCACAACATGGGGGACTGTATTAAGGGGTCACGGCATTAGGAAGGTTGAGAATCACTGCTCTAGAACATGGCTATAGAGCTCGAAAAACCTACTAGGGTGTTGATTTTTTAAAACGAAATGGGATTCGAGCGTATCTACACTGTAGAATTAATGCCAGTTCATACCATTATAATTGTCCAGGCTGAGAGCTGTGGAATCCTGGGAAGTTATAGTTTTGTTTGGCACCAGCAGCACTCTTTGGCAAAGAAGGCTTAAGACCTTGTAAAACTACAGCTCCCAGTGATTCCATAGCACCGAGCCATGGCAGTTCAAGTGGTGGCGAACTCCATTACTTCTGTAGTATAGATGCACCCATAGACAACTCGCATCATCATTTATTTATTTACTTACTAGCAGTCCCCTGCCATGCGTTGCTGTGGCCTAGTCTGTGTATATGTGTTTTCTGTGCGTATATGTGTGCATATATTTGTGCATATGTGTATATATGTGTGTTTGTGTATATATATGGTTTTGCGCATGAGTTGTAATGTATTTTTTTGATTTTTAAGTCTCTTCTGCTGTGTTTTCCAATGTTTTTTTATGAGTGATGGTCACTTGTTGGCCTGAGAGGTGTGTTGTGTCCAAAATTGGTGTCATTTAGTTCAGTGGTTTTTGAGTTATGTTAATCCTACGAACATTACATTTTTATTTATATAGACTAACCGTCCCTGCCACGCATTGCTGTGGTCCATATGGGGGTTCTGTGTGGAAGGTTTGGCCCAATTCTATCGTTGGAGGGGTTCAGAATGCTCTCTGATTGTAGGTGAACTATAAATCCCAGCAACAACAACTCCCAAATGTCAAGATTCTATTTTCCCCAAACTCCACCAGTGTTCACATGTGGGTGTATTGAGTATTTGTGTAGAGTTTGGTCCAGATCCATCATTGTTTGAGTCCACAGTGATCTCTGGATGTAGGTGAAGTACAACTCCAAAAGTCAAGGCCCACCAAACCCTTCCAGTATTTTCTGTTGGTCATGGGAGAACTGTGTGCCAAGTTTGGTTCAGTTCCATCTTTGGTGGGGTTCAGAATGCTCTTTGATTGTAGGTGAACTATAAATCCCAGCAACTACAACTCCCAAATGACAAATCATTTTTTTGAGTAAAGGACATACATTGGGTTGTTAGGTGTCTTATGTCCAAATTTGGTGTCAATTCATCCAGTGGGTTTTGAGTTCTGTTAATCCCACAAACGAACATTACATTTTTATTTATATAGATGTATTATATTTTTTATTTATTTACTATATTATTTACTATATATCATCATCATATTTTTCACATTGCATCCTTGCTCTTTTCCCTTCTTTTTTCCTAGGAAAAAGTGTATGAGCTGCTGACCACATCCCGAACGAAACTGGAAGCGTTTCAAGCGCATATTGCCAAGTGAGTGAGACCTGGGGGGAAATGACCAGCTTTGGTGCATTTGGGGTAGATATGGGTGGATTTGGGGTGTTGTAGTCCCCCAATTTTTTTTTTTAGTTTGAAAATAGAAATGCATGGATTTCTTTCAAGCGAAGGGAAGAGTCAGGAAGTTTCATCAGGAAGAGGGCAGGGTTAGAATAAGGAGCAAAGAGTTGGAGGGGGCACCCAGAGGCATCTAGTCCAACCCTACATAACCATGAATGAGTGTCAAACAAGGCAACTGCTCCATCCTTTCTTGGAGGGAAAAAGAGACAATGGAGAGCACTTTCAGGTAGATCTCGCCCCACTGTGGAATGCAGAGCGGTTCACGGGTTGCAACCCTGCCTCCAGATCCGCCTCCAGATCCAGGGAAGGTTGCACCGGTTCATGCCACGCCGATTAGATCTCCAAGCCGGAGGGAAATGGGGCACCCTGACATTGCATCCGGTTGCACCAGCAGGAGCAGATCCGCAGAACAATACTCCTTGCGAGAGACCCACAATTTCCAGCATGACTCCTTGCTGTCTTGCTTGGCCAGCGGATTCTGGGAAATACAACCCTCAAAATATTTTTTTCTTAAGCCCAGGAAGTCTATATCAAGCTTTGAGTGGAGTCTTTGCTTGTTTTCCTTCCTCCCCTCTCACATCCTTTCTCCTTTTCCCTTTCATCCCTTTCTCCTCACCCTTCTCCATCTCTCCCCCCTTTCTTCTCCTACCCTCCTGTTTATCCCTCTTCCTTCCTCCCTTTTCCCCTCTCTCCTTTCTACTTTCTTTCTCCTCCCTTTTTCCTTCCTTCCTCCTCCTTCCCTTTTCCTTCCTCTTCCTTCCTTCTCTTCCTTCCTTCCTTCCTTCCTTCCTTCCTTCCTTCCTTCCTTCCTTCCCTCCTTCCCTCCCTCCCTCCCTCCCTCCCTCCCTCTGCTCCTTTCTTTTCTTCTTTCTTTCCCCTTTGTTCCTTCCTTCCCTCCTTCTTTCTTCTCTTCCTCCCCTTCCTTTCACCTTCCTTCCTTCTTCCCTCTATCCTCATTCTCACACCCCTTCCTTTCTGCATGTCCTCACTCTTTCTCTCTCCTGCACTTTTCCTCCTTCCTTTTCTCCCTTTTCCTCTCTCTCCTTCCTACCTTGGTTTTCCTCTCTCCCTCCTCTTTTTTTCTTCCTTTCCTCTCTCCATTCATCCAATTTTCTTTTTCTCTCTCTCCCTTTCCTTCCTTTCTCACTCTCTCTTCTTTCCTTCTTTCTTCTCTTCCTCCCCTTCCTTCTTTTCAGCCTTCCTTCTCTCCTCAATCTTTCTCACACCCCTTCCTTCCTTTCTACATTTCCTCACTCTTTCTCTCCTGCCCTTTTCCTCCTTCGCTTCCTTTTCCTCTCTCGCCTTCCTACCTTCCTTTCTCTTCTCCCTCCTCCCTTTTTTCTTCCTTCCCTCTCTCCATCAGTCCATTTTTCTTCTTGTCTCTCCCCTTCCTTCCTTCTCATTCCTCACTCCCTCATTCTCTTCCTTCTCTCCTTTTCCTTTCTTTCCATCAAACCTCCCTCCTTCCTTCCTTCTTCCTTCTCAATCTTTCACACCCACTCCTTCCTTCCTTCTCTTTCCTCACTCCCCTTCTCTTCCTCTTTTCTTCCTTTCCTCCTTTTCCTCCTTCTCTTCTCAATTTTCCTCTCACATCCACTCCTTCATTCCTTCCTCACTCCCTCCTTCTCTTCCTTCCATCCTTTTCCTTTCTTCCCCCTCAACCCTTCCTCCTTCCTTCTCTTCTCAATCTTCCTCTCACACCTTCCTTCTCTTTCTCTCCTTCTTCCTCTTTCCTCCCTTCCCTCCCTCCTTTTCCTTTCTTCTCCCTCAAACCTCCTTTCTTTCTCCTCCTTTCTCTTCTCAATCTTTCTCTCACACCCACTCCTTCCTTCTCTCCTTCCTCACTCCCTCAAACCTCCCTCCTTCCTTCCACCCTTCCTTCCTTCCAACAACCTCCCATCTTCCAGAAATCCAACTTTTCCTTGTTTTTCACAAGTAAATACAAAAATGAGCAAATCTCTCCCTGAAAACTCCAGGAGCCTCTCTGGATTATTGCACGTGTGGCATCTTTGCTGCTGCAACTGAGCCAAAAAGCGCAACCTTTTGTTTGATCGTTACATGTAAGCCGTGCCCATAAGTTGATTTCATAATGAGCACCTTCATCCTCCACTCCTTTAATGTTTTTTTACAAGGCTCAAGTGCAAAGAGTAATGGAGAGATAGGGCTTCTTTGCCTCGCTCTTCAATAGGTTCGGTACTTTGGATATTTCCTTTTAAAGTTCGGACAGAAACCCAAAACGGATTAACTGTGGGCCCAATGGGGAGCTTTCAGGCTTTGCTATTTCCAGATATGGGGGAAAGCACTTCTAAAATGGGGAAGGCAAAAGTTAACTGAGATGTATTCCAACAGGTTCAGTACTTTGGAGACCTGCTTTTAAAGTTCGGACTGAAACCCAAAGCGGATTCCCTGTGGATCCAATGGGGAGCTTCCAGACCTTTCTATTTCAAGATATGGGGGAAAGCATTTCTCAAATGGGGAAGGCAAATGTCAGCTGAGATGTATTCCAACAGGTTCAGTACTTTGTAGACCTCCTTTTAAAGTTCGGACTAAAACCCAAAGCAGATTCACTATGGATCCAATGGGGAGCTTCTAGGCCTTGCTATTTCAAGATATGGGGGAAAGCATTTCTCAAATGGGGAAGGCAAATGTCAGCTGAGATGTATTCCAATATGTTCAGTACTTTGGAGACCTCCTTTTAAAGTTTGGACTGAAACCCAAAGCGGATTCACTGTAGACAGAATGGCCTTGCTATTTCCAGATATGGGGGAAAACACTTCTAAAATAAGGAAGAAAAAAGTCAACTGAGATGTATTCCATTAGGTTCAGTACTTTGGAAGACCTCCTTTTAAAGTTCGGACTGAAACCCAAATCGGATTCACTGTGGACCAAATGGCCTTGCTATTTCAAGATATGGGGGAAAGCACTTCTAAAACAGGGAAGGCAAAAGTCAACTGAGATGTATTCCAATAGGTTGAGCACTTTGGATACCTCCTTTTAAAGTTCGGACTGAAACCCAAAGCGGATTCACTGTGGACCAAATGGCCTTGCTATTTCAAGATATGGGAAAAAACACTTCTAAAACGGGGAAAGCAAAAGTCAACTGAGATGTATTCCAATATGTTCAGTACTTTGGATGTTTCCTTTTAAAGTTCGGACTGAAACCCAAAGCGGATTCGCTGTAGACCCAATGGGGAGCTTCCAGGCCTTGCAATTTCCAGATATGGGGGGGAAAGCACTTCTAAAACAGAGAAGGAAAAGGTTAACTGAGACATATTGTTGGAAAGGGCCATATATATGGGAGGAGTAAGATAATAAAACAGTGCTGTGCACTTTGATCCAATGTGCTCAATTGGAAAAGTAGGTAGGAATATGAGACACGCCATCCTAGTTAAGGTGTCAAATGCAAATTACAGCAACATGAGCAGGAATTCGAACCTTAGTTTAAGATTCCGCGCTTTCCGCCCTTCGTCTTGCTCCTTCTCGTTAAATAAAAAATAAATTCCAATCCTTTCTTCCCCCGAAGCGACAAGCAATTTTAAATTGGCCGAGGGAGTCGCTTGTAATGTTCCCGAGTCTATTGTGCTCACACTTAATTAAATGATGCTTCCTGCCAGTTTTTCAGCCAACCTCATCAAGTTTTGGGGGTTTTTTCCTCCCTTTTGACCAGCGTTCCGTGTCAATTTGCCAGAGTTTTCTGACCATAAATTCCTTTTTGTGGGAAACCCAGCTCTCGTAAATCATATTCTCCTTTTTTATATATATTCCTAGAATTGGCCAGTTTCCAAATCTAGAAAACGCCTCAATTTGCTTTAAAGGCCTAGTGCCAAACAAAAAAAGAAGTGTCAGGGTAATGTGATTTAAGTGCATCTGCAGTGAATCCGCTTTGGGTTTCAGTCCGAACTTTAAAAGGAAGTCTCCAAAGTACTGAACCTATTGGAATACATCTCAGTTGACTTTTGCCTTCTTCATTTTAGAAGTGCTTTCCCCCTCCAGATGTTTTGGACTTCAACTCCCAAAATTCCTAACGGCCGGCAGGGATTTATATATCTGTGGATTGATGTCCAGGGTGGGAGAAAGAACTCTTGTCTGTTGGAGGCAAGTGTGAGTGTCACCATTGGCCAGCTTGATTAGCACTGAATAGCCTTGCAGCTTCAAAGTCTGGCTGCTTTCTGCCTCTCAACAATGGATTCTCCCAGGCAGGAAGCAGCCAGGCTTTGAAGCTGTAAGGCCGTTCAATGCTAATCAAGCTGACCAATGGCAACATTCATACTTGCCTCAAGTGTGGACCATCCAGGGTGGGAGAAAGAACTCTTGTCTGTTGGAGGCAAGTGTGAATGTTGCCATTAACCAGCTTGATTCGCACTGAATAGCCTTGCAGCTTCAGAGCCTGGCTGCTTCCAGCCTGGGGGGGGGGTCCTTTGTTGAGAGGCAGAAAGCAGCCAGGCTTTGAAGTTGCAAGGCCATTCAATGCTAATCAAGCTGGCTGATTGCAACATTCACACCTACCTCAAACAGACAAGAGTTCTTTCTCCCACTGTGGACATTCCACAGATATAGAAACTTCACTTGCCTAGTTTTCAACAGACCTCTCAACCTAAGAAAGATGCCTGCCATAAATGTGGGCAAAACATCAGGAGAGAATGCTTCTACAAAATGGCCATGCAGCCCGTAAAACTGACAGTTTCCAACAGACCTCACAACCTCTGAGGATGCCTGCCATAGATGTGTGTGAAACATCAGGAGAGAATGCTTCTGGAACATCTCCCATCAATTTTCTCTTTCTCTCCCCAGGTATTACTCCGAAAGAGGCGATGCGGTATCGAAAGCATCCAAGAGCCCGCACGTGGTGAGTTTGACCCTTTCATCCCACGCTATTAGTGGTAAACGTGACAAAAGGTACACAAAGACTGGATGACGTTTCTCATTCTTTGTGCCTTGCAGAGCGACTACCGCCAACTCGTGCATGAGATCGACGAGGCAGAATATGCAGAGATTCGGTTCATGATCAACGAACTTATAAATATTTATGTGAGTTGCACCGGCGTGGGTGGGTGGGCATGGGGGGGGGGGATTTGCATTAAGAGCACAGGCCACACAAAGCAAAAATCTTGGTGTTTTGGTTTTAGGCCTGTTCCTGGGGCTATTTGGGGCACTGATTCAGAAAATTGCATTTAATAATAATAATAATAATAATAATAATAATAATAATAATAATGGCACATGAATGGTTAAAAATGGCATCCACAAAAATGAAGTTTCTGCAGTGTAACAACTACTTTCAAACTAAGTACCGCACAGTTAAACAGGAAATACACTTTCAAACCAAGAACATTTTTTCCAAATAGTGCATATTTACTGTATTTGCCCCTCTACTGCCCTATATGGGGTCTCCTGGGATGTCTAGCTCCTCCGGTACAATTCTGCATTCAACTTCTGCTGGGGTCTCTCCCAACTCTAGCGGTTTGTGGCCTCCAAACCCATGTTTTTCTTTTGCACTTTTTAGGCCGTCGTCTACGACAGCGTGTTGAAAAACTTTGACAAGATCAAGAAGCCCCGTGATGAAAACAAAGGGATGATCTATTAAGTGGAGAGAGAGCAAAAATAAAAAGATGGAGACAGACTTCCCGGCAGCCAGGCACTGATATTTCCTGCTTCCTTTTTCACTGTTCACTCACTTCTGTCCCTTTGGAAATAAAATCATTTTAACCCTCGAGCATGTATTCGTGGTACAAAACTACAGAAGGGGAGGAAAAGCTTCCAACTGGGTTTGTTCGGAATGGCAAGGTTTGTAAACAAACTCCAAATCTGCCTAAGAATGCTGTGTAATACTAGTATAAATAACAGGCATGGGCAGTTATTTCAACAGTGTAGAGCAGGCATAAGCAAACTTGTGCCCTCCAGGTGTTTTGGACTTCAACTCCCATAATTCCTAACAGCCTCGGACTCTTTCCTTTTCCCCCTCAGCTGCTTAAGCTGTTAGGGATTGTGGGAAAAGTCCAAAACACCTAGAGGGACCAAGTTTGTCCATACCCAATATATAAATACATTGCCTGGGTGTCAGCGCCGGCTAACACCTCTCAAAAAAGGATTCCCCCAGGCAGGAAGCAGCCAGGCTTTGAAGCTGCAAGGCCATTCAATGCTCATCAAGGTGGCCAACTGCAACATTCAAACTTGTCTCAAGCAGTTCTTCCTCCCAGCCTGGACATTATATCTATATGGCCATGTTCTGGAGGCATTCTCTCCTGACGTTTCACCTGCATCTATGGCAAGCATCCTCAGAGGTAGTGAGGTCTGTTGGAACTAGGAAAATGGGTTTATATATCTGTGGAAAGACCAGGGTGGGACAAGGAACTCTTGTCTGCTGGAGTTAGGTGTACATGTTTCAACTGACCACCTTGATTAGCATTTGATGGCCTGGCTGTGCATGGAGCAATCTTTTGTTGAGAGGTGATTAGATGTCCCTGATTGTTTTCCCTCTGCTGTTGTGCTGTTTTAATTTTAGAGTTTTTTAAATACTGGTAGCCAGATTTTGTTCATTTTCATGGTTTCCTCCTTTCTGTTGAGGATGCCTGCCATAGATGTGGAGGAAACGTCAGGAGAGAATGCTGCTGGAACATGGTCACGCAGCCCGGCAAACCTGCAGCAACCCAGTGATTCCAGCCATGAAAGCCTTTTGACAACACAGAGAACATATAAACTTTGACTTTTATATATATTAACTATGGAAGCACAATCTTCGCAAGGTTTTAACTTAAAGGCATTGATTAAATGCATAATTGAAATTATCAATTAGCAAATTAGTTTGATAGGGCCTATTATGTATAGTTTTTCTGGACATGCCCATTTTTATAAAAATCAGCTCTAAATCCTGATTTCCTTCTTGGCTGTTCTAACCAATGTGTTAGGTGAGAAGGGCAAAACAATCCCAAATGGGATGCTCTCTGCTTCTGGTCGCATGTCTTTGAGCGGTGCAAAGGGCTCCCCTTCCTTTAGGCATTGCCATTGGCCACGGATACCAGCTGGGCAATTTCTGTGTTCAGTTTCTGATTGGTCCAGTCCTCTCTGATGTCATCCAGATGGGTGTCGAAGTCCACCAACTGGGAGTAAGCCTTGGCTTCCAGGAGGGACTTGCACGTGTGGCGGGAGGATTCCCAGTCGCTCCACATGACCCTGGAACAGGCCAAAGAGACAATCACATTTGCACATCTCATAATAGATTTTTCATTTCCTTCACTCCCTCCTAGGCATAAAAGAGCAAACAAGGAAGGCCCAGTCTGGGAAGATGCTTAGATTCAATGATACCTCTGTTCTCACCCAGTTTGGATATTTTAACTATAATTCCCAGAATCCCGAAGTGAACACATCCGATGTCTTGGGGATTCTGGAAAGCGCAGCTTCCCAAAAGTAAGATGCTAAAATTTTAGGCTCTTTCTATCAATTAGAATGCAAAGAATATGCTTCAAGTTACATTTTTGGGGAGAATTATATATATAAAAATGCTCTGTGCATAATGAGTACCATAAAAACAAAAGAACCAATGAACGAAATCACACCAAATTTGGCAACAAAACATCTCACAAAAACAAGGAGTGACCATCACTCAAAAAATTATGATTTTGTCATTTGGGAGTTGTAGTTGCTGGGATTTATAGTTCACGTACAATCAAAGAGCATTCTGAACTCCATCAACGATGGAATTGAACCAAACTTGGCACACAACTCCCATGACCAACAGAAAATATTGGAAGGGTTTGGTGGGCATTGCCCTTGAGTTTGGGAATTATAGTTCACCTACATCCAGAGATCACTGTGGACTCAAACAATGATGGATCTGGAACAAACTTGGCACAAGCACTCAATATGCCCAAATATCAACACAGATGGAGTTTCGGGGGAAATAGACCTTGACATTTGGGAGTTGTAGTCACTGGGATTCACAGTTCACCTGCAATCAAAGAGCATTCTGAACCCCACTAACTACAGAATCGGGGCAAACTTCCCACACAGAACCCCCATGACCAAGAGAAAATACTTAAGGCCATCCCACCATAGATATAGATAGATAGATAGATAGATAGATAGATAGATAGATAGATAGATAGATAGATAGATAGATCTGATTCACACACACACAGAGATATGGTATCATAGATTTGAAAGGGACCCCTAAAGAAGGACAATGATATGTTGCATATTCCAGAGTAGGCAAACCAGACAATCTCCACATCAACACTGACACAGAAACAACAAGAAATACTGTTTACCCACAAGCATAAAGACATTAGATATATTAGAAACCAACACTTTCTCGTTACTTTATTTTCCAGATCAACAGACTGGGCCACAGCAACGCGTGGCAGGGGACAGCTAGTAATATAATAAAACTTTATTTATATACCGCTCCATCTCCCCGAGGGGACTCAGAGCGGTTCCCAAGTAACATCACAAAACATACAGAGTAAAAACAACATAACCACAAGATTAACAAACAAAATATAAGCATAAAAATAAGACACATATATTAAAAGTAATCCTGCCTGGTCAAGGCAATAAACAATTTAAAAGTCCGGGCCAAGATTTGTGCAAGCCCAAAAATTTTAGGGGGGCTGGGAATTAAGTGCAATGCTATGGCAGGCAACAATAATATTAGGTACGGGTCTGTGGCTGTTCATTCCAGGGCCGATTAGAGGAAAGAATCTGGGCAACTGGTGGGGTTCAGAATGCTCTTTGATTGTGGGTGTACTATAAATCCCAGCAACTACAACTCCCAAATTACAAAATCAATTTTTTGAGTGAAGGACATACATTTGGTTGTAGGTATCTTGTGTCCAAATTGGTGCCAATTGCCCCAGTGGTTTTTGAGTTCTGTGAATACCACAAACGAACATTACATTTTTATTTATTATTATTTTGTTACATTTATTAATTTACTTTATTATTATTATTGTTACATTTATTATTTTACTTGTTATTATTACATTTATTACTTTACACTATTATTGCTGCAATTATTACATTTCCATTTTATTTATTATTATTATTATTACATTTATTATTTTACTCTATTTATTATTATTGGAAGGATACGTAAGCACATTTACATTGAAGAAGGTCAGAAAAATGGTTTAATCAGAGTTGGGCAGTCTTCTCTTAAATTACAGTTTTATGTAAATATTCAAAAACATTTAACCTACAGAGGCTTAAGTTAATGCAATTGTATTGGTATCTATTTTTATTTTGAAACGTACTAGTAGCTGCTGCATTTCCCACCCTCGGCTTATACTTGTGTCAGTTTTTTTTCCAGGTTTTTTTTTATGTGGTCAAATTGGGTGCGTCGGCTTATATTCAGGTTGGCTTATACTCGAGTATATACGGTAGATATGAGAAACAGGTTCGAATCTCCTCTCTGCCATTGAAACCCACTGGGTGAACCAAGGCAGTGGCAAACCTCAATAAATATGGGCAAGGACAATCTTAGGAGAAAGCAGCCAGAAATTTGACTTGAAAGCACACAACAACATCAATTAGATATCAGCAACTCACAGATTCTTGTCTTTGGGAACCCATTGCCGATCCTTCTGCTCCAATACGATTATTGGAGGGACTCTGGGATTTATGGTAAATTTGCGATTATCTAACTGGGGGGAAAAATGAAAAGGGTGAATGCAGTAATCTGGAGGAAAAAAGAAGTGACAGTGACAACAACAACAACAACAACACTTGTTATCAGTCTCTCCATCCGACTCAAGATATACAACAGCATTAAAACTAGATAAAACACTATGAAAACACATACAACAAGATACACAAAGGAAAATAGAAGTTAAAATCCATTGACGAAATGCAGATTCACAACTTAAAATTGTTTTACTTTCCACTATAGCAGTGTTTCTCAACCTGAGGGTCGCGAGGAGGTGTCAGAGGGGTCACCAAAGACCATCAGAAAACAGTGTTTTCTGTTGGTCATGGGGGTTTTGTGTGGGAGGTTTGGCCCAATTCTATCATTGGTGGGGTTTAGAATGCTCTTTGTTTGTTGGTGAACTATACATCCCAGCAACTGCATCTCCCAAATGTCAAGGTCTATTTTCCCCAAACTCCACCAGTGCTTACATTTGGGCACATTGAGTATCCTTGCCAAGTTTGGTCCAGATCCATCATTGTTTGAGCCCACAGTACTCTCGGGATGTAGGTGAACTACAACTCCAAAACTCAAGGTCAATGCCCACCAAACCTTTCCATTATTTTCTCTTGATCATGGGAGTCCTGTGTGCCAAGTTTGGTTCAATTCCATCATTGGTGGAGTTCAGAATGCTCTTTGTTTGTAGGTGAACTATAAATCCCAGCAACTACAACTCCCAAATGACAAAATCAATCCCTACCCCCCCCCCCCACCAAAAAAACTCCACTAGTATTCAAATTTGGCCGTATTGGTCCAAATTTGGTCAAGTGAATGAAAATACATCTTGCATATCAGATATTTACATGACAATTCATAACAGTAGCAAAATGACAGGTATGAAGTAGCAACGAAAATAATTTTATGGTTGGGGGTCACCGCAAGATGAGGAACTGTATTAAGGGGTTGCAGCATTAGGAAGGTTGAGAAACACGTGATTATGTTTATCAGAATGTTATTTTATGACCGCTTTTTATTATTATTAATGTATTCTGATGATGTTGTTGTTGTTTATGGTTTTGATTTTATTGCTGTAATATGTTGTCCGGGCTTGGCCCCATGTAAGCCGCTCCAAGTCCTCACTGGGGAGATGGTGGCAGGGTAAAACTAAAGATTATTATTATTATTATTATTATTATTATTATTATTATAGTCTTCCGATTCCTTTGCAAAAAATGGGGCAAGTCTCATCACCCAGGAGGAATTCCCCCCATATGTCAGAAAATGGCCCATAAATGTGGCAGTTTTGGGCTGAAAAAGATCATAAAATACTATAGTAAATGAGTGCCTAAAGACAGACCAAGAGAAGCCCACAAGGGCAAGGAGAAAAACTTCCCAGAATCGACACTCCGTTGTGCAAATTTCAACGTCTCACCATAATAAGGACGGCATGATCGTAAAGCTCCGCAATGCGCCCGGCGGCCTTTTGCGCAAGAAGCGAGGGACTGCAGGGAAGACAGAAAGGAGGAAAATAAGGGAGGAAAGAAAACAGAGAAAGAAACGCTGTCCCGTTTGCAAACTGCTGCCCAAACTCACGTTTTGTCGTCAATCCCAGCGTTGGCCTGGTAATAGCCGGCCAGGAGCAGATCTGACTCCGAACTCCAAGCATCGACCTGCAAAGACGGGCAAATTTCAGGGTTGATGAGCAAATAAAATATTCCTCATAATGCCTCATTTTTAACTAGTAAACACATTGCATTTAGCCAGTAAACTTCATTTCTCTCTCTATGCAGATGACACACAACTCTCTTCCACCTCAATCCAAGGAAACTCCCTGGATCAGTGCCAGGCAGCTGTGATGGACTGGATGAAGACCAACAAACTGAAACTGAATCCAGACAAGACAGAGATCCTCCTAATCAGTTGTGAGGCCAATCGGGGGTATAGGATGGCAACCATTTTATTTTTATTTTTTGCCAATTTGTTTTATTTACGTACATAGAATCATAGAATCAAAGAGTTGGAAGAGACCTCCTGGGCCATCCAGTCCAACCCCATTCTGCCAAGAAGCAGGAATATTGCATTCAAATCACCCCTGACAGATGGCCATCCAGCCTCTGTTTAAAAGCTTCCAAAGAAGGCGCCTCCACCACACTCCAGGGCAGAGAGTTCCACTATTGAACAGCTCTTACAGTCAGGAAGTTGTTAGAATCATAGAATCAAAGAGTTGGAAGAGACCTCATGGACCATCCAGTCCAACCCCTCTGCCAAGAAGCAGGAATATTGCATTCAAATCACCCCTGACAGATGGCCATCCAGCCTCTGTTTAAAAGCTTCCAAAGAAGGAGCCTCCACCACACTCCAGGGCAGAGAGTTCCACTGCTGAAAGGCTCTCACAGTCAGGAAGTTCTTCCTCATGTTCAGATGGAATCTCCTTCTGTAGTTTGAAGCCATTGTTCCATGTCCTAGTCTCCAGGGAAGCAGAAAACAAGCTTGCTCCCTCCTCCCTATGACTTCCTCTCACATATTTATACATGGCTATCATATCTCCTCTCAGCCTTCTCTTCTTCAGGCTAAACATGCCCAGCTCCTTAAGCCGCTCCTCATAGGGCTTGTTCTCCAGACCCTTGATCATTTGAGTCGCCCTCCTCTGGACACATTCCAGCTTGTCAATATCTCTCTTGAATTGTGGTGCCCAGAATTGGACACAATATTCCAGGTGGTCTAACCAAAGCAGAATAGAGGGGTAGCATTACTTCCTTAGATCTAGACTATGCTCCTATTGATGCAGGCCAAAATCCCATTGGCTTTTTTGCCGCCACATCACATTGTTGGCTCATGTTTAACTTGTTGTCCACGAGGACTCCAAGATCTTTTTCACACGTACTGCTCTCGAGCCAGGCATTGTCCCCCATTCTGTATCTTTGCATTTCATTTTCTCTGCCAAAGCGGCAGAAAACTTACAGTGTAAACAAGACACAAAACAGTGGACATTTAACAAACACATAGCCCCACCACCACGGTCTGAACAAGTATCCTTTCCTTCGCCATATATTTATAGTAAAGTAAAGGTAAAGGTTTTCTCCTGACATTAAGTCCAGTCGTGTCTGACACTGGGGGGTTGGTGCTCATCACCATTTCTAAGCCAAATTGCTGGCATTGTCCGTAGACACCTCCAAGGTCATGTGGCCAGCATGACTGCATGGATTGCCATTACCTTCCCGCTGGAGCGGTACCTATTGATCTACTCACATTTACATGTTTTCATGCAGAAGCTCATGCCACTCCCTGGATTCAAACCTGTGACCTTTTGGTCAACAAGCTCAGCAGCTCAACTTGTTGACCGAACACTGCGCCATTAATCAAATGTCATATCCAAAATTCCTCACCAACAAGGTTATATTGTTTTCCATTTTCACTCTCTAAAGCATCTATATAAATAAAAATGTTATATTCGCTTGTGGGATTAACATAATTCAAAAACCACTGGGTGAATTGACAGCAATGTGTGGCAAGGGACAGCTAGTATTTAATTAAAAACCGACCAGTATGCATCAAAATCCAATCTGTTAGTTTCCCCCCTGAATACCCTCATTTGCATTGATAGTTTATCATTTAAGGCTACGTTCCATACCTCCCTATACCATGCTTTCAGTGTAAGATTAGTTACTATTTTCCAATTCCTTGGAATTATAATTCTTGTAACTGTGAGTAAAATAATCACCAATTCTTTCTTTTCTATTTCTAAATTCAACTTTGTGGTGTCCATTAGTAATGCTAACCTGGCATCAGGAGTAATATTTCGATAAATATATCATTCTAAAAACTCTTCAATTGGGAGCATTCCCACCATAAATGAAATTGGGTGGCAACCCTAATGTCCTCTGCAACTTTACTCATTAAGGACACACATACCTGGTTAAGGGCCACTTCCAGCATCACTGTGAGTGACAGGTGGCTGTGGAAGAGCGGGACGCAGTCGGTGATGCAGAGGCATTCTGGCTGCCCGCCCGTTGCCTGCCGCCTCTGCGCTAAAAGCAGCCCATTCACCTCCGCATGAGGATAGCGGGCTGCATGGAGGCACATCTTGACGTACGCCCGGGCCGAGATCTCCACTTCAGTCATCCTGCCAAGAAAGGAAACACAGATGACAGAATCAGAGCATTGGAAGCGACCACAAGAACCATCCAGTCCAACCCCTCTCCATGTAGGAAAATACAATCAAAGCACTACTGCAGCGGTTCTCAATCTGGGGGTCGCGACCCCCCGAGGGGTTGCTTGGCCATTTCAGAGGGGTTGTGAGGTTGCCTCCTTAGGCCCCGCCCCCTCTGACTCCCGAAATAGCGGCCAGACCCCGGGACCACCCTCTTCTCGCCCTCTGCCGCTGGTGGAAGCCTTGAAAAACTGTGAGAGGAGCGTGGAGAGGTGAGAATTGCCTTCACCCTTCTCTGGAAGCCCCCAGTGGTGCAGTGGGTTAAACCCCTGTGCTGGCAGGACTGAAGACCGACAGGTTGCAAGTTCGAATCCGGGGAGAGGTGGATGAGCTCCCTCTGTCAGCTCCAGCTCCTCATGCGGGGACATGAGAGAAGCCTCCCACAAGGATGATAAAAACATCAAATTATCCGGGCGTCCCCTGGGCAACGTCCTTGCAGACGGCCAATTCTCTCACACCAGAAGCGACTTGCAGTTTCTCAAGTCACTCCTGACACAACACAAAAAAAACCCCTTCTCTGGGCTCTCCCTCCTCCTCTGCTCCATTTGGGGACCTCCAAACGGAGAGGAGACGAGGAAAGACCTTGGAAGAGAAGGAGGACAAGCCTCGCTGCTCCTGCCGCCCTGTACCACCCTCTTCTCGCCCCCTTTGAGGCCTCTGCCACTGGTGGAAGCCTCAGAAAGGGGGAGAGGAGCGTGGGGCAGCAGGAGCAGCGAGGTTTGCTCTCGCCCTTCTCTTCTGGGCTCTTCCTCCTCCTCCGTTCCATTTTGGGGACCTCCAGTATTTTCTGTTGGTCATGTGGGTTCTCTGTGCCAAGTTTGGTCCAGATCTGTAATTTGTGGGGGGTCTCAGTGGTCTGTGGAAGTCAAAGCTGAATCGGTTGAAGGTACTGCAAATCCCACCATCCATTGTCCATACTCCCCCCAAAGTATTGTTTTTGTGAATTATCACTATGCTTTCATTAGGTTCAATTTGTGACAATTAAAATACATCCTGCATATCAGATATTTACATTATGATTCATAACAGTTGTGAAATTACAGTTCTAAAGTAGCAATGAATAGAATGAAAATAATTTTATGGTTGGGGGTCACCATAGCATGAGGAACTGTATTTAGGGGTCACGGCTTTAGAAAGGTTGTGAACCACTGCACTTCTGACAGTTTTTAAGCATCCGCTTAAAAACTTCCAGGGAAGTCATGCTCCCCATGCTCTATTCTGCCTTGGTTAGACCACACCTGGAATATTGTGTCAAATTCTGGGCACCACAATTGAAAAGAGATATTGACAAGCTGGAATGTGTCCAGAGGAAGAGGGTGATTAAAATGATCAAGGGTCTGGAGAACAAGCCCTATGAGGAGCAGCTTAAAGAGCTGGGCATGTTTAGCCTGAAGAAGAGAAGACTGATAGGAGACATGATGATTGCCATATATGAAGAGGTGAGAGGAAGTCATCGGGAGGAGGGAGCAAGCTTGTTTTCTGCTTCCTTGGAGACTAGGACGCGGAACAATGGCTTCAAACTACAAGAGAGGAGATTCCATCTGAACATGAGGAAGAACTTCCTGACTGTGAGAGCCGTTCAGCAGTGGAACTCTCTGCCCCGGAGTGTGGTGGAGGCTCCTTCTTTGGAAGCTTAAACAGAGGCTGGATGGCCATCTGTCAGGAGTGCTCTGAATGCTATTCTCCTGCTTCTTGGCCAAATGGGGTTGGGCTGAATGGTCCATGAGGTCTCTTCCAACTCTGATTCTATGATGGACTGTGAAGTCCTTCCAAAAATCTGGAAGTTGGCTAATAGCTCCCAAACTTTTTCTCCTCCAGAAGTTTTGGAATTCAAGTCCCAAATCTGCTGAATGTTTATTTATTTATTTATTTACTTTGCTTCTATACCGCTGTATCTCAAGCCCGAAGGCGACTCACGGCGGTTCACAAACAGTAAAAACAGTAGAAACAGCAGTGGTTCCATACAACATATAACAATTGACTTAACACATTATCCATAAATTACCAATAAGCAATTACAATGCACAATTATTATGAAAAACAACTGTACCCAATCTTCTCATCATCCAAGCGTAGTCCAGGTTCGTCGTCCATTGTTCCATTCCTATATTACATTACCAGATTGCACTAAATTACTCAAACCCCTGCACAAACATCCAGGTCTTCACCTTTTTGCGGAATACCATTAGAGATAGTGCTAGTCTAATGTCCGTAGGAAGGGCACCCAGGAGCCACCACCGAGAAGGCCCTATCTCTCGTCCCCGCCAGCCGAGCTTGAGAAGCAGGCGGGATCGAGAGCAGGGTCTCCCCGGAAGATCTCAAACTCCTGGTGGGTTCATAGGCAGAGATGCGGTGAGATAGGTAGCTTGGGCCGGAACCGTTTAGGGCTTTAAAGGCCAACGCCAGCACTTTGAATTCAGCCCGGTAGCAGATCGGTAGCCAGTGGAGTTGGCGCAACGGGGGTTGTATGCTCCCTGCGCTCCGCTCCTGTTAAAATCATGGCTGCGGATGATGGAAACTGAAGTCCAAAACCACTGGATGACCCAAGTTTGGAGACCATTGCTTCTTGGCCCTGTCTATTATTATTATTATTATTATTATTATTATTATTATTATTATTATTAATTATATATTAGCCATCCCCTGCCACGTGTTGCTGTGTCCCAGTCTGTGTATATGTGTTTTGTGTGTGTAAATATGTGTGTGTTTGTTTGTTTATATATGTATGTGGCTTTGCGCATTCATTGTAATGTTGTTGTTTTTTTGTTTTTTAAGTCTCTTCTGCTGTGTTTTTCAGTGTTTTTATGAGTTATTGTCACTTGTTGGGAAGTTTGCCCCAATTCTTTTGTTGGTGGGGTTCAGAATGCTCTTTGATTGTAGGTGAACTATAAATCCCAGTAACTACAACTCCCAAATGTCAAGGTCTATTTCCCCCAAACACCATCTGTGTTCATATTTGGGCATATTGAGTATTCACGCCAAGTTTGGTCCAGATCCTTCACTGTTTGAGTCCACAGTGCTCTCTGGATGTAGGTGAACTACAACTCCCAAACTCAAGGTCAATGCCCCCCAAACCCTTTGAGTGTTTGATGTTGGTCATGGGAGTCCTGTGTGCCATGTTGGGTTCAATACCATCATTGATGGAGTTCAGAATGCTCACTAATTGTAGGTTTTATTTATTTATTATTTATTTATTTCACAGTTTTCTATACCGAGCTTCTCAACCTCATTAAGGGACTCAGCCCAGTTTCCAGCCATAAAAAACATATACACTCATTAAAATATCATATATCACAATTACAAAAACAACTTTAAAAACACTATATATAAAACTACAGTGGTCAGTCGTCCAATTAAGATGGATCTACATCAACTTCCATCCAGGGTCCTATGGTGTTGTCTCATTCATCGAAGGCCTGACTCCACAGCCACGTCTTCACCCGTTTCCTAAATGTTAGGATGGATGGGGCGGTTCTGGCCTCCAGAGGGAGAGAGTTCCAGAGTCGCGGGGCCACCACCGAGAAGGCCCTTTCCCGTAGGTTAATTATAACTCCCAGCAACTACAACTCCCAAATGACAAATTTAATTTTTTTGTGTGTGATGGTCACTCCTTGGGTTAGTAGGCGTCTTGTGGCCAAATTTGGTGGCAATTCGTCAAGTGTTTTTTTAAGTTATGTTAATCCCACAAACAAACATTACATTTTTATTTATATAGATTATTATTATCAGTATTTATTATTATTATTATTATTTCCAGTATTATTATTTCCAGTTATCCCTTTTTCCATTGCAGCCTCAGGAAATTTCACAAATCCCTTATGGGGTTAGTTACTGCTCGACTGCAACTCCCATAAGTCTTTGCCAAGGACATGAAAGGCAAAGGAACATGGGATCTGCAGTCCAATAAAGTGCAGTTTGCATTTTGCCCAGTCTTTTCCTAGACTCTTATCTCTTCTTCCTTCAAACAACCCTCATTTCCCAAAGTCACAAAACTCTGCCCCACTCCAAGTCCTGGACTACAACTCCCATCATCCCCATTTTTCTAACTTTGCCTAAGGAAAGAGCAAAGCCTGGGAAGGAGACCAGCTTCTGGAAGGGTCTTGATGGAGAAGTAGCAGCATTGCCCCTCTCACTGCCTTCCCAATGCCCTAGTATTCCCAGTAAGGAGAAACCCACCTTTGCACTGATTCCAGCCCAGTCTGTCGTTGCTCGGAACCCCCCTTTCCGGCTGCAAGGACCCCTCCTTTCTCTTTCAAACTTCCTGGTTGGTGAGAGCCAAATAGGCCAATCACAGAGCGCGCTGCTTTCGCTCAGTCCACTTCTCTTTATCTCATTGGTTAATATACCGTCCACTCTGATTGGTCCGACTTTCCCCGTCGCTCCACCCATTTTGCGTTCTTTCTTTTCCCCCATTGAGAATTTCCTTTGGATCATAGAGATACAGCCGTCTTGTTGTTTCTACTCACTTCCGGACTCCAAGGGAAAGCTCATCTCCCCCAAAAGGCCAAACTAGGAAGTGACACCAAGGCTGCATTTCATCTACACTGAAGCATTAATGTAGTTTGACATTTATTACTAATTTATTACTAATATGGTTTTGATTTATTACTAATATTTATTACTAATTTATTTATTTATTACTATTTATTACTAATATTTATTATTACTAATATGGTTTTATTTATTACTATTTATTTACTATTTAGTAAATATTTATTTATTTATTTATTACTATTTATTACTAAGGAGGATCTGAGGAGCCTTCTAATCAAGGTGAAAGAAGAAAGCGCAAAAGCTGGGTTGCAGCTAAACATAAAAAAAACCAAAATTATGGCAACAAGAATGATTGACAACTGGAAAATAGAGGGAGAAAATGTGGAGGCCGTGACAGACTTTGTATTTCTAGGCGCAAAGATTACTGCAGATGCAGACTGTGGCCAGGAAATCAGAAGACGCTTCTTCTTGGGAGGAGAGCAATGTCCAGTCTCGATAAAATAGTAAAGAGTAGAGACATCAGACTGGCAACAAAGATCCATTGCCTAGTCAAAGCCATGGTATTCCCTGTAGTCACCTACGGATGTGAGAGCTGGACCTTAGGGAAGGCCGAGCGAAGGAAGATCGATGCTTTTGAGCTGTGGTGTTGGAGGAAAGTTCTGAGAGTGCCTTGGACTGCGAGAAGATCCAACCAGTCCATCCTCCAGGAAATAAAGCCCGACTGCTCACTGGAGGGAAGGATACTAGAGACAAAGTTGAAGTACTTTGGCACATCATGAGGAGACAGCAAAGCCTAGGAGAAGACAATTATGCTGGGGAAAGGGAAGGCAAAAGGAAGAGGGGCCGACCAAGGGCAAGATGGATGGATGACTGGACTGACCTTGAAGGAGCTGGGGGTGGTGACGGCCGACAGGGAGCTCTGGCGTGGGCTGGTCCATGAGGTCACGAAGAGTCGGAGACGACTGAATGAATGAACAACAATGTATTACTAATAATGTTTTGATTAGCACATAGAAGATGGCTTTGAAAGGCAGCAGATTACAGGAGCTGTCTTCATAGACCTGTCAGCAGCCTATGATACTGTGAACCACCGCCTCCTCCTGAGATAAATGTATAATATCACAAAGGACTACCACCTCACTCGCCTCGTAGGAAACCTGCTACAAAACAGGAGCTTTTTTGTTGAGTTCCAGGGCCAGAGAAGCAGATGGCGGAAACAGAAGAATGGCCTGCCTCAGGGGAGCATGCTTGCTCCATCCATGTTCAACATCTACACAAATGACCAACCACTGCCAGAAGGGACAGAGAGTTTCATCTATGCTGATGATCGTGCCATCACCGCTCAAGCAGGGAGCTTTGAGATGGTTGAACAGCTTTCCAAAGCTCTAGGTGCTCTTACTGCCTATTACAGGGAAAACCAACTGATCCCTAATCCATCTAAAACACAGACATGTGCTTTCACCTTAAGAATAGACAAGCATCCCGAGATCTGAGGATTACCTGCGAAGGGGTCCCACTGGAGCATTGCAGCGCACCCAAATAACTGGGAGTCACTCTGGACCATTCTCTGACCTACAAGAAGCACTGCCTGAACATCAAGCCAAAAGTGGGTGCTAGAAACAATATCATACGAAAGCTGACTGGCACAACCTGGGGATCACAACCAGATACAGTGAAGACATCTGCCCTTGCGCTATGCTACTCTCCTGCTGAGTATGCATGCCCAGTGTGGAACACATCTCACCACACTAAACCGTGGATGTGGCTCTTAATGAGACATGCCGCATTATCACAGGGTGTCTGCGCCCTACACCACTGGAGAAATTACATTGCCTGACATCCGCCGGGAAGTTGCAGCCAATAGTGAAAGGACCAAAACAGGGACATCTCCAGCTCATCCCTTGTTTGGGTATCTGCCAGCACTTCAGCAACTTAAATCAAGACATAAGTCTTCTAAGATCTACAGAGACACTCGCTGGAACACCTCAACAAGCGAGAGTCCAAAAGTGGCAGGCCCAAACCCAGCATCTCAATCAATGGCTGATACCAAATGATAGACTCCCCCCTGGGCACACAGGGGACTGGGCGACTTGGAAGGCGCTGAACAGACTGCGCTCTGGCACCACGAGATGCAGAGCCAATCTTAAGAAATGGGGCCACAAAGTGGAATCCACGACATGCGAGTGTGGAGAAGAACAAACCACTGACCATCTGCTGCAATGCACCCTGAGCCCTGCCACATGCACAATGGAGGACCTTCTTATAGTAACACCAGAGGCACTCCAAGTGGCCAGATACTGGTCAGAGGACATTTAATCAACTACCAAGCTTGCAAACTTTGTGTTTTGTCTGTTTGTCTGTTTTGTTCTGTTAGAAATGTAATACAATTTTCTGGTTGCCCCTGACACGATAAATAAATAAATTTGTCTTTTTGGCAGTGATGGTGACACCATTCATTTAATAGGGTTTTCCTTAAGAATTCAGTTCCTTCATTTGAAATGTAGCCTTCAGCACAGCAGCATTCACTGGTAGTCTCCCATCCAAGAAATGACCAGCCACTGCCAAAAGGGACAGTTTCATCTATGCCGACGATTGTGCCATCATCGCTCAAGTAGGGATTTTTGAAATGGTTGAACAGATGCTCTCTGAAGCTCTAAGTGTTTTTACTGAATAATACAGGGAAAACCAGTTGATTTCTAATCCATCTAAAATGCAGGTGTGTGCTTTTCAACTTAAGAACTCGCAGGAATACCTCAGTAAGCAAGAGTCCAAAAGTGACAGGCTAAAACCCAGAACCTCAAGCTATGGCTCATACTGAATGAGAAACTCTCTCCTGGACACACAGAAGACTGGGTGACTTGCTGAACAGGCTGTTCTCTGGCACTACGAGATACAGAGCCGATCTTAAGAAATGGGGCCACAAAACTCAACATGCGAGTGTGGAAAAGAGCAAACCACAGACCACCTATTACAATGCAGTCTGCGCCCTGCCACATGCACAATGGAGGAACTCCTTATAGCAACACCAGAGGCACTCCAAGTGGACAGCTACTGGTAAAAGAACACTTAATACAATGCCAAGTTTTTACAACTGTATCCTCGGTTCGCTTCTGACACGATAAATAAAACCTTAAGAACAGGCAAGCATCTTGAGCTCTGAGGATAATCTAGGAAGGAATCCCACTGGAGCAATGCCACTCACCAAATAACTGGGAGTCACTCTGGACTTACAAGAAGCATTGCTTGACTATCAAGCAAAAAGTGGGCACTAGAAATAATATCTTATGAAAGCTGATTGGCACACCCTGGGGATCACAACCGGATACAGTGAAGACATCTGCCCCTGCACTTTGCTACTCTGCTGCTGAGTATGCATGCCCAGTATGGAATACATCTCACCATATTTAAACAATGGATGTGGCTCTTAATGAGACATGCCGCATCATCACAGGTGTCTATGCCTTATGCCGCTGGAGAAATTACACTGTTTAGCTGGTATTGCCCCATCTGACATCTGCCAGGAAGGAGCAGCCTGGAATGAAAGGACCAAGGAATTGACATCTTCGGCCCATCCTCTGTTCGGATATCAGCCAACACCTTAAATCACGAAACAGATTCCTAAGATCTACAGCAGTGTTTCTTAACCTTCCTAATGCTGTGACCCCTTAATACAGTTCCTCATGTTGTGGTGACCCCCAACCATAAAGTTATTTTTGTTGCTACTTCATAACTTTTTTTGCTAATCGTAATGTAAATATCCGATATGCAGGATGCATTTTCATTCTCTGGACCAAATTTGGCACAAATACCCGATACTCCTACATTTAAATACTAGGGGGGTTGATTTTGTCATTTGGCAGTTGTAGTTGCTGGGATTTATAGTTCACCTACAATCAAAGAGCATTCTGAACCCCACCAACAATGGAACTGAACCGGTCCTGGCACACAGAACTCCCATGACCAACAGAAAATACTACAAGGGTTTGGCGGGCAATGATCTTGAATTTTGGAGTTGTAGTTCACCTACTTCCAGAGAGCACTGTGGACTCAAACAATGATGGATCTGGACCAAACTTGGCACAAATACTCAATATGCTGAAATGTGAACCCTGGTGAAGTTTGGGGAAAATAGACCTTGACATTTGGGAGTTGTAGTTGCTGGGATTTATAGTTCACCTACAATCAAAGAGCATTCTGAACCCCACCAATGATAGAATTGGGCCGAACTTCTCACACAGAACCCCTATGACCAACAGAAAATACTGTGGGTTGTTGTAGGTTTTTTCGGGCTGTATGGCCATATTCTAGAGACATTCTCTCCTGACATTTCGCCTGCATCTATGGCAAGCATCCTCAGAGATAGTGAGGTCTGTTGGAACTAGGCAAAAGGGTTTATATATCTGTGGAATGACCAGGGTGAGACAAAGGACTCTTGTCTGCTGGGGCTAAGTGTGAACGTTTCGACTGACCGCCTTGATTAGCATACAATGGCCTGACTGTGCCTGGGGCAAACTTTTGTTGAGAGGTAATACTGTGTTTTCTGATGGCCTTTGGTGACCCCTCTGACACCCCATTGTGACCCCCTCAAGGGGTCCCGACCCCCAGGTTGAGAAATGCTGATCTACAGAAATACTCGCAGGAACACTTCAGCAAGCAAGAGTCCAACAGTGGCAGGCTAAAACCCAAAACCACAATCAGTGGTTGAAGCTGGATGAGAAACTTCCCCCTAGGCAAACAAAAGACTGGGAGACTTGGAAGGCATTGAACAGGCTGCACTCTGGCACCACGAGATGCAGAAATGGGGCCACAAAGTGGAGTCCATGACATGCGAGTGTGGAGAAGAGCAAACCATAGACCACTGACTACAATGCGGCCTGAGCCCTGCCACGTGCACAATGGTGGACCTTCTTACAGCGACACCAGAGGCACTCCAAGTGGCCAGCTTCTGCTCAAAGGCAATTTAGTATAATGTCAAGTTTTTAACTTTGTGTTTTTTAAAAATACATTATAACTGTATTCTCAATTTACTTCGGACACGAGAAGTAAATAATCCAAGTACTGACCATGGCTTTCACGCTCAGTACGAAATGAAATCCCAAGATGCAGAAAACGAGCAACACAAAGCATTTTTTAAAAATATTATTATTGAATCGGATGGCTATTTCAAACAGCAGTGAGTCCACCATCGAGTGCAGAAATTCAGGACATGCTAATCTGGTTCCAGATCTTTGCTATTGAGGTCTTGGTCAGACTGACCTTTACATCAAACAGTGGCTTGAAACGCGATTACAATGAAAGAAATCTTCAAAGGCAGATTTCACATTATGTAGAGATACCATCAAGGAAAAATTTCCAAAAAAAGCATAGCGAGTGAAAACTTTCCCATAGGAAAAGAAGACATAGTATTGCTCCCAGCTCTAAGTACAGTTGCATAGAATACTTGCCAGAAGGGGTGCATCTATACTACAGAATTGATAGTGTGGTACCATTTTAACTGCTATGGAATCCTGGAAGGTCTTTACTTTGGTAGAGAACGCTAGACCTTGTAAAACTATAAATCCTTTAATTCCATAGCACTGAACTTGGCAGGTGCATTGGTGTCATGTTGTGTTGATTCTACAGCGTAGATGCACGCAAGAACGGAAAAGCATAAGCAAAACTAACAATGTGCATACACACTCCAGAATTAATGCAATATGGGACTGCTTTAAGTGTCATGGTACAATATTATGGAATGCCGGAAGTTGTAGTTTTCCAAGGCCTTGGGCGTTCTCGGCCCAAGACTGATAGTGCCTCGGTATACTACAACTCCCAGGATTCCATAACACTGAGCTACAGCAATTAAGGCAGTGTCAAGCTACAGCATAGGTCAGGCATGGGCCAACTTGGGCCCTCCAGGTGTTTTGGACTTCAACTCCCACAATTCCTAACAGCCTACCGGCTGTTAGGAATTGTGGGAGTTGAAGTCCAAAACACCTGGAGGGCCCAAGTTGGCCCATGCCTGGTATAGATGCATCAAAACCCAAAGCATGATTCATTTAGGAATCCCCCCCCCCAAAAAAAATCCAGGTATAAATACCATGTATTTAATTTAATTCATCACTGATCCTTTCCTTTCTACGTCAATATTTAATTTGTTTTTAAGTTGATAGTTGTTTCTCTGGCAAAGAAGTCTATCCTCAATACATGGATGGCTTTTCTTCGCCCTTAGGGTTGGTCAGCTTCTCCAGGTTTTTGCTCAAGATGTGGTACAGCTCGGCCTGTGTGCAGAAAAATTAGAATTAATAATAATAATAATAATAATAATAACAAAGCATGGGTTGTCGATGTTGCAATCCCAGGCAATAGCAGGATTGAAGAGAAACAACTGGAAAAGCTGACATGATCGAACTTCAAAGACTCTGGCACAAACTAGTAAAGGTGGGTCCCAGTGGTGATCGGCACACTGGGCGCAGTGCCTAAAGACCTTGGCCTGCACTTAAACACAATCGGCGCTGACAAATTACCATCTGCCAGCTGCAAAAGGCCACCTTACTGGGATCTGCACGCATTATTCGCCGATACATCACACAGTCCTAGACACTTGGGAAGTGTCTGATGTGTGATCCAATACAACAGCCAGCAGAGTGTCTGCGGTGGACTCATCTTGTTGTGTTTCAAATAATAATAATAATAATAATAATAATAATAATAATAATAATAATAAGACACAACAAGGAATCCTGACGTGTGATCCAATTCAACAGCCAGCAGAGTGTCTGCTAGGGACTCATCTTGTTGTGTTTCAAATAATAATAATAATAATAATAATAATAATAAATAAATAATTATGTGATCCAATACAACAGCCAGCAGAGTGTCTGCTGTGGACTCATCTTGTTGTGTTTAAAATAATAATAATAATAATAATAATAATAATAATAAAGACACTTGGGAAGTGTCCGAAGTGTGATCCAATACAACAGCCAGCAGAGTGTCTGCTGTGGACTCATCTTGTTGTGTTTCAAATAATAATAATAATAATAATAATAATAATAATAATAATAATAATGATGATGATGATGATAATAATAACGACAACAACAACTTTATACCCTGCCACCATCTCTGCAAAGGGGACTTGGAGCGGCTTACATGAGGCCAATCCCAGCGATACATTACAGCAACATAAAATATAAACAACAAGGGAGTTGTAGTCCAAAACACCTGGAAAGCCGGAGTATGCCCATACCTGGTGTAGATGCACCCTACAACCCCAAACCAATGCTTACTCACATAAAATCCACGGATATCGAGCACCACTGTCTGGATTTCCCTGTAGATCGCTTCATCCCGTTCGTGAACAAGGCAGCGATAATCCATCTGGGGAAACAAAGAAAGTAGGTAAATTAGTTAAGAGTGCATCCAGACAGTAGAATAAACACGGTTTAATTCCCCACTTCAATTCTCATAGCTCAGTGCTCTGGACTTGTAGTTTTTTTAGGCTTCTCTGCCTAAGAATGCCGGCACATTCCAAACTACACATGGTGCCACAGTAGTTAAAGCAATGTCAAACTGTGTTAATTCTACAGTGCAGATTAGGCATGCGGAAACTTAAGCCCTCCAGATGTTTTGGACTTCAACTCCCACAATTCCTAACAGCCTACCCTCAGATATATTTCAAAACACTCTTGGCAAAGGTTCAGGTCTTGGGACTTTTCAAAGCTCCTAAATTCCATTTCCAAAAATCTGGACCAAACTAGAATCTCCGTTTCTCCCCTTACTGACCACATGAGTGTCCTTGGAGGCCTTGGCCACTGCATCGCCACGTTCCAGGTAATACCTAGAAGAAAAAATAGTCGATGGGCAAAATTACTGCATTGTTCCCCCCAAACTAAGACTGGGTTTTATATTAATTTTTGCCCCAAAAGATGCATTAGGGCTTATTTTAAGGGAAGTCTTACTGATTTGTGGACAAGTCTATGTTTATTCATGTACAAAAAATCTTTATTTATTCAGATACAGTCTTCTGGAAGAACATTGATATTATGAAGTCCATAATATTCTGTGGTTGTTGTTCATTCGTTCAGTTGCTTCCGACTCTTCGTGATCTCCAACTCTTCGCATTAAATCACTACTGACCAAGAGGTCATGAGTTCAAAGCCAACCTGGGTCAGAGTGAGCTCCCGACCATTAATAGTCTAGCTTGCTGTTGACCTATGCAGCCCGAAAGACAGTTGCATCTGTCAAGTAGGAAATTTAAGTACCACTTTATGCGGGGAGGCAAATTTAACTAATTTACGATGCGATAAAACCAGTGTGCAGAAGAATGAGGAAGTACTCCATCAAAGGACCCGGTGTCACAAGTGGACAGTGAAGTGGCAGCTCCCCCTGTGGCCGGAATCGAGCATACCTTCACAAAGCCGGAAAACTGAAATGTTAAATTGCTTCTGTGTCGGTCCAATATATATCTAGTCTGACCCATTTGCCATGCAGGAAAAGCACAATCAGAGCACCCCTGACAGATGGCCATCCAGCCTCTGTTTAAAAGCTACATATGGACACTATAACCCTGCACTTACTTGGCGATGGCCGTCTGGAAGGCTTCTGCTTTGGTCTTCAGGGCTGTGATCCGTTCAAGCACCTTCTCCTGTTGAGAAGCAGGAAAATAAACAAGGCATTGCATGTACGTGTGAATGTAGAAATAAAAATATGTATGTATATATGCATGGATGTGCGTATGTCTTAAGAGTATACATGTGTATGTGTGTGTACATATGTGTGTATGTATGTATACAGTAGAGTTTCAGTTAAGTGGAACTCAAGAAACTAGAACTCTTGCACAACCAGCCAAATATGTTGAAAAAATAATACCTTATATAAAAATTAAAATACAATCAATGTCTATAATACAGTAAATCAATTTTTATAATACGGGAAAACTTTGTTAATTTAGGTCTTTATTGGCCTTAATTTACTTTGCGTGACTGTATTCCAATATTTATGCACACCTATATGAATACACGGATATACCGACACATACGTATATGTACACACACACATACACACATATATATATCCATGCGCATCATAGTAGATGCCGCATAAATACTGCTTCTGGTTGCTTGTAAAGTAAACACAGAGTTAATGGTATGGTATCATATGGGGTATAGTATTAGACCTATTTTTAATAGTAACCAGAAGCGATATTTATGCTGTATCTGCTATGACACACGCTTATGTATATATATGTGTGTGTTGTGTATATGTGTATGTCCATATACGTGTGCATATATGTGTGTCCATATATCCGTGTATATAGCTGCGCATAAATATGCGTGTGTGTGAGTATATCATATCATCATTATCATATTTAATTACTTATTAATTGCCCTCCATCCGAAATGTTCTAGGCGATTTACAAGCTAAATTGTAAAAGATAAAAATACATACATACAGAAATTAATGATTAACATAGATCAAATTGTCTAGTGAAAAGCCAGGTCTTAAGTGCTAGAGTAAAAGGCCCTAAGTCACGCATGGCATATGCTTGTGTCTATGTGTGTGTATCTTTGTGTGTATGTGTGTGTGTGTACGCACACAGAGAGTTTGTATTGTATTGTGTATTGTAGTGTATACTGTATTGCATTGTGTATTGTATTGTGTTCTGTATTGTATTGTTTGGTATGGTATGGTATATTTGTATTGTATTGTATTACTATATATCAGGGGTCCTCAAACTAAGGCCCAGGGGCCAAATACGGCCCTCCAAGGGCATTTACCCACCCCTCATTCAGGGTCAAACTAAGTCTGATACGACTTGAAAGCACACAACAATCCTATCTCATCAGCTAAAAGCAGGCCCACAATTCCAGGTGAAATACTAATAAGTGTGTATTTGCTAAAATTGTTCTTCATTTTAATTATTGTATTGTTCTTAAGTGTTTTTTGCAGTACAAATAAGATATATGCAGGAATTCATGCTTTTTTCAAATTATAATCCGGCCCTCCAACAGTTTGAGGGACTGTGACCTGGCCCTCTGTTTAGAAAGTTTGAAGACCCCTGTTCTATGGCATGCGTATGTGTCTATGTGTTGTGCGTATGTGTATATACATATATATAAGTGTGCATAAATCTGTGTATTCATATAGGTGCGAATGTGTGTGTGTATAAATGTGTATGTGCATGAGTATATGCTTGTGTGTGTGTATATATACACTCACACACCCCTATACAAACAAAGATATGCATACACACACATATATACACACAAGTATATATGTGTGTATGCATATCTTTGTTTGTATAGGGGTGTGTGAGTATGTACACACACAAACCAGTATATAATATATTATATTATATTATATCATATTATATTATATTAGCTGTACCCGCCACGCTTTGCTGTGGCCAACCTTCCCTCTTTCTCTCCTTCTTTCCCTCCTTCCTTCACTCCCTGTTTCCTTCCTTCCTTCCTTCCTTCCTTCCTTCCTTCCATCCATCCATCCATCCATCCATCCCATCTTTCCTTCTCTTCTTCCTTCCTTCTCTATCTCTTTCCTTCCTTTCCCCTTTTTCTTTCTCTTCTCTCTCTTTTCTTCCTTCTCTTTCCTTCTTTCCTTCCCTCCCTCTTTCTCTACATCTTCCCCCCTTCCTTCACTCCCTTTCCTTCCTTCTTTCCCTTTTTTCTTTCCTTATCTCCTTCCTTCCTTCTCTAACTTTCCTTCCCCCTTTTTCTTTCCCTCCCTCTTTCTCTCCTTCCTTCCTTTTCTGCCTCCTTCCTTCCTTCCTTCTCTCTTTGCTTCCATACTTCCTTCTCCCTTTCTTTCTTTCTTTCTTTCTTTCTTTCTTTCTTTCTTCTCTCCCCTTCCCTCCCTTTTTTCTGTATTGTCATTTAACTTTTCGTCATTTAGCTTTTTGGGGCATTTTAAGTCCCTTCTGCTGTGTTTTTCAGTGTTTTTATGAGTGAAAGACACACATTGGGTTGTTAAGTGTCTTGTGTCCAAATTTGGTGCCAATTCGCCCAGTGGTTTTTGAGTTCTGTTCGTCCCACAAACAAACATTACATTTTTATTAATATAGATTATGGGTGCAAGAGGTCCATGCTCTGTTGGGTCCGGGGACATACAGATCTCCATTCATCTTACCTGAACCGCCACACCGAAATCATTCCCATCTTCAATTTTGGGAATCATGAACTGAATCCAGGTTGTTACCTGATGGAACGAGAAGGGGAAACCGAGGCACAAATGTAGGACAGCAGCACACATAGAACCATACCCATGTTTACTTTGTATTATATCTTGTAAACAGAGTATTTGCTTGGTTCTAGCTCACCAAGGCGCACTTGTCCTTGAACTCCCGCACTTCGGGTTTGACGCGATCCAAAAGCGACAGGATGGCTTCGTTGCCTTTCAGGTAGCCGCATTTGGGAGCTGAGAAGGAAACCAAATAATCAAGGGCAGGCCATAAAAGACTATCATTATTACCCCACCTAAAGGTAAAGGTAAAGGTAGTCCCCTGACATTAAGTCCAGTCATGTCTGACTCTGGGGTGTGGTGCTCATCTCCATTTCTAAGCCGAAGAGCCAGCGTTGTCTGTAGACACCTCCAAGGTCATGTGGCTGGCATGACTGCATGGAGCGCCGTTACCTTCCCGCCGGAGCGGTACCTATTGATCTACTCACATTTGCATGTTTTCGAACTGCTAGGTTGGCAGAAGCTAGGGCTGACAGCGGAAGCTCACGCCGCTCCCTGGAATTGAACCTGCGACCTTTCGATCAACAAGCTCAGCAGCTCAGTGCTTTAACCCACTGCGCCACCGGGGGCTCCTACACCTACAGACCCCACCTACAGACCCCAATTCCCTGACTTTCCAATAGTGTTTTCCGCTCACCTTCTTTCTCTTCCTTCTCTGTTTCCATCTGGAGGGGGAACAAAAACAGACCCGACAACATCAAGCACTGAACTTATAGGAAACACTAGAACTTCTTAATTGGTAGGGAAAAAACATTAAAAATAATATCATTTTGGAAGGGATACCCCAAAGGTCATCTAGTCCAACCCCATTTTAATTAATTCTGTGTTGTGGATGTATCAAACTTTGGCCCTCCAGGTGTTTTGGACTCCAACTCCCTCAATTCCTAACAGCCTACCGGCTGTTAGGAATTGTGGGAGTTGAAGTCCAAAACACCTGGAGGGCTACAGTTGGCCCATACCTGGGTCAGACCCAAAATTGGACACTGGCTTTACTTGAATACCTCACCTCGTCATCTTTGGGAGGAGGATCTGGAATGGGAATGTCCAGCGGAGCATGGAGAGAGGTCAGATCTTTGACATTCAGCGCATCTTCCTGGAAAAAAGAGACAAAAATAAACATATTACAAGGAAAAAAGCAGAGATCATAAACTCAAGGTGCAAGTACACTGGTGAGTTAATGCAGTTTCTACCACTTTAACTGCTATGGATCCTGGGAGTTGTAGTTTGGTGAGGCACCAGCGCTCTTTGGCAGAGAAGGCTGAAGGCTTTGTGAAAACTACAACTCCCACAACACCATAGCATTAAGTCATGGGAGTTAAAGAGTCTCAAGCTTAATTCATTCTATTATTTAGATGTACCAAGAATATTTTAAAAGGTGGGATTTGGGGGTCCGTCGCTTACCTTCAAGAACTGGTCCAACTGTGATATTTTCGCAGGTAAAAAACAGCAAAGGAATTCTTCACCCTGAGTAGGAAATGCAAGAATAAAATTATCTTGAGAATATGAAAGATTGGAAAATTTGAAAACAAGGGGTGCATTTGCGCTGTCAAATTAATGCAATGGGTTTTGGACTTCCAGAAGCATTCTCTCCTGACGTTTCACCCACATCTATGGCAGGCATCCTCAGAGGTTGGGAGGTCTGTTGGAAACTAAACAAGTGAGGTTTGTATATCTGTGGAATACTGTCCAGGGTGGGAGAAAGAACTCTTGTCTGTTGGAGACAAGTGAATGTTGCAATTGACCACCTTGATTACCACTGAATAGCCTTGCAGCCTCAAAGCCTGGCTGCTTCCTGCCTGGGGAGGGGGAAATGCGAGAATCAAGTTATCTTGAGAATATGAAAGATTGGGAAATTTGAAAACAAGGGGTGCATCTGCACTGTCGAATTAATGCAGTGGGTTTTGGACTTCCAGAAGCATTCTCTCCTGACGTTTCACCCACATCGATGGCAGGCATCCTCAGAGGTTGGGAGGTGTGTTGGAAACTAGGCAAGTGAGGTTTGTCTATCTGTGGAATAATGTCCAGGGTGGGAGAAAGAACTCTAGTCTGTTGGAGACAAGTGAATGTTGCAATTGACCACCTTGATTACCACTGAATAGCCTTGCAGCCTCAAAGCCTGGCTGCTTCCTGCCTCGGAGAAATCCTTTGTTGGGAGGTGTTAGCAATGTTGCAATTGACAACCTTGATTACCACAGAATAGCCTTGAGCCTCAAAGCCTGGCTGCTTCCTGCCTGGGGGAGATCCTTTGTTGGGAGGTGTTAGCTGGCCCTGATTGTTTCCTGTCTGGAATTCCCCTGTTTTCTGAGTTTTGAATGGCTGCCCCACTTGCCTACTTTCCAACAGACCTCACAACCTCTGAGGACGCCTGTCATAGATGTGGGCAAAATGTCAGGAGAGAATGCTTCTGGAACATGGCCATACAGTCCGAAAAACTCACAGCGACTCAGTGATTTGGGCCATTAAAACCTTCGACAACTAATTAATGCAGTTTGACACCAAATTAACTGGGCCGTAGCTCAATGCTATGGAAATCCTGGGAGTTGTAGTTTGCTGAGGACCCAGCACTCTTTGGTGGAGAAGACTGTGCAAAACTACGAACTCCTACAACACCGTAGCATTGAGTCATGGCAGTTAAAGTAATGTCAAACTACACCTCGTTCATGCCCAGCGTTATTTTTTAAATTTTAAATTATTACATCTGGCCTGGCCAAAGGTTTTTAAATCCTTGTGTGTTACAGTTATATGTGATTTATATTAACATGTATTGCATTGGATTGTTTTGTTTCCTGCTTTTCTGTTTTATTGATGTGTTGTTGAGCTTGGCCTCATGTAAGCCGCTCCGAGTCCCTTGGGGAGATGGTGGCGGGGTATAAATAAAGTATTATTATTATTATTATTATTTATTAAGCACACTCTGTGTGTAGATGCACTCAAGAAAAGTGAAGAGAGAGTGTGCTACAGTTGAAGACAGTTCCATGTTGTCTCCTGTGCTTTACTTAATATAATATAATATAATATAATAGGCGTTCCATGCATTCATGCCGGCCACATGACCTTGGAGGTGTCTAAGGACAATGCCGGCTCTTCGGCTTCGAAATGGAGATGAGCACCACATCCCAGAGTCTGGACTTCATGTCAGGGGAAACTTACCTTTACTATAATATAATATCCATATAACATTTACAATATTATAATACATAATAATAATAATAATACTAATAATAATAGTACAATATTATAATTATATATATAAATATATAATTATATATATATAATTATATATTTTATATATTTTATTTATATAAAACATATTTATATTTATATAAAATATATTTTATATATTTTATAATTACATGTTATATATATATACATATATATATATATATATATATATATCTCTTGTAAGCTGCTCTGAGTCCCCTTCGGGTGAGAAGGGCAGCATATAAATGTTGTAAATAAATAAATAGAAGCTTTAAAAAGGTTAAAGTTTCCCCTGATGTTAAATCTAGTCTGGGGGAGTTGCTGCTCCTCTCCATTTCTAAGCCGGAGAGCCGGTGTCATCCACAGACACCTCCAAAGTCATGCGGCCTGCATGACAGCATGGAGTGCCATTGCCTTCCCACCAGAGTGGTACCTACTCACATTTGCATGTTTTCAAACTGCTAGGTTGGCAGAAGCTGGGGCTAACAGCGAGAGCTCACCCCGAATTCGGAATTGTACCTATTGATCTACTCACATTTGCATGTTTTCAAACTGCTAGCTTGGCAGAAGCTGGGGCTAACAGCAAGACCTCAAAACGGATTTGGAGCGGTACCTATTGATCTACTCATATTTGCATGTTTTCAAACTGCTAGGTTGGCAGAAGCTGGGACTAACAGCGAGACCTCAAAACGGATTCGGAGCGGTACCTATTGATCTACTCACATTTGCATGTTTTCAAACTGCTAGCTTGGCAGAAGCTGGGACTAACAGCAAGACCTCAAAACGGATTCGGAGCGGTACCTATTGATCTACTCATATTTGCATGTTTTCAAACTGCTAGGTTGGCAGAAGCTGGGACTAACAGTGAGAGCTCACCGCGGATTCGGAGCGGTACCTATTGATCTACTCACATTTGCATGTTTTCAAACTGCTAGGCTGGCAGAAGCTGGGGCTAACAGTGGGAGCTCACCCTGGATTCGAACCGCCGACTTTTCGGTCAGCAGCTCAGCGGTTTAACCCGCTGCGCCACCAGAAGTAATAGTCGCTTACCTCTTTTAAAAGGGATTTCCGGAAAAGGTCCATCTGGAAAGAGATCAAAACAAAAAAATATGAATTCAGAACTGCATTGAGCGGGATTATATATGGATCTATAAGCATGGGCAAACTTGGGCCCTCTGGGTGTTTTGGACTCCAACTCCCATAATTCCTAACAGCCTACCGGCTGTTAGGAATTGTGGGAGTTGGAGTCCAAAACACCCAGAGGGCCCAAGTTTGCCCATGCTTATAGATCCATATAATCCAATTCATTCTGTATTCTGAAACTAAATGATGGAGATGATGGGACTTGTAGTCCACCTGAATGCTAACTTCCCTTATCTTTGTTTACCATGGGAATCCCCCTCCCTTCCAAAGTAAAAGTAAAAGTCATTGACCTTCTTTCTCTGCTTTCTCTCCCCAAATCCCTTTCTGGGCTTTGCTATTGCCCCCCATGGGTTCCCCTTGGATGCCCACCTTTCCTTGGGTCTCCTTGCTGATCTGGAGGGAGGTGCACGACCTGGGCATGATGGCTTGGTTTGGAGGCTTCCAGGGAGAGGTTCAAGGCAAAGACCAAGTAGGCTCCTTCTGCAAACGCTGAGCCACCTTTTGACGCGTCTTTCGCTTTCGCATTCACACGTTTCCGCCCACCACGCGAGGCCTGCCCCGCCCTCCAAGCAGGGATGCCTCTGACCATGCGCAGAGTGCCTTTTGGAGTGTAGGCAGAGCTCCTTTCCCAGTCTTACCCATTTAAGTTTACATTGCAATGCCTCTGAGCATGCACAGAGTGCCTTTTGGGGTACATGCCAATCTCCTTTTCCATTCTTCCCCATTTAAGTTTGCATTGCAATGGCTCTGAGCATGCACAGAGTGCCTTTTGGAGTACATGCCAATCTCCTTTTCCATTCTTCCCCATTTAAGTTTGCATTGCAATGCCTCTGAGCATGCACAGAGTTCCCTTTCCATTCTTCCCCATTTAAGTTTGCATTGCAATGCCTCTGAGCATGCACAGAGTGCCTTTTGGAGTGCAGGCAGAACTCCTGTGCCATTCTTCTCCATTTAAGTTTGCATTGCAATGCCTCTGAGCATGCACAGAGTGCCTTTTGGGGTACAGGCAGAGCTCCTTTTCCATTATTTCCAATCTAAGTTTGCATTGCAATGCCTCTGACCATACACAGAGTGCCTTTTGGAGTACATGTCAATCTTCTTTTCCATTCTTCCCCATTTAAGTTTGCATTGCAGTGCCTCTGAGCATGCACAGAGAGCCTTTTGGGGTACAGGCAGAGCCTCTGAGCATGTACAGAGCATGTACAGAGTACAAATGGGTTTCCTTTTCCATACTTTGGACTATAGGCAGATCTCCTTTTCCAGTCTTCTGCATTTAAGTTTACACTGTAATGTCTTTGAGCATGCACAGAGTGCCTTTTGGAGTACAGGCAAAGCTCCCTTTCCATTCTTCCTCATTCAAGTTTGCATTGCAATGCCTCTGAGCATGCATAGAGTGCCTTTGGGAGTCCAGGCAGAGCTCCTTTTCCAGTCTTCTCCATTGTAATGCCTCTGACCATGTGCAGAGTGCTTTTAGGACTATAGCCAGAGCTCCTTTTCCATTCCCCGGTTAGGTTTGCATTGTAATGCCTCTGACCATGCACAGAGTTCCTTTTGGACTAAAGGCAGATTTCCCTTTCTAGTCTTCTCCATTTAAGTTTGCATTGCCATGCCTCTGAGCATGCACAGAGTGCCTTTTGGACTACAGGCAGGTCTCCTTTTCCATTCTTCCCCGTTTAGGTTTGCATTGTAGTGCCTCTGACCATGTGCAGAGTGTCTTTTACAATACAGGCAGAGTAGGTTTGCATTGTAATGTCACTGACCATACACAGAGTGCATTTTGGAGGAGAGGCAGATCTCCTTTTCCATTGTTTCCCATTTATGTTTGCATTGTAATGCCTCTGACCATGTGCAGAGTGCTTTTAGGAATATAGGCAGATCTCCTTTTCCAGTCTTTCCTATTTAAGTTTGCATTGCAATGCCTCTGACCTAGTGCAGGGTGCTTTATGAACTTAGCAGTTCTTATATCCACCTCCTCCTCCCAAAAAAAGGAACTATGGTTTGCATTATAATGCCTCCGACCATGTGCAGAGTGCTTTTAGGAATATAGGCAGATCTCCTTTCCCAGTCTTCCCCATCTAAGTTTGCATTGTAGTGCTTCTGACCATGTGCAGAGTGTATTTTAGGATACAGGCAGAGTAGATTTGCATTGTAATGTCACTGACCATACACAGAGTGCATTTTGGAGGAGAGGCAGATCTCCTTTTCCATTGTTTCCCATTTAGGTTTGCATTGTAATGCCTCTGACCATGTGCAGAGTGCTTTTAGGAATATAGGCAGATCTCCTTTTCCAGTCTTTCCCATTTGAGTTTGAGCATGCATAGAGTGCCTTTGGGAGTCCAGGCAGTGCTCCTTTTCGTCTTCCCCATTGTAATGCCTCTGACCATGTGCAGAGTGCTTTTAGGAATATAGGCAGATCTCCTTTTCCATTCCCCGGTTAGGTTTGCATTGTAATGCCTCTGACCATGTGCAGAGTGCTTTTAGGAATATAGTCAGATCTCCTTTTCCAGTCTTTCCCATTTGAGTTTGAGCATGCATAAAGTGCCTTTGGAGTCCAGGCAGATACCTTTTTCCATTCTTTCCCATTTAAGTTTGCATTGCAATGCCTCTGACAAAGTGCAGAGTGCTTTTAGGAATATGTTGTTGTTGTTCATTCGTTCAGTCGTCTCCGACTCTTCGTGACCTCATGGACCAGCCCACGCCAGAGCTCCCTGTCGGCCGTTACCACCCCCAGCTCCCTCAAGGTCAGTCCAGTCACTTCAAGGATGCCATCCATCCATCTTGCCCTTGGTCGGCCCCTCTTCCTTTTGCCTTCCACTTTCCCCAGCATAATTGTCTTCTCTAGGCTTTCCTGTCTCCTCATTATGTGGCCAAAGGACTTCATCTTGGCCTCTCGTCTCCTTCCCTCCATTGAGCAGTCGGGCTTTCTTTCCTGGAGGATGGACTGGTTGGATCTTCTCGCAGTCCAAGGCACTCTCAGCACTTTCCTCCAACACCACAGCTCAAAAGCATCGATCTTCCTTCGCTCAGCCTTCCCTAAGGTCCAGCTCTCACATCCGTAGGTTACTACAGGGAATACCATGGCTTTGACTAGGCGGATCTTTGTTGCCAGTCTGATGTCTCTACTCTTTTACTATTTTATCGAGACTGGACATTGCTCTCCTCCCAAGAAGTAAGCGTCTTCTGATTTCCTGGCTACAGTCTGCATCTGCAGTAATCTTTGCCCTAATATTTCTAAGTCTGTCACGGCCTCCACGGTTTCTCCTTCTATTTTCCAGTTGTCAATCATTCTTGTTGCCATAATCTTGGTTTTTTTGACGTTTAGCTGCAACCCGGCTTTTGCGCTTTCTTCTTTCACCTTGATTAGAAGGCTCCTCAGCTCCTCCTCGCTTTCGGCCATCAGAGTGGTGTCATCTGCATATCTGAGGTTGTTAATGTTTCTTCCAGCAATTTTCACCCCAGCCTTGCATTCCTCCAGCCCCGCACATCGCATGATGTCTTCTGCATACAAGTTAAAAAGGTTGGGTGAGAGTATGCAGCCTTGCCGTACGCCTTTCCCAATCTTGAACCAGTCTGTTGTTCCGTGGTCAGTTCTGACTGTTGCTACTTGGTCCTTGTACAGATTCCTCAGGAGAGAGACAAGGGGACTTGGGATGCCCATCCCACTAAGAACTTGCCACAATTTATTATGATCCACACAGTCAAAGGCTTTAGAATAGTCAATGAAGCAGAATAGATGTTTTTCTGAAACTCCCTGCCTTTCTCCATTGTCCAGCGGATATTGGCAATCTGGTCTCTCGTTCCTCTGCCTTTTCTAAACCCAGCTTGAACATCTGGCAACTCTCTCCATGTATTGCTGGAGTCTTCCTTGCAGGATCTTGAGCATTACCTTACTGGCATGAGAAATAAGGGCCACTGTACGGAAGTTTGAGCAGTCTTTCGCATTTCCCGTTTTTGGTATGGGGATATAAGTTGATTTTTTCCAGTCTGATGGCCATTCTTGTGTTTTCCATATTTGCTGGCAAATGGCATGCATCACCTTGACAGCATCATCTTTTAAGATTTTAAACAGTTCAGCTGGGATCCCGTCGTCTCCTGCTGCCTTGTTGTTAGCAATGCTTCTTAAGGCCCATCCAACCTCACTCCTCAGGATGTCTGGTTCTAATTCATTCACCACACCGTCAAAACTATCCTCAATATTATTATCTTTCCTATACAGATCTTCTGTATAGTCTTGCCATATTCTCTTGATCTCTTCGGCTTATGTTAGGTCCCTGCCATCTTTGTCTTTTATCATATCCATTTCTGTCTCAAATTTACCTCCGATGTTTCTAATTTTCTGGAAGAGGTCTCTTGTCCTTCCTATTCTGTTGTCTTCTTCCACTTCCATGCATCGCTTATTTAAAAATAGTTCCTTATCTCTTCTGGCTAACCTCTGGAATTGCGCATTTAACTGGGCATATCTCCCCTTATCACTGTTTCCTTTTGCTTTCCTCCTTTCTTGGGCTACTTCCAGTGTCTCAGCAGACAACCATTTTGCCTTCTTGGTTTTCTTTTTCTTTGGGACGTACTTTGTTGCCGCCTCCTGAACAATGTCGCGGACTTCTGTCCATAGTTCTTCTGGGACTCTGTTTACTAAATCTAGTCCTTCAAATCTTCTTCACTTCCACTGTATATTCGCTAGGAATGTTAGTGAGATCATATCTAACTGGTCTGTGTATTTTCCCTGATCTCTTTAGTTTTATTCTAAATTGAGCAATAAGAAGTTCGTGATCTGAGCTACAGTCAGCCCCAGGTCTTGTTTTCACCGACTGGATGGATGTCCGCCACCTTTGGCTGCAAAGGATGTAGTCAATCTGATTTCGGTGTTGACCGTCTGGTGAGGTCCATGTATAAAGCCGTCTTTTAGGTTGTTGGAAGAGAGTATTTGTTATACACAGCGAGTTTTCCTGGCAAAATTCTATCAGCCTGCGTCCCGCTTCATTTTGTTCTCCCAGACCATGCTTGCCTGTGATCCCAGTTGTCATTTGACTTCCCACCTTGGCATTCCAGTCTCCTGTAATGAAAATAATGTCTCTTTTTGGTGTATTATCCAGTAGGTCCTGCAGATCCTCATAGAACTGATCTACTTCTGCTTCTTCAGCAGCTGTGGTTGGGGCGTATATTTGGATCACTGTAATGTTGAAAGGCTTTCCCTGCACTCGAATTGAGATCATTCTGTCATTTTTTGGGTTGTATCCAAGCACCGCTTTAGCGAATTTCTTATTAATTATGAAGGCTACTCCATTTCTTCAATGTATATTTAGGAATATAGGCAGATCTTTTCCAGTCTTCCCCAACTAAGTTTGCATTGCAATGCCTCTGACCAAGTGCAGAGTGCTTTATACACCAAATTCTTATATCCCCCCCCCCCCCCCCCCCCCCCCCCCCCAAAATAAAGGAACAATGAAGATGATCTCAACAAAAAGCAAGACACCTTCCCAATACTGGAATCCCCAAGCATTCTGAGCATGCGCAGAGACATCCTGGTCGAAAGGATTTCCCCTGCCCGGCTTGGCTCAGTAGTGGAGCTGCAGTTCTTCCTCCCGCCAGACGGTGCCGCTGTCGGCTTCCTTCTGCCAGCTTAGCCTTGCCCTTCCCTTTCGTTTTCCGTTCCTTTTCGCTCTTCCGCTTCAGTCCTCAGCTGTTGGGCTCTTTGGAGGAGGAAGGGGCTCCACTTCCGGCTCAGATTGGTAAGCAGGACCCCCTGTTGGGGGGGTTTCTCCTTCCCATTCCTATAGAAAAGTTAAATGTATATTTAAAGGAATAGATAAGAATAATTTTAAGGCAGGCCTGGGCCAACTTGGGCCCTCCAGGTGTTTTGGACTACAACTCCCACAATTCCTAACAGCCTCAGGCCCCTTCCTATGGAAGGGGCCTGAGGCTGTTAGGAATTGTGGGAGTTGTAGTCCAAAACACCTGGAGGGCCCAAGTTGGCCCAGGCCTGCTTTGAACTGTATATTAAAGGGACTCAATAATACATAAAAGTTAAAAAATATATTTAATAGCATATATAATCTGTAAAAGCCAAAGTTCAAAGTCTAATATAGGTATGTAAAGATCTATACAATACATAAAGTTATATATTTTTAAAAACTATATAATACATAAAAGTTAAATGTCTATTTAAAGGAATATATCATGTTAAATGTCATCTATATCAATAAAAATGTAATGTTTGTTTGTGGGATTAACAGAACTCAAAACCCACTGGACGAATTGATACCAAATTTGGACACAATACACCTAACAACCCAATGTATGTCTGTGCTGTCGCACGCTGGGCCTGTACATCAGACTGTAGACAGGACATAAATTCTGTGTGGGACATCGGGGCTGCCTCAGATTAAAGGCCTTTGGATTTCCTTAAAACAGAGTCTCTAGATTGCTTAAAGGTTCAACAAAGTTCTTTATTAATGAAAACAAACAGGTACTTTAAGGTTTTCTTAACAGTCTATTGGCTCTTTCAATCTTGTCCACAGGGAACAGGCACTATCTTCATGACTGGTATTTTAACTAATGGGGAAATCCTTAACTTCTAATCTGGGCAGTCTTTCTTTGCCTCTGTTGGCGTGGAGCCCCTGCACCCGGTACCAACTGCTTCTGGCTTCCGCGAGAGACCCTTACCAAGCAGAGCTTTGTAGACTTCCAGAGGAAAAAGAAGTCCAGGTTTCGGTGATGGCTGGCTGAAGTCCCTCAGCAAAGGAGCTGTAAGGCTGTATAAGCCTCGGCCAAGCTATAGGGCTGTATAACCCCAGCCAAGCGGTAGGCTGTATATCTCCCCGGCTAAGCCGTAGAATATGAAGCTTTCTACAGGAGCTCTTGGTATAATGTCCTGCATGAAAAGCTTCTCTGTGTGGACTGAACCCAAACTGACTCCTATTCCCTCCAAAACCCAAAAAGGGGACGGGACCAGGGAACCTAACGATAATTGACAGGTGGCTTGCCCTATGATTGCAGCCAAAAAAAGCCACCTATCTGCAGAGTCCCTGAAACTTAGGACTATAACAAACATTAAATGCAAAGCAAACAAAATTGGAGCTCCTGGTACAGTTGTACCTGCACAATGTCCTTCACTCAAAAAAAATGATTTTGTCATTTGGGAGTTGTAGTTGCTGGGATTTATAGTTCACCTACAATCAAAGAGCATTCTGAACCCCACCAACGACAGAATTGGGGCAAATTTCCCACACAGAACCCCCAAGACCAACAGAATAATAATAATATAATAATAATAAAACTTTATTTATACCCCACTACCATCTCCCAAGGGACTCGGTGCGGCTTACATGAGGCCGAGCCCACAATACATCAATACATGCAATAACAACCACAATACAAAGCAAAATACAAATACTAATACAAAGGAATTAAATATAAAACTCATACATAAGTAGCATAAACATTGAACAATAGCACAAAACACATTTAAAATCTATGGCTGGGCCAAATGTAATTGAAGTTAAAAAAAAAAATAATGCTGGGCATGAACAAGATAGAGGAGGTAGGGCGTTGGTGGAAATGTACAAGCAATCCTAAATCAGTATAAAGTGCTTTTAGAGGACATAATGCTAAGGGTTCATTATTCTGGGAAGGCACACTGGAACAACCACGTTTTCAAACTCCTCCTAAAGACTGCCAGAGTTGGGGCATGCCTGATGTCCTTAGGAAGTGAGTTCCAGAGTCGAGGGGCCACCACCGAGAAGGCCCTCTCTCTCATCCCCACCAATCGCGCTTGCGATGCAGGTGGGAGTGCAAGTAGGGCCTCTCCAGATGATCGAAGAGATCATGTGAGTTCATACACAGAAATGCGGTCACGCAGGTAGGCAGGTCCCAAACCGTTCAGAGCTTTGTAGGTAAGAACCTGCACCTTGAATTGGGTCCGGAAAATAAATGGCAGCCAGTGGAGCTCCCTAAACAGGAGGGTTGTCTGCTCCCTGTAAGGAGCGCCAGTTAACAACCTGGCTCCCACCCGTTGGACCAACTGAAATTTCTGAGCCGTTTTCAAGGGCAGCCCCACGTAGAGCGCATTACAGTAGTCCAATCTGGAGGTGACTAAGGCATGGACCACCCTGGTCAGATCCGCCTTCACAAGGTATGGTCGCAGTTGGCGCACGAGTCTTAATTGTGCAAAGACCCTCCCGGCCACCGGCGACACCTGAGCCTCAAGCGTGAGCGATGAATCCAGGAGGACACCCAAACTGTGGCCGGGTGACTTCAGGGGGAGTGCAACCCCGTCCAACACAGGTTGCCATCCTATACCCCGGTCTGGTTTACAATCGACCAGGAGGACCTCTGTCTTGTCAGGATTGATCTTCAGCTTGTTCCTCCTCATCCAGACAGCCACAGCGGCCAGACACTCGTCCAGAAAATACTTAAGGTCATCCAGTCCAACTCTCTTCACCATGGCAAGAAAATGTAATCAAAGCCCTTCTGACAAAGATTCATCCAGTCATAAATATAGATAGATATGATTCTGTATAAAGACCAAGTAACAACAGTAAGAAGTGACCATGGAACAACAGACTGGTTCAAGATTGGGAAAGGAGTACGGCAGTGTTGTATCCTCTTCCCCAACCTATTCAACTTGTATGCAGAACACATCATGTGATATGCGGGCTTGACGAATGCAAGGCTGGGGTGAAAATTGCTGGAAGAAACCTTAACAACCTTAGATATGCAGATGACACCACTTTGATGGCCGAAAGCGAGGAGGAGCTGAGGAGCCTTCTAATGAAGGCGAAAGAAGAAAGCGCAAAAGCTGGGTTGCAGTTAAACCTCAAAAAAAACCCAAGATTATGGCTACAAGAATGATTGACAACTGGGAAATAGAGGGAGAAAACGTGGAGGCCGTGACAGACTTTGTATGTCTAGGTGCAAAGATGACTGCAGATGCAGACTGCGGCCAGGAAATCAGGAGACGCTTACTTCTTGGGAGGAGAGCAATGTCCAGTCTCGATAAAATAGTGAAGAGTAGAGACATCAGACTGGCAACAAAGATCCGCATAGTCAAAGCCATGGTATTCCCCGTAGTCACCTACGGATGTGAGAGCTGGACCATAAGGAAGGCTGAACAAAGGCAGATAGATGCTTTTGAACTGTGGTGTTGAAGGAAAGTGCTGAGAGTGCCTTGGACTGCGAGAAGATCCAACCAGTCCAGACTTCAAGAAATAAAGCCTGACTGCTCATTGGAGGGAAGAATAGTAGAGGCCAAGATGAAGTACTTTGGGCGCATCATGAGAAGAAAGGAAAGCTTAGAGAAGTCAATTATGCTGGGGAAAATGGAAGGAAAAAGGAAGAGGGGCCAACCAAGGGCAAGATAACAAACTATAACAAACTATAATGAGATAAAATAGGAGCAGGATAGATATTTTATAAGAGACATTCCCACTTCTCTTTGCTTTTCAATGCATTTTTTACTACGTTCTTCCACCTTCCCTCCACCTATTTTGTTGGCAGCCATGGAGGAAGTGGAGCGGAAGTTCACTGCCCTCCGGGATGAATTGGTGGCCGCTCTGATAAAGAGTCCTGCGGAGCAGAATCCGGAGTCTGTCCAGCGCTTGGTGGACGTGGCATTGCCTGCGACTAGAAAGTACCAGGAGATAGACCCCAGGGGACTTATACAAGCCAATGCTCAGGGACAGGTAAGGAAGGGGACATTCTGGAAACCAGGTATGAGAATAGAGGTTGAAATGAGTGGACAGCTTGGAAGCCATGGAGACAAGAGTACTGTGGTGATGTCCCTACTTTCTGGAATAGTTTAGGGACTTTTTAGTATGCTAATAAGCAAAAGCTTTGCCTGTGCGATGTTTGCCTGTAAACCAGCCGCTATCCAGTCAAGGAGTATGTTGTGAGTTGCAAAAAAGCAGGATATAAATAAATATTAGAATAAATATATGGAGGAGGAGGAAAAAGAGGGAGGAGGAGGAGGAAGAGAAAGGAAAGAAAAAAGGAGGAAGAAGAAGAGAAGAACAACACGAAGTAACCACAACAAAAACAACATAGGTGGGGCAGGGAAGCTATATTTGTAAGGTTCAAGGTAGAATGACTAAGTATTAAGAAATGTTGTCATGAGGGTACTGAGACCTAGACTGGTGAGATGGGTTATAATTCACTTTGCATTCATTGTAGGGGGTTATATAAGACATGATTGAGTAGTGTAGAATCCTGAGAATGTGAACGTCCATTTTGAGACACCGAGAAGTAAGCTTCTAGTCCTTAGGAACTAGTTGATAATATTTCTTCCATGTGAAGTCTCAGAGACCAATTGTCTGAGAGTGTTGTAGAGTTGATTTCCATAAAGGTTGTGTTTGTGTAAGTGTGCAAAATCTGATAAGGTATTAAGTCCGATTCCCCAACTCCTTCCCAGCCCGGAAAGGATTTTCACAAAATCTCCACTGCCTTGAACATCTTGGAGAAATATGGCCGCAACCTCTTGAACCCCCACAAGCCCCGATTCTGGCGGACCGTTAAGTTCAACAATCCCGTCTTCCGTGACACGGTGGATACCATCCAGGTGAGAAAGATATTCGCATCTCACTGACTCAAACCACATAATTACACTTTTGTCTTTTCCCTCATCCTTTCTGTTTCACTTTTGTTTTCTCTTCCTTTTTGTTATGTAACCCTAAAACACCATCTAAGGACATCCTAAAGGAAAAGGCTTCCCCTTGACATTAAATCTCATTGTGTCCAACTCTGGGAGGTGGTGCTAATCTCCATTTCTAAGCCAAAGAGCAGGCGTTGTCCAGAGACACCTCCAAGGTCATGTGGTCAGCATAACTACATGGACTGCCGTTACCTACCCGCCAGAACGGTACCTATTCATAGAATCATAGAGTTGGAAGAGACCTCATGGGCCATCCAGTCCAACCCCTGCCAAGAAGCAGGAATATTGCATTCTGACCCCTCCTCCCAGCACCAGCTGCCGCTCTGGACCAGAGTGAAGAGAGAGGGGGGCAGAAGACACTTCCACCTTGTCTCCTGTGCTATGTTAATAATATAATGTAATGTAATATAATATATTGTATAAAGGTAAAGATTTTCCCCTGACATTAAGTCCAGTCATGTCCTACTCTGGGGTGTGGTGCTCATCTCCATTTCTAAGCCGAACAGCCAGCATTGTCTGTAGACACCTCCAAGGTCATGTGGCCGGCATGACTGCATGGAGCGGCCTTACCTTCCCGCCCAAGCAATGCCTATTGATCTACTCACATTTGCATGTTTTCGAACTGCTAGGTTGGCAGAAGCTGGGGATGACAGCGGAAGCTCACGCCACTCCCCGGATTCAAACCTGCGACCTTTCAGTCTACAAGCTTAGCAGCTCAGCGCTTTAACCCACTGTGTCACTGGGGGCTCCAATATATTGTATATACATATAGTGTTTATAATATTATAATGTAATGAAATATAATAATATGATATTATAATTATTTATATTACTAATAATATTAGAATATAATGGTATAATAGAATATATTGATATTAAATACTGATATTGCACTATGCTAATAATATAATATATTGTATGTATATATATCTTGTAAGCCTCTCTGAGTCCCCTTCGAGGTGAGAAGGGTGGCATATAAATTTTGTAAATAAATAAATAATAAATTTATATCCCGTCCTATCTCAACCTCCGCAGAGGGACTCAGGGCAGCTGACAACAAAAGCATAAATATATATCTTAGGTAAAAACAGTATAAAATATTATAAAAACATCACAAAAACAGTAAAACATTAGAACAATCGCCAGAATTAAATCGTCGTCCTACACACAGTCCATTCAAGTCCATCACAGTCCATTAAACCATAGCTCTACCATCACTTGGTCTAGTCCGCAAAGGCCTGATCCCACAGCCAGAATTTCACCTTTTTCCGGAAGATCAGGAGGGAAGGAGCGGATCTGATTTCACTTGGGAGGGAATTCCATAGCTGAGGGGCCACCACAGAGAAGGCCCTGTCTCTTGTCCCCACCAACCGTGATTGCGATTACAGGGGACAGTGAGCGGGGTCTCCCCGGATGAACTTAAGGTCCTAGGTGGTTCGTAGCGGGAGATATGTTCGGACAGGTAAACTGGATCTGGAGTGGAGACAAGCAGTGTTGCATTTGCTTATTGTCTTCTGTGTTTCTGTCAGGGTGGCCGGGATGTCCTTCGCCTCTATGGCTACTCCGAAGAACAGACAGATGGGCTGTGCTTCCCTGAGCATCTACAGGAACCAGACATCCCCCATGTTGCCTCCATCACAGTGGATGTGATGTTGTTGCGGGCTGAACTGAATCTCCTCCTTTCGGTACGACAGGGCTGAGATCCCCAAAAGTATCTGCTCAAAGGGGGGAAGAATAAGAAGGGGAAGAGGTGGGGAAGTATGGAAGCCCTGGTGTGAGTTGAAGAAGATTTATGGTTCTTTCTCCCTTTCAGGACAACCACCCTAATCCTCTGGTGTTGCATGAGTTAATGCAGGGAGGTGACAAATTAAGGGTAAGTCTGGACTGCAAAGCAGAGTCTAACTGCCTAAAGTACTTTCTCAGAGCTCAGCTTTCTGGGCTTCGAAACAAAACTCAGCTGTGTGTATCTGGACCGCAAGCTAGGATCCAGTTCCACGCACTTTCTAGTCCACAAAGTACAGCTGATCCATGCAACACTTCCTTGGGTGTTTAGATTTTCAATCTGCGACCCTCTTAAAAAATACTTTTCAAGGGCAGTTATAGGCAGAGCATGTTAATAGTATGTATTTATTTTTACCATTTCAATTTTAAATTGACTAATGGTCAAAATAAGGTTACCGTATATACTCGAGTATAAGCCGGCCCGAATATAAGCCAAGGGACCTAATTTTACCACAAAAAACTGGGAAAATGGATTGACTCGAATATAAGCCGAGGGTGGGAAATGCAGCACCTACTGGTAAATTTCAAAATAAAAATAGATACCAATAAAATGATATTAATTTAGGCATCAGTAGGTTAAATGTTTTTGAATATTTACATAAAACTGTAATTCAAGATAACACTGTCTAACTCTGATTAAACCATTATTCTGACCTTCTTCAATGTAAATATGCTTACATGTCCTCCAATAATAATAAATAGAGTAAAATAATGGAATGTAATAATAACAGTAATAAGAGTAAAACAATAAATGTAATAATAATAATACAGTAAAATAATAAATGTAACAATAACAATAATAAATAGAGTAAAATAATAAATGTAATAATAATAATAATATCAACAACAAAGTAAAATAATAAATAACATTGACTCGAGTATAAACTGGGGGAGACTTTTTCAGCCTAAAAAAAGGACTTAAAAACTAGGCTTATACTCGAGTATATACAGTATATGGGTGGTGAAATCCTGGCTACAGCAAACATAATCATAGTAAAACAAGATAAAAAAAGTAAAATGTTAAGCCACAAATTAATCTGAGTTCGCTGTGGGTTTTTCAGCTGTCTGGCCATGTTCCAGAAGCATTCTCTCCTGATGTTCCACCCACATCTATGGCAGGCATCCTCAGAGGTTGTGAGGTCTGTTGTCTGTTGGAGGCAAGTGTGAATGTTGCAATTGGCCATCTTGATTAGCATTGAATGTCCTTGCAGCCATTCAGCACTCTGAAAATGGGGGAATTCCAGACAGGAAACAATCAGGGCCAGCTAACACCTCCCAACAAACAGTTCCCCAGGCAGGAAGCAGCCAGGCTTTGAAGCTTCAAGGCTATTTAATGCTAATCAAGATGACCATTTGGAACATTCACACTTGCCTCCAACAGACAAGTTCTTTCTCCCACCCTGGTTATTATTCCACAGGTATATAAACTCCACTTGCCTAGTTTCTAACAGACCTCACAACCTCTGAGGATACCTGCCACAGATGTGGGTGAAACGTCAGGAGGCCAGACAGCCCGGAAAACTCACACCAACCCAGTGACTCCTTCGGCGACACACAAATTAAATGTTTCAGCATATGAAATCAACTTAAAAGCAGAAGGATACCATTGGAAAGGTGTAAAAGTGTCTTGTGCCTTTCATGTGGTCTCCTTGAAGGTGTGGAGGCATGAATAAAACTCTTCCCCTCATATAGAGTGTCTCTTTTCCTTTCCAGGCCAGCCTCATGACAGACGCTTTCCCTGTGTCTGTGCAAGAACAAACGCCCCAGCATCCAGTTCCAGCATTATCACACACAGGTAATGTGACCTCCAGAGGCTGGAGGCTAAAAAGGCCCATAGCTTTTTTCTAAGGAAAAAAAACCTATTGAACATTTTTCACTTGACAGAATTTATTGTCTGGCATATAGTATGGGATCCTGGGAATTTACACTCTTTCCAGTTTGTGATTCAGGAATAGAGTTTGCAATTCAAGTGGGTATTGACGCATAGCATCATCATCATCTTCATCACTTGCCTCTCCGAACAGCTCAAGGCAGTCAAAAACATAAAATATATACTATTTATTTATTTATTTATCATGTCAGAAGCGAATTGAGGATACAGTTCTGATGTATTTAAAAACAAAACAACGTTGAAACCTTGGCATTACGCTAGATTTTCTTTGACTATAAACTGACCACTTGGAGTGCCTCTGGTGTCGCTGTGAGAAGGTCCTCCATTGTACATGTGAAAAGGCTCAATCTGCATTGTAGTAAGTGGTCTGTGGTTTGCTTTCCTCCACACTCACATGTCGTGGACGCCAATTTGAAGCCCCATTTCTTAAGTTTGGCTCTGCATCTCATGGTGCCAGAGTGCACTCTGTTCAGCGCCTTCCAAGTTGTACATTCTTCTGTGTGCTCAGGAGGGAGTTTCCCATCTGATATCAGCCACTGATTGAGGTTCTGGGTTTGAGCCTGCCACTTTTGGACTCTTGCTTGCTGAGGCGTTCCTGCGAGTGCGTCTGTAGATCTTAGAAAGCTGATTCTTGATTTAAGTTGTTGGCATGCTGGCTGATATCTGAACAGAGGATGGACCAGAGATGTCAATTCCTTGGCCCTTTCATTACAGGCTGCTACTTCCAGATGGATGTCAGGTGGTGCAATGCCGGCTAAAGAGTATAATTTCTCCAGCAGTGTAGTATATAGACATCTTGTGATAATGGCCATGTTTAATTAAGAGCCACATCAACTGTTTTAACATGGTGAGATGTGTTCCACACTGCGTGCATACTCAGCAGCGGAGTAGCAAAGCACAAGGGCAGATGTCTTCACTGTATCTGGTTGTGATCCCCATGTTGTGCCAGTCAGATTTTGAATGATATTATTTCTAGCGCCCACTTTTTGCTTGATATTCAGGCAGAGCTTCTTGTAGGTCAGGGCACAGTCCCGAGTGACTCCCAGGTATTTGCAATGCTGCAGTGCTCCAGTGGGATTCCTTTCTAGGTCATCCTCAGAGTTTGAGATGCTTGTCTGTTCTTAAGCACACGTCTGCATTTTAGGTGGGTTAGGAACCAGCTGGTTTACATACAATAAAATACATATATTAAAGCACATGGTACAAAGATTAAAATACAGAAATAATCGAATTTTGCTCGGTGCTACTAAACTCTCTTTGTTAAAACAATTGAGGCCAGGCCATGATGTGAGACTCGTGAAACCATATCTTCCAATTGTCTTGAATTAGCAGGAACAATCCTAATCAATTCCCTTCCCTTTCAGCTGCATTTAAATTGTATTCATTTATTCATTTTATTCATTTATCTCTCAATCTCTCGACTTTCTTCCAGTAATGGGATTCAAGGCGGCTAGAAGTGTATTTTGAAATACGTATTTAAAAATATTTATTTTTTATTTATTTATTTAGAACTTTTATATACTGGTCTTCTCAACCTCCGCAGAGGGACTCAGGCCGGTTCACAACAAAAGATTCATAAACAATAGTTTAAAATATCACATCACATAATGCAGTACTACATAAAATACATGAAAATACAATCATATAATACAATCATATAAGGCCAAGTCATCAGAATGAAATCACAATTCATCACCATCTATCCGTGTGGTCAAGAGTTATTGACTCACTCATCGAATGCTAAATTCCAGAGCCAAGTTTTCACCAGCTTTCTAAAATTCAGGAGAGAAGGGGCAGTTCTAATCTCCACTGGGAGAGAGTTCCAGAGCCGAGGGGCCACCATCAAGAAGGCCCTGTCCCTCGTCCCCACCAGACGCGATTGCGAGGGTGGTGGGACCGAGAGCAGGGCCCCTCCAGAAGATCTTAATAACCTTGATGGTTCATAGGGGAGAATCCGTTCGGACAGGTAAATTGGGCCGGAGTCATTTAGGGCTTTATAGGTCAACACCAGCAATGAAATATGCAAATATGATCATAAAAATAAAAGTGTTAACAGTTATTTTAAAAGCGATTAAACAGTTTGTAAAGTTAAAACATCAAAACTATTAATATTAATCAAAATTAATCAATCCAGCCTTCCATATTTGTGGGTTTGACTTCTGCGGATTGAAGTATTCATGGATTTGATGAATATGGTCTCTCTGAGAATCTCTAGGTTTTTCAACATAACTTGACTAAAGAGTTTCAGTGGAAGACTGAGGGCCCTTCTCAACCCAGAATAGCCAGGCAGAAAATCCCATAATATCTGCTTTGAACTGGGTTATCTGTGTCCATACTGCCATATATTCCAGTTCAAAGCAGATAATGTGGGATTTTATTCAGCTGCGTGGAAGGGGCCCTAGAGATTCCTAGACAAGGTTTAATTTTAATACCATTAATATTTAATTCTATTTTAATTTTTGTATGTTTTGGGCATTTTAAATTGTATCAGTTCCCTTCCCAGTAGAATCAGACCAGAGCAAACTGCTGCAGCTTCTCAAAACCTGTATTTTCATCCTCATTCATAATGTCTCCAGTTGTCTTTGAGGTCGCTTGTTCACTCCATTTTCTGGTTTTCTTCTGTAAAGGGTTGGAAGGTAAATTTGCCCTGGCTTCCTCTTTCGGTCTCCCTGCAGGGTACTTGCCCCCGGACGCCTGCCTGCTCTGTGGTCTGGAGCCGCCCTCCCTGCATTGCTCAGCCTGCGCCCAGTCCTTGTGCCCAGACTGCGACCTCCTCTTCCACAAACACCCTTCGCGAACCCATCACCGCCGGACACCTCTGAACGACCAAGCCTGGCGCAGCCCTCCACCGGCACCACCTCCCAGGTATCCCAGAACAGTGGTTACCAAACCATCTTGCTGAACCCACAAAAGTTCCACAAAAGCATCATAGGGGTTCCTCAGAAAATCTTAAAAATCAAATTCAAAATTTATTTTAAAAACAAAACCTCTCAAGGCCAACTGTTTATTTGATTTGCAATATCCATAATAGCTATTTTGTACTACAACTGTTGATATTTACTTAAGTCTAATTGCGCCGTTGAATCTAATGCGCACCTCAATTTTCGAAACCATGAAACTAAAAAAAAGTATTTGCTGAAGAATGTAACGCACAGCACCCTTTGTGATGTATCCGTTACAGTTACTGTCTGTTTAGATTACGGTTCTGGCCCAGTTTACCTGTCCAAATTTATTTCCTCCTATGAACCAGCTCGAAGTCTAAGATCACCTGGGCAGGCCCTGTTCTCGGTCCCGCCTGCCCCACAGGTGTGATTGACAGGGATGAGAGACAGGGCCTTTTCGGTGCTGGACTCCCAGGGACATCAGATCAGCCCCCTCCCTCCTGATCTTCCGTAAGAAAGTAAAAACCTGGCTTTGTGACCAGGTCCTTTGTGGAGGACGTGAGAGATAGAAATATATGGAATTGATGTGCATTGACTAACTGAAATGGCCAGACTACAGTTAATGGATCATGTGATTAACTTAATGTATTGTTTGATATGTTTTTAAACTGTTTTAATGTATTTTATAACTTTATTTATATATTTGTAATTGTACATATCCTATGGCTGTGTATGGTTGCCTACTTGTAAGACCCCTTGAGTCCCTCATTGGTAGAGAAAGGCGGGGTAGAAATGCCTCAAATAAATAAATACCTTCTTTGAAAAGAATTGTGTTGGAACACCAATTCTGCAATGGAAAAGAAACCTTGGGGTCTTATCTATGCCAGGCATGAGCAAACTTCGGCCCTCCAGGTGTTTTGGACTCAAATTCCCACAATTTCTATCAGCCTCAGGCCCTTTCCTTTTCCTTTGCTTGACAACAGAAAAGAACCATGGTGGCTGGGAGGGGGATTCTGGGAGCTGTGGTCCAAAAAGTAAATCTTTTTAGCACCAGATTTCTAGTTCAGATATGAATGGTTGACTTCCTATGAAGTGTGAATGTCTTCTAAATCTGTCATTGTGGTTTGTTTTAAGTGTGTCTGTCCTAACTCCTGATGCTGCATCCTTGCGGCCACCGACCGATTCCCTCTCGACCTCCTGGCTCACCGTCCCCACTCAACGACCTCCCTGGCGCTGTGCAGCTTGCCACATGAACAATGATGCACGTGCCATCCTGTGCGTGGGTTGTGACCGTCCCCGCGGATGCAAGACACCAGTGAGCCTCAACACGGAGGAAGAGCACAAGAGCTTGGGGCCTCTGGCCCGGGGCCGATGGTCATGTCAGTCCTGTACCTTTGAGAACGAGGCGGCCACGGTGCTGTGCGCTGTGTGCGAGAGGCCACGACTAGCTGGGAAGCCTGGCACTGGGGATGCAAAACCCCTGATAGCATGGGGAGAGGAGACAGGGCAGCAGCAGCAGAAAGAGGTAAATACCTTTATTTCATCACCCAGTAGTCGCCACTGTGTAATAGTTGCACCTTTTTTGGCGAGTACTCAAAGGACAGCAGCCTCAGTTTGGCCATCTTGGCTTCTAGGAGAGTTTGAAGCTTTATTTGCACTATGTTCATGACATTTATTCCCTATTTATTCCTGTCTCCACAGCTCCCCGGCTGGCAGTGTGAACACTGCACTTTCTGGAACAAGGGCCGTGGCCGGGTGTGCGAGATGTGCAACCGCACCAGTCAGAGGGCTGGGTCTGAGCACTCATTGCTGGCACCCAAGCTAGAGGAGGAAGGCAAGCAGAAGAAGGGGACAGCGGTGGAAGCCAAGACTCCATGGAAGGCCCCACCCATCTCCTTGGAAGAGGCAGAGCACCGGAGGCAGGAAAAGCTGCGTGAGGATGGGCAGAAGATGATTGCCATGATCAGGGTGAGTTGTGTTTCCCATAAATTTGGTCTATGCTCCCTCCCTCCTTTCCTTTTCTATCCTTTACACATGAAGTTGCAACATGTTTTGGCGTCTTCCACCTTCAGAATAATCCCACTGTTGAATTCCAATGCTGGGAATCACCTCTGTACTTAACACACACCCCAGTCCAAGGTAAAATAGTAAAGTGACTTATTGAAGAATATATGAAAAACAATTCAGATAAATAGTGAAAAAAACAAAGTCCAAATATCAGGATAAATCCACAGAAATCAAAGTACATGAGTAGCATCTAAAACTAGGAATATAAAAGCAGAATAAGTCCAAAACACCAACATTGCCTTGACTGGCAAAACAGTCTGCTGGTCTAGCTAATATAGACAGAAAATCATGCCTTCTCCCCTGGGAAAGGACTTCTTGGCTACTGTGGCGCAGCTGGCTGAGTGTCAGCTGCATTAAGATCACTTCTGACCAAAAGATCATGAGTTTGAAGCCAGCCCGGGTCAGAGTGAGCTTCTGACCAATTGTGTAGCTTGTTGTCAATCTTTGCAACCCGAAAGACAGTTGCATCTGTCAAGTAGGAAAATTAGGTACCACCTATGTGTGGGGAGGCTAATTTAACTAATTTACGAGGCCATAAAAAAAAATACTCCAGCAGAGCACTCCAGCAAAGCATGCAGGGAATGCGGAAGTACTTCATCAGTGTTGCAGATGGATGATGAAAGCGACAGCTCCCTTGGCGGCCAGAAAAGTTAAATAGCCTCTGACTGTCTGTCTATATCTGTTGTGTGTCTTTGGCATTGAATGTTCGCCATATATGTGTACATTGTAATCCGCCCTGAGTCCCCTGCGGGATAAGAAGGGCAGAATATAAACACTGTAAATAAATAAATAATAGTTGTCTTGAGAAGCTCTGTGTTGACAGAACATAAATCTCCTATCTAACTGCTCATTAGTTTGTCCACCTGGACTTTCATTTTCACCCTCTGAGCTCAGTTCTTTTTCTGACCTTGCTTTCCTAGCAAACTACCTTTCTGGAATGTGGTCTTCAGATAGAGTTTGATCATTTTCAGGGCTTGAGATCTCTTGCTGGCTCTCCTGCTGCTCCTGCTGACTTGCAGAATCCCTAGTGACATCAGGCTGACTAACAGGCTCAGAATCCCCAGAAAAATCAGGTTCAGGCACAGTCAAAGACTGAATTACAACACCCATAAAGGAGTCCAAGGTGGATAATTTTTATACCAACAAACACCTGGATTTTGCAATATGGGAATGCGGAGAGAAAGACGTGCCATTTGGCCATGTGGTGAAATACAGTATTTTGACCCATCCACCTATGTATTGATGTTGTTTAGTTAAGGACGCTGGGGTGTTCTGAGGTTAAAAAAAGTAGGATGAGAGGTGAACAAATATTGGCTGGGATTGGAAGTTGTCAAAGTCAAATTTTGGTTTTGAGCCCAAAAAAAGGTAACTTTCCCAAGTATCAGCTGAGACATTCCAAAGAACGGTGCTGTCAGGGCATTGTTCTGTCTTCCTCCATATTGTCTCTCTTTCAGTATGGAAGTTGAATGATTGCTAGGGATGAGAGGAACACAGGAGAAGTAGTATATTCTTTTTTCTTGTCCCTGCCAGTTATCAACCACTGGTCTTCTGAAGCTGCACATGAATCAGTTATGTGATGCTTTAGCCCAAAAACCAAATGCAATTCTATGCTGAATCAGTAGGATTATAGTGTCAAATTGAGGGAATTTATTCCCACTTTATTCTGTTTTGGTCAGACTTTACCTGGAATAATCTTGTGTCCAGTTTTGGACACCTCCAATCCAAGAAGGATATTGACAAGCTAGAATGTGTCCAGAGAAAGGCAACCAGAATATATACATTTCTGCCTTGAAGTCTGGTGGATTTCCCTTCTCTGGAGGTTTTTAACCTGCCAGTAGTGCTTTATTGTGTTTTCCTACATAGCAAGGAGTTGGACTAGATTGTTGTGTTATGTCAAATCCTGGTTAAACAAACATCAGAAGTTTCAAACATATTAACACATGGGCAGCTCAAAGCTAAAGTGCTTGCAAGCTTATAGTTTTAGCACACACTAACTGTTGGGAGCGAGATAAATTCTAAGTTCAGAGTCCAAATCACACTGAAAGAGTTCAAATATGCCGCAACAAACAGCAGCCCGAATTCCAATTCAAAGTCAATAAAGATGACAATCAGAAGATTGCACAGTCCGAAGTTGAAGTCAGAATCCAAAGCACAGATACAGCCTACAATCAACAAGGCCAATAATCCAAAGTGTCGAGAGTTACACCACAAAGCAAAGACGTTGCCACCTGCAACAAGACTGAAACACTGAGAACCTTTTATCCTATATTTTCGGGTATTGCTGTGTAGAGCCCATTCCTCTGCTAAATGCAGATCTGTGGGTTGCAGCACGCTTGTCGCAACTCAGGATAGATTCACCTTGCTCAAGACACCACCACACACACCAAGGCTGTATGTTTTGTAGTTTATTGAAGAAAAAGCAAAATCAAAAACATAGAAGTAAAGTTGCAAAAGTTCAATAGCTCAAACAGAGTCTTAAATGTAACTAGCTGTGCCCTGCCACGCGTTGCTGTGGCCTATAGTAAAAGCAAGACTGCTTATAGCAAGGAATTGGAAAAAAGAAATGAATATACAAATAGAGGAGTGGTATAAAGAAGCATGGAAAATAGCAATAAAAGATAAATTGACATGTATATTAAAGGTTAAAAAAGGTATATGGAAACAAAGCGATTTTGATGCTGTATGGGGAAGATTTGTGGTAAATGGATTAAAAAATAAGGAAGGAAAATTACCGTCACAAGAAGAAATGAAATTTTGGACAGATGAAATGTAAGAAGGGTGGCTTGAAATGGGTGGAGGGGAGCACTGTGGTGAAAAAAGGGAAAAAAAAAAAAACTTATCAAAGTTGAGGTAGATACCTGGACTATTATGAAAGAGAGGTACCTACCTATTCCTTCCCCCTTTTCCTCCCCCTTTCTCTCCTTTCTTCCTTCTCTACCTCTTTCTTTCTTTCACTACTTGGTTTCATCCTTCTCTCTTTCCTTCATTCCCTCCCCCTTTCTTCCTTTGCCTTTCTTCCCTCCCTGTTTGCTTCCTTCTTTCACTTTTTATTTCCTTTTATTTTACCACCATCATAACAATAACAATAATGCAATGTATTGCCTCTGGGACCTGACACCTCTCCCATTCCTCCAGGGTCTCAATAGCATAATAAATAATAATAATAATAATAATAATAATAATAATAATAATAATAGAAATAACAACCTTTACCCGCCACGTGTTGCTGTGGCCAATCTTCCCTCTTTCTCTCCTTCTTTCCCTCCTTCCTTCCTTCCTTCCCTCCCTCCCATCTTTCCTTCTCCTCTTCTTTCTCTATCTCTTTCCTTCCTTCCCCCTTTTTCTTTCTTTTCTGCTGTCTTTTCTCTAACTTTCCTTCCTTCCCCTTTTTCTTTCCTCCCTTCTCTCTCTTCCTTCTTTCCTTCCTTCCTGTCTTTCCTGGATTTTGACAGGGCGGGAAGGGGGGTGGGGTTTGGAGGTGGCGTGAAGTAAAAGGAGGTAAGATTGGGGGGGGAGTGATGGAGCGTGGGGTTGCGTGTGTGTGTGCGGCGGCGGGGGGAGTGATGGAGCGTGGGGTTGCATGTGTGTGTGCGGCGGCGGGGGGAGTGGGGTTGCGTGTGTGTGTGCGGCGGCGGGGGGAGTGATGGAGCGTGGGGTTGCGTGTGTGTGTGCGGCGGCGGGGGAAGTGGGGTTGCGTGTGTGCGTGCGGCAGCGGGGGGAGTGATGGAGTGTGGGGTTGCGTGTGTGTGTGCGGCGGCGGGGGGAGTGGGGTTGCGTGTGTGTGTGCGGCGGCGGGGGGAGTGATGGAGTGTGGGGTTGTGTGTGTATGTGCGGCAGGGGTGTGTGTGTGTGCGGGACGCGGCGCGGCGGGGCTTGGAGTGGGCATGGTTTCCGCAGAGGGAACGTTGGCCGGAAGGCCATGTGCGCGCGCCAGGGAACTTGCGGCTGGGCGCCAATGCGCATGCTCAGTTGTTTTGCCGTTTTGTGAGTGTGTTGTTGTGTTGTTTTTCATTTTGAGTAGATATGTTTGTACCTTGTGGGTTGTGTTATGGGCATGGGAATTTTGGTTAAGTTTCGTTGGGGGATTTTTGAGTTTTGTTTTTTTCCCATTTTGAGTGTGTTGTTGTGTTGTTTTTCATTTTGAGTAGATATGTTTGTACCTTGTGGGTTGTGTTATGGGCATGGGAATTTTGGTTAAGTTTCGTTGGGTTTTTTTTGAGTTTTGTTGTTTTGCCGTTTTGTGAGTGTGTTGTTGTGATGTTTTTCATTTTGAGTAGATATGTTTGTACCTTGTGGGTTGTGTTATGGGCATGGGAATTTTGGTTAAGTTTCGTTGGGGGATTTTGAGTTTTGTTGTTTTGCCGTTTTGTGAGTGTGTTGTTGTGTTGTTTTTCATTTTGAGTAGATATGTTTGTACCTTGTGGGTTGTGTTATGGGCATGGGAATTTTGGTTAAGTTTCGTTGGGTTTTTGAGTTTTGTTGTTTTGCCGTTTTGTGAGTGTGTTGTTGTGTTGTTTTTCATTTTGAGTAGATATGTTTGTACCTTGTGGGTTGTGTTATGAGCATGGGAATTTTGGTTAAGTTTCGTTGGGTTTTTTTTAGAGTTTTATTCTTTTGCCGTTTTGTGAGTGTGTTGTTGTGTTGTTTTTCATTTTGAGTAGATATGTTTGTACCTTGTGGGTTGTGTTATGGGCATGGGAATTTTGGTTAAGTTTCGTTGGGGGTTTTGTGAGTTTTTTTGCCGTTTGAGTGTGTTGTTGTGTTGTTTTTCATTTTGAGTAGATATGTTTGTACTTGTGGGTTGTGTTATGGGCATGGGAATTTTGGTTAAGTTTCGTTGGGGTTTTTTTGAGTTTTGTTTGCCGTTTTGTGAGTGTGTTGTTGTGTTGTTTTTCATTTTGAGTAGATATGTTTGTACCTTGTGGGTTGTGTTATGGGCATGGGAATTTTGGTTAAGTTTCGTTGGGGGGTTTTTGAATTTTGTTTCTTCGTTGGATGCCCCTAACAAATTTATATATATAGAAGGCAAAGTTCCCAAGATCCAGAGGCAAATAACATGAAGTATAATCCCTTTAGCATTGGTTAAACAAGAATCCATGGCAGCATGACAAAGTCCCCAAAAAATCAAGAGCAAAACCAAAGTCCCAAAGAGTTAGAAGCTTTCCCCAAAAGCCAAGGTGATTTCAGAGAAGTTAACAGGGTATAAGCAACATTGCACTGACAACGGACAAACTTCAATCAGATCGTTAAATATGTTTCCCCAACATGAAAGCATTACGATGACCTCAAATTTCACGTTTGTTGGCAAGGCGCGCACTTCGGCGAACCCTTAACTGCAAACGGTCCTCCCTAATCAAATCTCCATCTTCAAGGCTGGATCCCTCATTATCCTGGGAGTGGTCACCCTGGGAACCGAGAGGCCCTGAAATCCCAGATGGGGCTGGGTCTTCCACCTGCAGCAGTGGAGTTTCACTATCTTTATCTAAAACAACATTCCTTTCCCTGGGGAACAGAAATGCCGTCTCTTCTTCAGAATCAACACTGTCTGCCTCAATAAGAAGAACAGGTTCAGAAATCTGTAACCCATCATCCTCCTTGTCCTGAGGAAACTCAGGCTCAGAAAACTCAGGCTCAAAGTGAACCACAACAACGCTCTCGTCTGTATTGTAAAAGGGATGGAGCCCTTGACTCTTCCTCAGTCTCGTACTGACTTCTGCTTTCTGTGCCTACTGGGAAGTGGTAGCTACTACTGAAGGCTCCTCTTCTGCGATAACTAAGCTAAGCTGGGAGGGCTGCTGGGAGCTGCTGGTCTCCAACACTGGCCCTTCCAACAATTCCTCCTCCTCCTCACTATTGCATCAGACCAGGACATGGGTATTCATTGTGATATCTCCCAAATGTAAGTTTCTGAAATCTGGTTGTTAACCTCCCTCCAAGTCCCTTGATTATATTTGGCCTGCTCTCACTTGCCCCTTCAACTTTAACCTAGTCCTCCCCTGTTTCCTTCTTCCCACATTTCTCCACAGGAAGCTGAGGCCGTGGGTGTAGCCCCCGAACTGGTGGCAGCCGCCTTACGCTACTCGGGTGCAGAACGACCCCTGGCTTGGCTGAATTCGGAGCTCCCTTCTGTCCTGGAAGGTGTGGCTGAGTTGGCCACCCAGCGAGGGGAGCAGGAGCCTGGAGGGGGCCTGGGGGCCCTGACCCGGCAAGAAGTCCAAACTGCGTGGGTGGAGAGCCAGGGGGATGTGGACGAAGCCGTCAGCCGGTGTCTGAGCGCACGGCGGAGCAAGGTGAGCCAAACTACTGTACCCTGGAAATAGAAATTGTGGGGAAATATTTTATAGCACAAAGATGGGGAAACCTGTAGTTCCTGGGCCAGTTCCTCAAACCACAACATGGTTGCATTTTGAGATTAATGCTCCAACAGTCTCCCAAATCTAGAGATTGTGAGTATTGCATTAAAAATGGCTTGTTGTAGGTTTTTCAGGCTGTATAGCCATATTCTAGAAGCATTCTCTCCTGATGTTTTGCCTGTATCTATGGTAGGCATCCTCAGAGGTTGTGACGCCTGTTGCCATAGAAGCAGGTGAAATGTCAGAGAAAATGCTTCTAGAACATGGTCATACAGCCCGAAAAACCTACAATAACCCAGTGATTCCGGCCATGAAAGCCTTCAACAATGCACTAAAATATTTTCCAGCTGTCCCTAACTTTTGGTCTTGCATCTGTTTCGTGATCTGAAAGAAGACCAGAGATTGGAGGTAGAAGTCCACAGTCTTGAAACAGACTCCTATCTCTGATCACTGAACTTATTTCCAGTGACTAATCAGATACAAGAGCAGAAGAAGCTACGAGTTAGAGAGAGCTGGAAAATGTTCTTTGAAGAAACTTTTGCAGGGAATTGAAAGAGAACTGATGTGAGGAATCAGGGTTGGTGAAATATCCATGAACTGCACAACCAGGAAAGAGGCAGAGCCTGGAAAATGGAAAGGGGTTTTTGTTTTTTGTTTTTTGCAAAACTAAATGTTGGGAAAGTCAGCAAAATCAGCAGAGATGTTCTGGGAAGATTCTGGGAAAGAGGAGAGGCTTTCGGTGGGAGAAGAGAGAGGGATTTGTGTCTCGTGAGTGGAGTTTCAGAGAAGCTTTGGAGCAGTGGTTCTCAACCTTGCTAATGCTGTGATCCCTTAAGGTAGTTCCATATGTTGTGGTGACCCCCAATCATAATATTGTTTTCGTTGCTACTTGATACTTGTCATTTTAGTACTGTTATAAATCGTAATGTAAATATCCGATATGCAGGATCAGAGGCGGCCCTAGGTAATTTTCAATGGTAAGCAAAGAGTATTTTGGCGCCCCCCCCCCCAAAAAAAAACCCAATTACACACACACACACACACACACACATATGGGCATGGACAAATTTTGGTCCTCCAGGGGTTTCGGACTTCAACTCCCACCATTCCTAATAGCCTCTGGCCCCTTCCTTTCACCCTTTTCCTGCTTAAGCGGCTGAGGGGGAAAAGGAAAGGGCCTGAGGCT